TTTGAAAAATATTGGAATTTTACTTGAATTTTCAGAGAAACTCGAAATTCCATTAACTTTTATCCTTAAATTGAATTCAAATTATTTTGGAAAATGGAAATTCGGAAAGTTGTTGATAATTTCAGTTGAGAATGGTTTCAGCGGAAGATCCGTACACTGTTGAAAATTTTACATTGAAATTTTGAGGAATTTTGCCACTGAAAATTTATAATTTTATGGAAAATGCGGTGGGAGCTGTAAATTTCAGGTTAATTACTCGGGAAAATTAATGAAAAATCTGGAAAATTCCGTTAAAAATTCAAATTTCAAGAATTTTAAAGGAATTTAGCAGTGAATAGTCATTTTCATTTGAAAAATATTGGAATTTTACTTGAATTTTCAGAGAAACTCGAAATTCCATTAACTTTTATCCTTAAATTGAATTCAAATTATTTTGGAAAATGGAAATTCGAAAAGTTGTTGATAATTTCAGTTGAGAATGGATTCAGCGGGAGATCCGTACACTGTTGAAAATTTTATACTGAAATTTTGAGGAATTGTGTCACTGAAAATGCATAATTTTATGGAAAAATGCGTGGCAGTAAATTCTAGTTCAACTACTCCCGGAAAATTAATGAGAAATCAGGAAGATGCAGAAAAATCTCGCCTTAAATTTCGGAGATATTCGGAGATATTCCTAGAAAACTCGTTACGTTTTACAATTGCAATTGAGTGCTCTTAAATTTTCAGGAACTCCCATTCAGAATTTTAATTAAAAATTCAGAATTCAATATTCCCGAAATCAATTCATACATCTCATCAAAACTCTATAAACTATTCATTCATGCATTCATTTACTCACTATCAAAATAAATAATCAAATAAATGACTGAAGAATTTTCTACCTCACGAATAAAATCCACCATTAAACCCGAGAAAAAAAGCGAGAATTTTTAACGAGAAAATGGACGTTTTTATCCTCCACTTGATGAAAAATAAAATCACGTAGAGATTACATCCTCAATTCCGCCTTCAGTACCAGTTGATCCCCGTCGAACGATTAGGATTACATCGTAAGGAGCCGTTGAGGGGAACTGAGGTAGAAAAAACTCAAGCTGAGATAATCGTATTTCTATAAGTTGACCAATCGTTGTGTCACGTCCCACCGAGATTCACTGCAGGACAAACCACTACAGATCAACCGAGTTGATATAAATGTACGTGAAACTACCCCCCCGGAAGGCTGTCCTGTGGCCCACTCCAGTGATCTCCTGTGGCCATAGGACGTACAGTAAAAAACCTATTCGAACAAGAACGAATTTACTGCGCTCCAATTGCGATTCGTGTCGGTTATCACGAGTGAGGCGAAAGTGGACTTGAAGCCAACCCTCGATTTCATTGCTATATCACTCGGTTTAATGGACCCATCGTTTCGTATCCAGTGTTATGTCATCGAGATCTGGGTATTGGGATATTTCATCTAATGTTGATAAATAGGTCATGGAAATTATGTCGCTGTACGGGAGCGGATTAAATCGCTTGGACGAAGATTTTGTCCCATTTGTTCCTGAAATGCGGATAAAATTTCTTATTTTTCATGAAATGCCTTTGTATTTTTGTAGACGAGCATCAGAGCTTTCATTTGAGCCCTATTTGACCCTAACAATGGGTTTATTATCTAAACTTTGCGGGTCTGAATTTAAATCTCGATATTGAACCGTTAGAAGACATTTTAATAATCTGAAAAAAATTGGAATGTTTACTTTTGGAGGAAGATTGATGGAATAATTTAAAATTTGCAATTTTTTAAAAGTACGAGCATTTTCTATAAATAATTTTGTGTGAAGGGTTTTACCTGTATTTTAACAACTATTTGGATAAAACAAGTTGTTTTTTTTTATTGTATGATTTTATCATTTAAACTTCTATTGTCTGAATTTATTTTTCTACATATTTTGAATCGCAATGGAACTTTTTTTTCACATGAAAAATATTTTCAAAAAATTGCCCTGTTTAAAAAGAAAATGAAATTTCATTGACGGTCGGCTAATAATTTTCAAGAGAGTGACATTGGATGCGATTCGAAGAGGAAAAATCGTGAAATTTGAGATTTCACTGAAAATTTAATAAAATTCCAAATTTTTGAACAGCATTGGCATGAGAATTCCTCAACTTACTTGAATTTTCAATAAAATTATGAATATTTAGTGCCGAATGAATTGAAATTAATTGAAAATTCAAAAATATATTTACCGGAATTTCCCTGATTTCTCATGGATTTTTTCATGAAATTCTGAATTTTTAATTACGAAATTCTTCGAAATTTCAGTGGAATTAAATTGTAAGTGTGGAACATTGAGATACTCATCAATTATTATCAATTCTCTACACTCAGCTAAATGAATTATTTTCATTAAAAAAACTATTTAAATAAATTGGTTTTTTCAACTCATTCCTAATAAAGTTGTAATTCACATCAAATAAATTGTTTTTAAAAATGAAATTATTCAGATGGCGAAGCAAACAACTTTATGAATATATAACAATCCTTCATCCGAATAAAATGAATAGTTTTTCAATATAATTAAAACATTTCCATTGAAATAAACACATGAGTTTATTAATTTCCACAAAAAATATCCTTGAAACGAATATAAAAATTTCTAATGAGGCAAGAAGCTATTGGATTCCAAGCCGTTATTTTTCCTCACATTGTAAAATGGCAATATCGATACCGAGAGCACAACCTCAGAGTCCCCGAGGAGTAAAGTGGGAGGCTGGTCCAGAGTGCGTTCAAGTGTATCAGACTACTCGGCCAGATAACGTATTTACAGCCCCCTCAAAGTGTTCCGGCCAACTCTCCATCAGTGTGATAGATGTTGATATGTGTGTGTGCAACACGATGTTGCCCTGTATCAGGGCCCTTAATTCGTCAGGTCCGTTCGGGCATCATCACACGATGGGATTAGAGGGGTAAGAGCACCACTCAAACGTTTCTCTCCACCCCTCGATCCTATTTCCGAAAGCTACGTTAACATGACTCAATTGATAACGTTTATGACGTAAACTCCATTACAATTTTCTCAGTTGGGAGATTGCGAGGGGCACGAGGGATTCTTGAGGAGTTGTTAGCGATTTGAAATTTGTTCTGAGAGTTGGGATGAAGATAATTTACTCAGTATTTTATAATATTTAAATTTGCGAAATGAAAGCTATTAATAATAAACATCTGATCAAAATTTATTCATTTGCAATTTTTTCAATTGGGATGAAGATGATTGAGTCCATATTTTTATTCGCGATTTTCATTTGTATAAATGAAACATAAATGAAATGAAAATAACGAAAATTAATATATTGTATTATTTAAAATAGTGAAATGAAAGCTATTAAGAATAAATATCTCAGCAAAATTTACTCATCTGCAAATTTGTCTCAACAAACTACTTTCAAAAAGAAATCGAGAAAAATATTAAAATTTCAATTCCGTTTTTCTCACTTCGAAAATTGTGAGCAATTCGAGAGATTCTTGCGAAATGAAAGCTATTAATAATAAACATCTCAGCAAAATTTACTCATCTGCAAATTTTTCTCAAAACATTTCATTGAGAAAAAAAAGTAAAGAAAAAAATTACAGTTTCAATTGCATTTTTCTCAGTTGGGATGCAAATTATTGAGTCCATATTTTATTCGAGATTTTCATTTATATAAATGAAATGAAAATAACGAAAATTAATATATTCTATTATTTAAAGTAGTGAAATGAAAGCTGTTAATAATAAACGTCTCGTCAAAATTTACTCATCTGCAAATTCCTCTCAACAAACTACTTTCAAAAGTAAATCGAGAAAAATATTAAAATTCCAATTCCGTTTTTTTCACTTGGAAAATTGTGAGGAATACAAAAGATTCTTGAGGAGTTGTTTAATAGCGGATTGAAATATGCTCTTCCTTAATTTCGAGATGGTTGAGTCAATATTTCTGTTGGGTAAATGAAAACGAAACAAATACCAGATTTTCATTTACATATTCAGTTTTTCTAGACATTCAGCGAGAACTGATGACAAATTGATCCATTTCATTTCATCTCTCCATTAATAATTGCTTCATCTAAACAATGAATCCATTATTATACGATCTTACATTCTCTTATTTAAATTATCGGAATGAAATCCATTAACAAACATCTCATCAAAATTTACTGATCCTCAAATTCCTCTCAACAAATTAATGTGAAAAAAAAAAGTCTGGACAACAGTCTAACAAGCAATTCTTTCTCATGACTCCTCTCTGATTCATCCATCAGCCCATATAATTAGCAATGATGAATAACCAGGAAGTGGACGTGCCACACATCTCATTCAATTTTCCAAGCGTCTCAACATCGTCCAAGCGCTGTTCCGATTCATTTCCTCGTTGGTGGGACACTTGGTCCGCATATCCGGAAGTTTGAGTGGAAATAAACCAATGAAAGAAGGGAAATTGGTTTGCCCACCAGAGGCCCGCGGTCCAATTAACGTTATTGCCTCGTGTATTTCAATTTCATGTGTATTCTGTACTTCTACGATCGTGTCGGACAACTCGCTGGACCAAACGTCTATCTCAGAGGCTCACTGAGGAATAGTTCTGGTACAATTAGCTAATTAGAGTAATGAGCCGCCAGCTCTGGTGTCTGAATTTTGTCGGAATGAGTTGAAAGTTTTGATTAAATTTTTTGAGATAATGAAAGTCTTATCGAGGGACGAAGTACGATTTACGTCAGGCTTTATTTTCGGCCTGAGAATCCATTCAATAAGTCCTTTCATTCGATGAATCTGTTGCATAATAATCTCTTTATCCTTTCAGCATTCACGGCGCAGACTCCAACAGATAAATAAGAATAATTAACTGTCTGTCTTATTGTTTGCAATCCAACTCTCGGATTTCCTCATTTTATTCTCTCATTTTTTTCCCCCATTATTCTCCCCCTCGGAGAGAAAAAACAACTGAAATCATAATTTTTATACTGTTCTGTTCCACAGGTGCAGCTCGAAACGAAAGGAGGACAAGACGCGGCGGATTCGGTGACCCCTCGGCTGTGACAAGGAATAGATAGTCTAGGGACTGAATAACAATGCGTGAATATAAGATAGTTGTCTTGGGTAGTGGTGGTGTTGGGAAATCAGCCCTCACTGTCCAGTTTGTTCAGGGTATATTTGTTGAAAAATACGACCCAACGATTGAGGACAGTTATCGAAAGCAGGTTGAGGTTGATGGACAGCAGTGTATGCTGGAGATCTTGGACACAGCCGGCACGGTAATTTTTTTTTTATTCGGAGGAATTTGAAATAATCCTATTTTTTTATTAATGAAGATAACGCGAAGAAATGAAGATGATTTTATTGTTTCAACTTTGAATATATGAATTCGATTCTTTATTTAAAATTGTTGGAAAACATTAGGAACATTTGGAAGAAAATTGAAAAGTCTACTTTTTGGGAAAGATTTTTAAATAATTGAAAAATTGCTTTTTTCATTAAAAATTCTAAACAATCATCCTCCCCACAACAATTTTTTTTCTCAATCTTGAGAAAAATTTTCAGTGAAAACTTTTAATTTTTCGAAACTTCAGCGAATTTTCATTATTCATTCAAAACAAAGGAAGAATGCCATTTAATATTTTTTTATTCTTCATGAAATTATTGAAATTTATATCACGCAATCTATTTGCCACAGAAATTGTGAAATTGCTTTGACATCCCTGAAAAAACATTACAATAAAAAATGTCAATAATAAAAATTGCTCCACTAAAACTAAAAGACTAACTTTTGCGAAGGATTTTTAAATAAACAAAAAAATAATTTTTTCATGGAAAATTTGTAAACAGTCACAGCCCCCCACCTTTGTTTGAAATCATAATCAAAATTGTTAACGTTTTCGAAAGTTCAGCAAATTAAAAAAAAAAGTCAACCATTGACAATTAGTTTTGACTCAATTGTTCATTTCCCTAGCGTTACCCTAAAATAAATATTTCCCTGAGTCATTACCAATAATAACCTGTTAATACGAAATAAATTCTAACAACAAATGTCTTAATTTTCAAGGAACAATTCACAGCCATGAGGGATTTATACATGAAGAATGGCCAGGGTTTCGTTCTAGTTTATTCAATTACAGCCCAATCGACGTTTAACGATCTACAAGACCTCAGGGAACAAATATTACGGGTAAAGGACACGGACGATGTTCCAATGGTACTGGTCGGCAACAAGTGTGACTTGGAGGACGAGAGGGTAGTGGGAAAAGATCAGGGCGTTAACCTTGCCCGACTATTCAACTGCGCCTTCATGGAGACCTCTGCCAAAGCTAAAATTAATGTTTATGACGTAAGTAGCACTCACTCATCGATCCCCCAAGTCTATCAAATACGTAAGAGTCTTTTTACGGAGTTTAATTTCCGTCAGGAAGGAAAAAACTGAATAGATAATAGATTCTCCCCGTTCAATATTCAATGAATTAAACTCGTTATATCCCAGATTCCCTCATCCACTCGAGAATGACCTTTTGAATGCCCACGTGACCACTGATACAATGAGAGAGAAACGAACAAGCTCTAAAAAAAAGTCTTGCTTGGCCCAAAAAAATCGCTAGTTGAAAATTACTAAAAAAAATTTGTTCGATCTGAATTTCAAAGTTTCAAACATGACTAATTGATCTGCGGATCATTCACATGAGACGATGCCCTTCCAGGATGAAAATCTCTTTTAGAGAAAAATTTATCAAGAAATATTTTGACTCCAAGTCACAAAATTGATATCATATCTTTTTTATTATTTAATTTAAGAATATCCCAGTACTTTGGCTATTTTTTCTTCGGCGAACTGCTTTTATAGTTTTATATATTTGACCCTAAATTTCCGGACATTTTACAATGATTTTTTTATTCAAACTTTGCAGGTATGAATTTGAATTTCAATATTGAACCGTTATAAAACATTTTAAAAATGTGGAAAAATATTAGAAAGGAAACTGTTGTTTATAGTGTTTAGTATAGCTTGGAGGAAGATTGATGAAATAATTTAAAAAGTGAAATTTTTTAAAATTACGAGCAGTTTCTATAAATAATTTATAAACAATCAATTGTCCATAATCAAAATCATTTGTTTGGAATCCTAACAAATTTTCCATAATTTCTATTATTTAAAAAAATGATTATTCTGTGCAAAATTTTGTACAATTTAATTGGTTCGATTTTATTAGTTCAAGCAAGACCTCGTTAAGAGAATATTTTATTTCTCTCAGTATACAAAAAATTAATTTTATTGAGACGATTTTTTCTTAGAACATGTATTATATCGGTGAACAATTTTCAAATAAATACGAGTTTGCGGTGAATATCAATTATTTCTTCTTGAGGTAATTCTACTTGGATCAAATGAGTATTTACCCCAAGAATGGGAAACCTTTTTTTTTCGATCTAATATAAATTCCAATTACGAAATTCTCTACTTTCGTGAATTGATCGAGAATCCGTCCCTAGGAGATGATTACATCGATAACTAAATTGAATGTTGCTCCTTCGAAATACCTTTTTAAATCAATCTCAAGAAAGATAACTGGTATTCGCCATAAAATCATGTTAATTTACCAATTAATAACCAAATAATTGTTACTCAAATGAAATTAACTCACCAATCTATTATTTCCTGTCAGTGATATCCAAATGATGAAAACCTAACCCAAAATCATTGTTTTCAGGTCTTCTACGACCTCGTGCGACAAATCAATAAAAAATCCCCAGAAAAGAAGATGAAACAGAAAAAGAAATCGTTGTGCCTACTTCTGTAAGGTAGAAGCGGCCTTGGCCGCAAACCACCCGCGTGACAACCAACATTAAAACGAGGAAAAAAGAAAGAAATCCAACAAGTAATCAAGAGTAATAACTGAAAAAGCCGAAGGATACTAGTGGTGAATCAGGGGACAAGCGGATATGTGAGACTAGTGACAAGGATCCCACCACCAGCTCGAAAATTGAAAAAAAAAAATAACAAAAACAAAACAAAACTACCAGAAACAAAAAATTTCAATCACAATAAAGACTAAAAGTCGGCCAACAGCCACGAGAATGCACCTAAAGGCAATAAGACAGAATAGAAAACGAGTGAGAGATTATTTGTTTTTCGTAGAGAAAGTTATCACGACGATGATGAATGTGGGGCGATAATAATTGTACATAAGTTTGTCCCGGGGTGGCTCATGTGCACGCGCATCAGTAGCGCACAAATGAAAAAGGAACTTAAAATTCGTAATTAAAGAAAATGAAAACAATTTAATTATCTAACGAGGCCCCGAGACGTTGGTCATAGGGATTTTTGCATGAGAAAAACAAGAAAAAAAATTGAATAAACTTCAAGGGGGAAAATGATTGATTAATGATTAATTGTATTTAGGAATTTTAAAAATAATGAGGATGTGATGATGATGAATTGAGGAAAAAAGATGAGTATGTTTGGATGTGCGCGTGCGCCGAGGCCACACCAGCCCTCCCCTTTCTCCCCCTCTCCCCCCTCATTAATTCGCCGCGCACCTCTCTCTTACATAATATAATAATTATTATTATATAGACGGTACATACAATGATTATTAATTATCAAAGCATCAAAATATTCATAAGTTATCAAACCGTTTGTTTCCCAAAACAATATATGTTTTTCTATATCTTCTCCGTATTGAAGCAAATAATAAAAATTCAGTAAATGTTGAAAATATTCGTTGTACACATGACCAATAAATGACAAGTCCCTAATAACGAATTGATTAGACAAATGAGGAGATGAAAATGTAACAAAATTGTCTCCTCATTGATCAAATATGAGACATTCCATTACAAAATGACTAATTCATAATTATGAATCAATCCGATTCTAAAATTGTGCGGAAAAATCGAAGTATGTGTTACTAAACGCATTTGCAAAACCAAAAAGAATTGTTCTTTCATTTACTCAAATCCTCTTATTTGTTCGCAACATAGATTTCCCAAAATTTGCACATGCCAATTACACTTCATAAGACAAAAAAATGATGACAGATCAGTATGGAATGTCTCATATCCCATTAAATATCTAATATATGCAACCACTGGATAAACCTTCGAAAAATTTAACCCCTGAAAAAACAATAACCCCAGATTAACCGAGAATCTTGATAACGCTGAGAGCAACAACTCCAAATGCCGTATAAACCGCAATTAGATTTCTGTGAACACCCGAAGCTCCATTGGCTCCAGTGGCATTGCAGCACTGGTTCATGGCCTCCTCAACAACAAACGGATAGTAATCGTTCCAGAACGCAAGTGCTCTGTAGTCAATCTCATTGGGATTGATACTGATAGTCCTGTTGATGACTAGTATCCCAGGTGCCTCCTCGGTGAAGGCTTCCCACCTGACATTGAGTAAGGATGGGCTGCCAGATCTCACGAAATTACCGACAAGCATCATGACGACATCAGCGAGGTTCCTATCACTGGTGGACCAATTGATGCTGCTGGATGTGGACGTTGGAAAGACGTGTGGAAGACCCCAGACGAAGGGAAGCTCGAACATGTGAGGGACGCCTGCCCAGAGTGGCACCTCTTGGATGACCTTGGAGGTTCTCGATCGATAGTCAAAACGGTAGACAAAGGCGCTCTTCTCCTTCGACACTTTGGAAGCTAGGTAAGTCAGACCAGCTGCGTAATTCTTCTCTGTCTGCATGTCGAGGTATCTGTCCCTGAAGACAGCTGGGTCTGTGGAGGGGGGATAGGGTCTGTAGAAGAACAGCACAGCATCAGCAGCCAGTTGAGGCTTGGACTCGCAGGTGCTCGTGTTGTCTGGCTTTTGGATTGATGAGATTATCTCGTCGGTTATGGTGCTCTCGAATTTCGAAAGCGACATGATACCCCCGTCGTCCGGATTATCCGATATCTCCATGTAAGCTAGGGACTGTTCGTTACTGGTGTAACCAGCCATTAGTGGAACAGCATTGAAGTTGCCGGAGTCTAGGATGTCCCGTGGGTGAAGCGGAAGGAAGGGATCTGATGAATTATTCGTGTCGGCGTCTATTATCGGGCCCCAGGTCTCGATCTGAGAGGTACCATCCAGCAAAACTTTCGGCGCTATTCGCCTCAGACACTCCATTAGCAACGAAGTGGGCTTGTGAACACAAGCGAATCTGTCAGCCACCTGTTCCGCCACGGGGAGCTCTTGGTCCGCGGTTCGCACTGAGGCGATGGCGTCGCCGCTCATTGCTATCGCTTTCGCGAATTTTCCTTTGCTTAGGGGACTCGTTATGTGGAGGCCGACGCTTATCGAGCCTGCATTGTGACCGGAGATCACGACGTTTCGGGGCGAGCCCTCGAACAACTCGATGTTGGTCTTTATCCAGTCGAGGGCCGCCACTTGGTCCAGCATTCCGTAGTTTCCGGGGGCTTCGGCGTCCCCTGTTGTGAAGAAACCGAAGATGTTCAGCCGGTAAGCCACTGTCACCACGAGGATCTGAAATTTATTCGGGGGCTTTGATTCATCTTGAATTCTTAAGCTGAGACGGTGATCTTTGCGGACGTCCGCATAAAAAGGGAGCACTTTGTCGATATGGAGGTACAATGATAGAATCATTCATTTATTCCAAACGAGATTCGTGAACTACTAATGAATGGTAAGTTTGAATGTGATCAATTAAATAGTCGTTAATAGTTAACGAATGGTTCGCTTGAAAGGGTAAGGTTGAGTCAAACAAGGTTTCTGTTAACGTTTCTGTTAACGAATGAACATTTGGTGAGACCGAAGAAACCCTATCCTCCAACCAAATCCATTTGTTAACAACAACTAATTCTTTCTATCAGTGTACGTATACTCTGATGATATTGATAACATTGCGCACATTTTGAGCCCAAAATGAGCCTCATAGGGTCAAAAGTGACCTCACTGGAGAAGATGAAAAAAAAAGAATTTAATATTGGTGTAAAAGGGAGTTCCTGAGACAAAAACGTAAATCTCTCGGAAAGTAGGATCGACAGAGTGGTACCTTTTCATGCCGACGTACGCATATCTATTTTATACACGCGGAGAAAGTCTTTAGAAAAGTTCTAGTGTTCTTAAGTAAAATTTTTGTGATTGATGTGAACATTTCACATCAATACAAGCAAAATTCACGTGATACCCGATAAAAATGCCAATGCCAACACTGGAGTTTTTCTGAAGCCTAGGGTATCTTGCGCACTCCGCGCGTTATAAATATGCTCATTGGGCCTTATAGTTTTTTTTTCTATAAAAAAAGAGGAATGCATGAAATGCATTGTATACGCTTGTTGTTATAATGGATAAATTATTGAAATTATCAAAATTCATTGAGCAATTTCAAGTTGTAGAAATTGTTAAAATTGCGTAGATACTATACTTATAGCTACAGAAATAATTATAGTTATCGATATTTATAAGTATACCTATAAATATTTATTTAGTTATGTATAACTACCCATAACTATAACTAATAGTAATTAATAGTTATAGTAATAGTTCGTCTATAACTATTAATTAATAGTTATATAATTAATAGTTATATACGAACTATTACTATAACTATTAATTACTATTAGTTATAGTTATGTATAACTATACATAACTAAATAAATATTTATAGGTATACTTATAAATATAATCAATAGTTATACTATTAATAGTTATAGTAATAGTTAGTCTGTAACTGTAGCTATGGCTATCGTAATACCTATGAATACTTGAATTATAACCGAATAGATCAGTGACAGAAAACATTACATCAATTTCTTTAAAAGGGAATTTTCCTCCATGTATAAATAAGGGGCTAAGGTTGTTTGCATTGTTTATGCGTTGCATGGAGATATCTTTCGAGTGTATCTAGTACTGTTAAGAGAGTTGAGGTGGCGGGTGTCAAGGTCTTGGCAAGGAGTCAAGTGTGAACATTTTTAGGTAGATTTTGGGTTACCTTCTGCTTGTTGACGAGAGTTGTCGCGTCCCATATTGCCGGGGTGCCGGTGTTGAAGTCACCACCGTGGAACCACACCATCACTGGCCAGCCATCTTCGGGGGGTGGACCTGAGGGGAAAGTCAATTTTAATTAATGATTTCAGGTGGGAAATTGTTGGGGGAGGGCTTCAGTCATTGCAGCAGTGAATTTTTGTCGAGTCTTTTTGAATATTGGATATCATTGACTATTTCATAGGTGACGATATACTGTGATCAATTGAACATCTACCATATTCAATTAATGATTCCATTTCATTTGTGAAGTTGCATATTTCGACTTGTAAAAAGTAGTTGATCTAGACATATCCAGTTGGGATTTGCCCTCAATCTACTTAAAATAAGCAGACGAAATGTGTACGAAAGCGCGACTGAATCAATCGACGCATCGGAAATCACATACCCAGATGGGATTTGAAGTCACAACCTTCAGATTACTAGATTAATGCTCTTACCAATCGAGCTACCATCAGTCACGTTCAGTTATTGAATGTAAAATTATCGCATTCATGATTGATTTTAGGAAAAGAAAAGTGTACATCATACATCATACACTGAAAGAAAAACGAACGTGTTCTCAAATAAGTCTCGCTTGGACCAAAAAAGTCGTTAGTTGAAAATTACAAAAAAAATTGTTTGATTCAAATTTGTAGTCTTAAACATGAATAATTACTCCCCTTTCAACAACAACGAATATTATATATTCTATATTCGGCTCAAGACGCAGATCATTCACACGAGCCGGCGCCATTCAGGATAAAATATCTCTTACAGAGTCAAGTTTATCAAGAAATCTTTTGTCCCCAACTTACACAATTGCTGTCATATCTTCATTATCATTTCATTTAAGGATTCATATCCTGTCTGTAATTAATTAGAATTTCATGGAAAAATCAATGAGAACTGTAAATTTCAGTTCGATTATTCGCTGAAAATTAGTAGGAATCACAAAAATTGTAGTAAATACATTTTTTAATTGTCATTTAATTGACAATTCATCGCAATTCGGCGCTGAATATTCATGATTCCATTGACAATTCAAATAAGTCGAGGAATTCTCATCTCAGCACTGTTCAAAAATTTGGATTTTCAATGAGTTTTCAGTGAAATCTAAAATTTCATGAATTTTTCACATTAAATTGCATTTAATATCATTCTCCCGAAAATTTCAAATTTTTTCCAACAGTGGGTATTGAAATCCAGAGCTGTTGGGGAGGTTCTCTAATTTGTGACGATTCCTGACGGAGCGCGTAAAGGGTTTGCCCAAATTGCGACGTCACCCCATAATTAATGAGCATAATTTAAGGACACAAGGATGTCAATTTAAGAACCTCAAGGCTTTTATTTTAAGATCCCAAAGCATTGCATTCCAGAACTAAAGTAAAAACTACTGAGAACTAGAGCTTTTTCTCTGATTCTCAGATTAAGTTCACCGAAATCCAGAAACTTTTTTCTCTATCAATGATCTTCAACATGAATCCAATTTAATTTGAGAAAGAAGTTTTCTAACAAGTACGTCTTCCCTTCTATCCAGAAACTCATGCCTCGAAAATTGACAACAAGAAACCCACACGGAAAAATTTATATTTTGAAAAATATATGAAAAAATTTCTTAAATTGGCCCAATTTATATAAAGAAAATACATAAAATATATGGTTTACACATATTGTGATTACCAACTAACTACTGTCCCCTGTTTCGCATAAACCGAACATTGAGTGATAGAAATAACATTTCTTGTTTGCACACCGGATACAAATTTTTTGGCACTCTAAATCAACTTTTGCAAGGAAAATTGTCTATCCCAGGACAGTCTTGAAATTATCAGCACTAGATTTGATTTTTTTGGTGCAAACCAGACGTGTTCGCAATTCGATTTTCTCTCAGTGCATACAATTATTCATATTCACCCCCTGAATTCCTCAGACAAAAATCGCTCAATACTTTCCCAAATAGTCTCCACAGATTGTCCGTCACCCCTCCCAATGTTTAATCATTCATGACGCGATAATTCCCGGATGACTCCATCAAAGAAGACCACATCTACCTGTCAGCCAGTCCCCTCCAACGATGACTAAACACCCCCCACCGCATCGAGACATCGGAATCAATTCAATCATTCCCCGATCGATCCACGCCTAGCTCTTCATTTCCTTCGTCCTGGCCACGCACAAGAAACCCATTCCCTAATTGACGAAAGGAAACCATCACGGTATTCTCTATTCTATTTTAAGCTGTCTTACGTCACATTCTACGCCACTTTTTTTTTAATGACCGAAAGTCATAAGGACACGGCAGTCACATTTGACTGGTCTCAGCTTTTCCCAAGCACCCCCGCAAGTAAATGGAAAAACAGGCGTTTGGCTTCGTGACTCGCCTCCGTATCTCGACATCTTTTGGTGCGGCCCTAGAAGATCGCGTGCCACCCCACAGGTGCACCAGTTACACTCTGTTACCCCCCGAATATCGACCGTGCCCTCTTCCCTCCCTTAGGACTCAAACGTCAATTATATAAAAACAAAATTTCCTTCACTCCTTTCGATACTGTCTCCGCGCCCAGGCATTTCCCAAACATTCGATTGGTCTGTTACATTCGGCGGCAGAAAGGAATAAATTATCCACACTTTTCTTGAATTCTAAAGGAGCACTTCTCGCTTTTCCTTGTACGTGAATAAATAATCATGAATAATTTATCAAGATACATTATCGGTTAAAGTGTCCTGTGAAAAGCTGAATTTATTCTATTCGTCGGATCAGGGGAGGATATCCAGGTCGCGCCCGCTTTTTTTTCTCGCTCTCATTTAAATTTTTCTTCACTGGGGCAATGATGGAAATCGCTTTGTTGTGGTGTGATTAGGGTCACGTGTAGGCCATTGTTAACGGGAATTTTTACACTTTGAAATTGAACTGGGGATTTGGATTTGCGTGCGCTGTTTTCCAGGAAACTTTAGAATGGGGAAATTACGTGTCAATTGAGGAGTGGGGATACAGGATATGGCAACTCAACTCGAGAATTAGTGGTTAAGGTGGAACTGAAGGCCACCGGGTCTTGGAAATTTTGTAATAAATTCCGTACGCAAAGTTATTGATATGATTTGAAACCAAAGAACATTGATCTTCATCATTATTGTTATGATTGTCTCTTAGAGATTAATGTGCTTTGATCTGTAAAAATATTGATCACTTTTAGCTCAAATTTTTTTTTTAATTTGGCAAAATAGGAGCATTTCGTTGCCCCTTAAGGCGTTGAATTCGATTTAAGGGGAAAAAGTCAATGGAATTTCACGTTTCTCGTAAAATTCAAGCAAAATCCAAGTTTTTTAGCGGAAATTCCAAAATTTAAATGAATTTTCAAGTGGAAATGAATATTCACTGCCCAATTCCCTTGAATTTTCATGGAATGCTTTTACAATTCTTGTAATTCCAGGAATTTGTAAAGTAATTTCCCTAAAAATTCAGAGAAATCTGGAATTCCAGAAGAGATTTCTCTGAATTTCCCTGATTTTTCACTAATTTTCCCAGAATAATTAATCTGAAATTTACAATTCTCCCGGATTTTTCCATCAAATTATGAATTTTCAATGGCAAAACTCTTTGAAACTTCAGCAGACATGTTTCAGCTCTTGCCGGAAACAATTGGAGAATATTGTCAATGATCAAAATAATGAAAAAATAATGCAGATTTTTTTGTCATCAATATCTCTCGCAATTCAAACGAAATAAGCGAATGAACATTGACGTATCTATTCCCCAAGAAAAAATTAATTTCAATGTCTTCACCGCCGAAGATTTATTCAACAGTTGTGACGTCTGATATTCAACTTATGCCCCTCGGAATCCACAACCTTCATTTCGCCCGACCCAAACAATTCAGAACGATAATTAAGATAACAATCGTCCCCAGAATGACTAAAATTTCCATTCCCTGAAGATGCGCATAAACATCACTGGATTACCATCATTATGTGGGTTTACATCATAAAATGCTAATGACAACAGTTCGAGTGGTCAGTAGTACTCCAACATTACCGTCAGGCCCTAAGTGTTACCTCGGCGATAAGTCTGTCCCTTTAATATCACAAAGGAAAATACGAGGAACGCAGAGACTACGACCGATCTCAATTCCGTTTTCTTGATCTTGGTCACGCGATACCCTGGGAATACTAACATGTCATTCCTGGGAGCGGTAAAATTTTCGGGGGGAAATTCCTGAATAGCGGAATTATTTAGGCTGGTCGAGTTCAGGAAACTAACTTGTCTCTTGTGGTAATGTCGAGAATATGTTGAAGTATGTCACGGGCTGGGGTAATAGAGGATGAATGAAGGACAATGACGCATAATCACATGCACGAATTTCCCGATTCGGTAGCAATTATAAGAAAAAAATTATTTGAGGATAAAAATTTCAACGGATTTGCAGAAGACTGACAGAATTTTTCTGCAGAAGATGCAGAAAAATTGATTGAAAATTTTCCTACAGAATGCACTGACATAACAGTCTCTTTCTCTTTTAGATCTCGAAATGACTTAGGGATATCCAAGTACTTTTGGAACATCAGAGCTTTCATTTGAGCCCCATTCGACCCTCAGTTTCCGGACATTATAAAATTATTTTATTATTTAAACTTTGCAAGTCTGAATTCGAATCTCGATATTGAACCGTCAGGAAACATTTTAAAAATATTTAAAAAAATAAGAAAGTCTATTTTTGATGACTGATGAAATAATTTTTAAAAAATTGCAATTTTTGAAAATTACGAGTATTTTCTATAAATAATTTATGAACAATTTTCAACCATAAAAATCATTTTTTCGGAATCGTAACAAATTCATTCATATTCATAATTTTACTAAAAATAAGGTTTCCGAAAGTTTACACAATTTAAATTATTTATTTATAAACAACGATTGTTACAAAAAATCGTTATTCTGTGCAAAACGTCACTAGACTGATGCTGAATATTCATGATTTTTTCAAATTTTTCTTACGCAATTTAATTGACAAATTTTTTAATTGAAAATGGTTGAATCTATACACAACAAAAATGAATGTTGAAATTGGACACACCTTTTGTAGACATTTTTCAGATCCTAAAAAACGTCTGAATAAAATGAAAACATGAAATTCAGACAAATTTTAATTTTATTCAGACGTTTTTTAACATATGAAAAATCTCTACAAAAGGTGTGTGAAATTCAAACATTCCTTTTTGCTGTGTAGTGTGCTTTGTACCAAAGTGGAAAAAATACTTGGATATTTTAATTTATTAAAATACCTTAATTTATTCCAAAATCAAATAGACTCATCTGACTGTATCCCAGACGGAAACTTTTTTTAATTTACTTGAAAAATTGGGATGTTATGAATCTAGCATTTACATTACTCACCATCTGGTACATAAAGATTCAGGTACAGGCAGTCCTCACTGACATCCGGTTCCTCAAAATCCGGAAGCAAGAGTTGTCGAAACAACTTCTCGTGCTTGAGGAATTTGTTGGTTTGTTGACAGGAAGGGGCGAATTGCGTGGCGTTTCTAGTGTCATTCCAGCTCACGGGGGGATCCGTCACTGGAGGTCGGAAGCGAAGTTCTCCGACTGGAGGCTGGGCGTAAGGAATCCCCAGGTAGACCGTTACCTTCTGGGGCCTGGCCAGAAGAATCTGGAAGAAATCCAGACATGACTCCTGTTCTCTCTTCTTTTTAATTTCGTTCTCAAAACTTGACATAGAGAAAAAAGCTTCTGGCTTTCGGCTGAAATTTCTGGTACACTTTTTGGAAGTTTTTATCACGTTTTAGTTCCACTGACATTTCGAGGAATTTTGTTATAGAAAATTCAGAATTTCATGGAAAAATCAATGAGAACTGTAAATTTCAGTTCGATTATTCGCTGAAAATTAGTAGGAATCACAAAAATTGTAGTAAATACAGTTTTTAATTGTCATTTAATTGACAATTCATCGCAATTCGGCGCTGAATATTCATGATTCCATTGACAATTCAAATAAGTCGAGGAATTCTCATCTCAGCACTGTTCAAAAATTTTAAATTTCATTGAGTTTTCAATGAAATTTAAAATTTCATGAATTTTTCCCCTTAAATTGCATTTAATATCATTCTCCCAAAAATTTCAATTTTTTTCCAACAGTGGATATTGAAATCCAGAGCTGTTGGGGAGGTTCTCTAATTTGTGAGGATTCCTGACGGAGCGCGTAAAGGATTTGCCCAAGTTGCGACGTCACCCCATAATTAATGAGCATAATTTAAGGACACAAGGGTGTCAATTTAAGAACCTCAAGGCTTTTATTTTAAGATCCCAAAGCATTGCATTCCAGAACCAAAGTAAAAACTACTGAGAACTAGAGCTTTTTCTCTGATTCTCAGATTAATTTCACCGAAATCCAGAAACTTTTTTCTCTATCAATGATCTTCAACATGAATCCAATTTAATTTGAGAAAGAAGTTTTCTAACAAGTACGTCTGCCCTTCTATCAAGAAACTCATGCCTCGAAAGCTGACAAGAAACCCACACGGAAAAATTTATATTTTGAAAAAAAAAAATATAAAAATATATCTTAAATTGGCCCAATTTATATAAAGAAAATACATAAAATATATGGTTTACACATATTTATTATGTATTCTTTATAAATTTGAAAAATCCATGGAATTGGCCCATATTATATATATTATTACATATTTTTTAATGGGGGAAATCTCTCGTCAAGTGATTTTGTACCTCTCCCAAAGACGAGAATAATTTATTTATAAAAAAAAAGTAATTTCTGAGACCAACTCTAGTTGAATTAATTTATTCAATAGTGTTCAAACCTCAAATTATAAATACATGAACGCAAAAGCCACTCGACTTAATTCAAGAATTCGCTTTTTTGTCGCAACCTAATTGCCCCTTATCTTCCGGATCAGTACAAAATCCCTTGACAAAAAGTTTCTCGTCTCAATGTAAGATATCGTCTTCTTGTCAATTGTCAAGCAGCGAGTTTCATGATACGAGCAACGTCGTACTCATAAAAAAAAGTTCTCAGTATGAAATGAAGAAATGATCGAACCCTCCGAGGAGTTTGATTCTGATTGCCCAAACGTACGGAAATCAACGAAGCAGTCTGATATGACGAAGAAACTATTTTTAAATTTTACCTCTCTACCTATGATCGACCCCTGATCCGGAATTTTGACAACCGGTGGATCTTTTCCGCTCCCCTGTCTCGCTACTGTCCTCTGGGAACTTGTAACTCCAACGATAATCACAACGACGAGCACTTGGAAGCCAACAACATTGAAGTTTTGATACTTCATCCTGCTGCTTTGGGAGAGAGATTGCAATGCCCACAGTTCCACGAACCTTCTGCGGTTTGTAGTACTGCTTGCGTGACTCCAGCATTGCCCGAGACCTCCTCCAGGTTGTTGGAGACCTGCGCCCTAGACTGTTCAGGTCTTCTGTTTGGCTTTTATTGGTTTAGTTTTTCCCCCTTTCTACGTTTACTTCGCGTCACAATTTTTATCGTCTTGGCTTATGCATAAATCGTGGGTCCAAGGAAATATACGCTGGGGGTGGTTTAGCTGCGGCGTTTAAATGCAACGAGAGTCAACAGTCGTTTTGTTCACACTTCGTAAAGTAGAGTGATTAATGCACGAAGTTCTTGCGTAATTTGGCGAGTTGAATTCATTTTTTTGTACAATTTCTTCTCAAAGTTGCGGGTTTGTGAAGAAATTGGGGATTATTTTTAGATGGGGGACAATTGCTCGGGTGAAATTAGGAGAATTTTTTTAAGTAGATGAACCTGGCATTTTATAGCTTCAACCTGACGTGGGTAATTGTGTGCAAGAGCAAAGGCTTCTTTACTGCCTGAAATCTGCATTGAATTTTTTCAATTTTATTCTTTTTAAAGACATCAATCATGCAGGTTTGACAAAAGTTTCTATACTTTTGGAATTTTTTAATAATTATTAAACGTGTCAATTATTTCCTGTGAGAGTTGAACATAATTAGAGAAAATTCTTCAATAATTAACATAATTATTTTAAAAATGTTTGTCAGGAAATTTTGGAAAATGACAATTTAGAATGGAAAATGAAATCTAAACAAATATTAATCGAAATCCACAATCTAAATGAAGGTGATTAATCCGTGAAGTTTTTGCGTAATTTGACGAGTTGAATTCATTTTTAGCTACAATTTCTTTCCAAAGTTGCGACTTTGGGAAGAAATTGGGGATTATTTTTAGATAGGGAGTGATTATTCGCGTGAAATTAGCAGAATTTGACTTGAACGGGTGGACTAGCGCAAAAGTTTCTTTGATTCCGAAAATCTGCATTGAATTTGTTCAGGCGCGAGGATTAATTGCATTCTTTTTGAAGACATCGATCATGCAAGTTTGATAAAGCTTCTATAAATTTACAATTTTTTAATAACTCAATCGCTCAATCAAATACTGCGCGAAAAATTATAGAAAATTCATCAATAATTAACATAATTATTTCGAAAATGTTCTCCAACAGTTTAGAATGAAAAATGAAATTTAAACAAATCTCAGTCTGAATCCATCATCCAAATGAGGGTGATTAATCTTCGAACTTTTTGTGTAATTTGGCAAGTTGACTTCATTTTAGGTACAATTCTCCCGAAAGTACAACTTTGGAAAGAAATTGAGATTATTTTTAGACTGAGGGTAATCATTTGGGTGAAAGTAGGACAATTTTGTTTAAATCGTTGTATCTGGTATTTGATACTTTCAACTTGACCCGAGGTAATTGCGTGCTAGCACACTGGTTTCTTTAATTCCTGCAATCTGCATTGAATTTCTTTCCGACATGTTCTGCACGAAAATTATTCAATCCGATTCTTTTCAGCGCTCATCAATCACACAGACTTATCAAAAGTTTCCACAAATTTAAAGGTTGTCAAAGACTGAAAAAAACGCTGAATAATTCACACAATCATTTTGAAAATATTTTCAAACAGTCCATGAACAGAAAACTCGTCTGTAAAAAATGTTAATCCCCCTAATAAAATAAACACAGTAATTACAATGATCTTCAATAAGATCTCCAATGCCCACTAAAAACGCGAATGACCATTTCCACTAAAAAACCTATCAAGATACATTTCTCCAGTATTTTCCCGGAACCGTGAGTTGCACTTATCACACGAAATTAATCCCCCTCGTGCCTTAAAATTTCATCAATCATGGGGATCGTTCCACCTGAATAATAAAATATACATCGACCTTGAGAGAAAAATATAGCACCAGGACTTCCTGGTAAAACTGGCCGATAGAGAACCGATAAAATACTAGTCTTCACGCCACCTTTGAATCATCTTACTACCACCCCTCCCCCCCTCTTTCGCCCCCTGGATCTAACTACCGCGACCTTGAACGCTCGGTTCAAGATCGTCGACTGAATTGCCACCATTTTGGGGTCATTTGAACCACTTTACGACATAATTACCCCCGTCGGATCGATTCTCGATTCCATCCACCTGCTAACAACATTTTTCACCGCATTGTCATGTCAGGATGCAGAAATTCAGTTCAATACTGACGGATTGCCACAGTCAATTATTCCAGAGCGAGGCACCTTTTACACAGATTGAAAGGAACTATCCCATTTGAGAGATATGAAATGGAGAGAACGATTGAGGTCAGTGGTTTATCAAAGCCATGATTTATTCCGCGATTACATCGCGCCGTTAGTCTTGTTATCGTGACATTTCATTAGGCAAGAAGAGTTTTTTGGATGTATAATGGTAATCGTTGGTGGAATCGTGGGGGTGAAGGTCGGATGAAGTGATGATACGTCAAAATTATGGGAGGGTTGCGGAGAAAATGACTTTCTACCCCTTTTTAAACGTGAAGTTATTTCGATAAGAACTCTAGATGGAAATAATTACATTTTTTACATTTTTAAATTTTTTTGGGGATATATTTTTCAGTAAAATCGTTTGTTTCTTTGATAGATGAGAAGTAAAGGAACCGAATTATGGAGAAAAATTAGTGACTTTAATCTTACTTTTTTTTTGTTGAGTAAATTTTTTATTATGCAGGAAGAGTCTTCGGGTATAATGATAATTATAAGAGGTGAAAGTCGGGGGAAATGGCGATGCTTCGAAAATATAGCAGGGTTTTCGAAGAAAATAACTTTTTTAGCCGGGTGAACGTTGATTCCAACTATTTAAGCGACGGGCTATTCAGAACTCTCAAAAGCACGTGGAAAAAGTGAAAACTGAAAAAAAATTTTTTCACCGGGGGCCAAAGTGTTAGATCTTGGATTTTTTCAGGGGGAAAGTCGACTTTCGCCAAAATCGAACTTTTTAGCCGGGTGAACGTTGATTTCAACTATTTAAGCGACGGGCTATTCAGAACTCTCAAAAGTATGTGGAAAAAGTTAAAACTGAAAAAAAAAAATTTTCACCCTGACCCAAAGGGGTCAGATCTTGGATTTTTTCAGGGGGAAAGTCGACTTTCACCAAAATCGAATTTTTTAGCCGGGTGAACGTTGATTCCAACTNTTCACCGGGGGCCAAAGTGTTAGATCTTGGATTTTTTCAGGGGGAAAGTCGACTTTCGCCAAAATCGAACTTTTTAGCCGGGTGAACGTTGATTTCAACTATTTAAGCGACGGGCTATTCAGAACTCTCAAAAGCATGTGGAAAAAGTGAAAACTGAAAACATTTTTTTTTCACCGGGGGCCAAAGTGCTAGATCTTGGATTTTTTTAGGGGGAAAGTCGACTTTCGGCAAAATAAATTTTTTTCGCCAAGTGAATGTTGATTCCGTATTTATTGACTCCTCTAATGTCAATGACACTAGAGGTTGAATTTTGAATTTTTGAAAATTTTCATTTCCACTTGGAACAAGGGTCAGATTTGTTAACAATTCCATTTTTTATTTAGACAGCATGCAAAGGGAGGGACAAGGGTGGCTAGAATAGATTCTGCAACCTTCTCCCCTTGTTGGGTAAAAATTTCAAGCCTCCGCATACATGCGTCTCCCCTCCACCCTCTCGTGAAATGTTGATTTTCGAGATTAAAAAAAAACAATAATTGCATTTTTTATTTCAATAACGCATGCGTAAACAGGGATATGAACCCGGATTTAATATAGGCCCATAGAATTACGGGGACCGGCAAGGATTTGGAAAGTCTGAATACAAGTCCTACTTACACCTAACGAGTGCTGAAATGGGACATAACCAGAGGTAGAAAGGTCTCGGAAGCACTTGGGAAGAGGCTGCCCAAGACCTATCCAGTTCTGAAAGGAAAGACCTAAGTAGAACTTGTCAGGTCCAATTATTCGACTCGGGATTCGTCTAAGACAAATCTTCTGCTGTCGTAAATAATTCTCCAATACACGGAGAGAAATATTCAGTAAAAATTACGGAACAATCGTTTTTCGGCAATTTTTATAGGAATGGAAGAGAAGAAATCGAAAACGTTCAGTGAATTCTCAGGTTCATCACCGAACAAAGTACGAAATTGTCACGTAATTTTTCCCGAAGAAGTAAAATCTTACTCAATCCTGCCGACTTATTATGCCTCCAAAATTAAAAATCCTTGAACGTTCAACAATTTTTATGAAGCTGGTGAGTTATTTCTACGTTCCGTTCCGTAAAAATCCCAATCGTTGGGGAAAAATTACGGAACGACTTGTTGTCCCCACAGCGGTGAGTCCTCAGACGGGTGGTCAATTTTTACGGAACAAATCGTAGATTTTACGTGGCGATTGGTACAATTTCAGTTCCGACNCAATCCTGCCGACTTATTAGGCCTCCAAAATTAAAAATCCTTGAACGTTCAACAATTTTTATGAAGCTGGTGAGTTATTTCTACGTTCCGTTCCGTAAAAATCCCAATCGTTGGGGAAAAATTACGGAACGACTTGTTGTCCCCACAGCGGTGAGTCCTCAGACGGGTGGTCAATTTTTACGGAACAAATCGTAGATTTTACGTGGCGATTGGTACAATTTCAGTTCCGACTCACACATTTTATTAAATTTTACTTCGCTCGCGCATTACCTTTCGAAATGTAATTCTTACGTTTTTTCTGGTAATTTTTATCGACTTTTTCTTTACGTGTACACGGAGAAAAAAATACATCGTAATTTTGTGAGAATCCTTCCAAAAATTAGTGTGCTGTTCACCAACGCTGGGACATAACAGGGAGTCATCGGAGAATTCGCATGTGGCACACTAATTTTTACGGGAATCCCCCGAAAAAGTGGCTGGAGTCCCACCAAAAATTAGGGTGCCACTTATGAATTTTTCGACGACCCCATGTTATGTCCCGGCGTTGGGGGACAGCACACTAATTTTTGGGGGATTTTTTTTCTCAGTGTAGTGCATTCGTCTGTCTCAGCACGAATGCAATTCGAAATTTAAACAACTCCCGCGCCCATACACCCGCAAAATCCCCGACAATTCCCTAGAATCTAGAGCCTTCCGCCCGCCACATTGTCAGCCCACAACTCAGTCGTCGCCATTGCAACGATCAACGACCTATCTTTCCCAGCGCTGCACTCCTCGCGATTAACACACACGTTTATAAACAAGTAACACAACCGCACCCACAATACAATGCCGCGTGTTGTTTCTCCCGAGTAATCACCGAGCACTCCCAAATATCTCCGTAACAACCAGTGGCCCAAAGATGCCACGAAGTGTCTCAAGTATCCCTGAGAAATCGATAAATTCCCCCGTTTGATTGTCAAAATCGGCGAAATGTTAATCTGTCATTCGAAACGTCTCTGACATCACGTTCACCCGAGTGTTGACTCAGGCCCTCATTGTTCACCTGTCAAGAATGCAGGGTTATTCGGTCGGATCGAGCGTTTCTTGAAGCAAAGTCATCAGGAAACTCCATCAGTTCAGCGTTTTTAAAGTGAAAATGATTTTACTCTGGGTGATTTTGATAACCTGCGGGGGGTTATCAAGTTGCCAGGATTACTTGGGGTGTTATAAGGCACCTGCAGGTGATAACGACGCCTTCTCTGCTTTGAATCGTGCCAGTGCACCCACGGAGTGTATTGAAGAGTGCAAAAGACATTATTACATGTAAGTATTATTCATTTTTTTAAGGGAGTCTTGAATTTTTTTGATTATTTGTTCAGAGAAGGGTTGGGTGAAGGGGACTGCATGCACCATTTTCAATTGGCAATTATGCCAGATTGGCAGAGTCGAATCCAACGATTTTTGTTTCATTTCGAAGGTATTATAGGGGTTGAAATGAAATTTGAGTTATTTGAATCGTACCATTTGGTCGGGAGGTATTGGTCACGAGAGCTATTAATTTTGGTTCGTTGTTTCCTGGTTTAGTAGAATTGATCGAGTTCGGTTGTGTGTAAAGATTATGACAAAAATTTTCCTATTTGCTATTTGCAAAAATCTTCAATTTTTTGGTAATTCGGTAATTTCATTCTTGAAGCAAGAATTTTCAGTCTTCCATGGGAAATCTCAATTTCTTTGGTATGAAATTTACTGTTGGAGGTGAGAAACTTAGAAAATCTAATAATTTAAATTATTAAAAATAATAAAAAAAATAATTGAATCCAAAATATTTCATTTTTAAAGTAGTAGTCTTCAATTTTGAATTTGGTAACTTGGAAATTTACGATTATAATTGAGACTTATAGAATCTTTATAAATTGATATTCCTAAGGATAAAAATTATCCTTAAAATATTAAAAATACATTTTCGATCCTTTCAGAAAAACTTTTCACGTCATTTTACATGAATGGTGCAATTTTGATTAAAATAATAACGAAATTAGCTATGTAGGAGTTGATTTTCAAAAAACTAATTCGTAATTGTTATTGCACATATTTTTCTAAAAAAAAATTAAAAAACACCTCTGTAGCTCAAAAAGTGGAGGCCCTGGACTATTTTCAACATTTTAAGCGTTTGTGGGGTAAACGAACAATAAACAATTAGTTTTTTGCACTAATTATTCGTTTTTCCACATACATAATCGATCCTCAACATATGAGAAATCTCATTTCAATACCCCGCGACTTTTAAAACTCGTAGTCGTCTCCCCTCAATTCAAAAATGCCCAATAGTGGAAATCGACTCGAACTATTTACCTCTTGAACAATAAATTCAATTCTCTCCCCCATTTTTTCGTTTCTACTCAACTATCCCCCAAATAACCCCATCAACTCCCCCAGGTACGCAGGCTTGATGAGCGGTCAGCAATGCTACTGCCTGAGCGGTTACGGTCGCGACGGACCGTCAAACGGTTGCACAATCCCCTGCGCCACCGAGCCCTCCTCTTTCTGTGGCTCCCACGATGCCATCAGCATCTACGCGACCAACCAGCGCGGTCCCTCCCCCCCGCGTCACCTCCAAGTAACAAAAACCGCGTCCTCCTCTCTGCATATCACCTGGGAACCCCCGAACATCCCGAACGGTAACGTGACATCCTACGTAATCCGCGTGAATCCCGTGAAAACCCACTCGCCGCGTCTGCTGCTACCGACGCAGTCCCAGGTCCAGGGTGGCTCCTCCGACAGTACAATCCTGACTGGTCTCCACCCTGGCTCGACCTACAACATCTCCATGACCGCGCTGAACCCCGAAGGGGAGTCGGACCCCATCTCAATCCTCGAGGAGACCGCCCTGGGCCCCCCGAACCCCCCAGAGACGCCCAAAATCTTGGACAGAACCGCGTCAACAATTACTCTGGAGCTCTCCAAAGGCTCCAGTGAAAACGGACCCTTAACGGCCTACCAGATCCTCGTGGTCTACCCCGGGACGATCCCCCCTGCGAGACCTAACGAATCCTTTCCGAACTACTCTCAAGCCATCAGAGACAACACCCCCTACTACGTAACAGCCGAGTTCGAAGCCTCGGACTTCGCGAAAAACCAAAAATTCGTCGTCGGGGACGGAAGAAAAATAAACTCTTATTACAACGCGCCCTTGGAGAAGCCCTTCGACGCCCCCCAGATCGGTCTCGTCGCGGTCTCCAGGACGAGAACGGCGTCGTTGTACAGCTACTCAGGCCTCACTGAGAACATGATGAATGCCTCGAGGAACGGAGGGAATGGAATTGCTGTGTTCCTGTGGGTGGCGATCGTCTTCTTGAGCCTGCTGCTGGCAGCTTCCATCTTTGTGTACCTCGTCCTGCGGAGGAGGTATGTTGCAGAAATGGTACTTTTAAGGTGCAAGTAATTTCAGGCTGGTTGTGCTAAAGTTTAACTCTCGATCGCTCGCGCTCCGCCGCAGCCTTCATCCGTCGCACGGTTAGCGCAGCGCCGCTGCGTTAAACCGAGCGCGCCGTTGCCACCTTCGCGCTGACCGCTGTGCGCGCAGTCCCAGTGTGGCAGTGAATGTAGCAACACTGCCGCTCGAGCGGTCGACAGGGACTCACTCGCGGCAGACGGCGCGGCGTCGCTTTTCTGTTCGTTCGACGTTTTTTTTTTAGCTAAACACTCACACGGAAAAATTTATATTTTGAAAAATTTATTAAAATATATCTTAAATTTGGCCCAATTTAAAATATCATTCTTTATAAATTTGAAAAAGATATGGAATTTGAGAAAAATATATGGACAGCCGGCGACGCCGTGCTCATTGAGCGAGTGATCGAGGGTTAAGGAAGTGATAGTTTTTTTTGTTGAGAATGAGACGATTGTTTTATTTAAGCTTAAATTATTGAATTGTGGATAGTTTGTTTTTGAACGGAGAATATTGGGATGATTTCGTTTCCACAGCACCTCTGTTACATTTCTTGAATTCGTAAAGTTTTATTCTTCAATCAGTCGTTTTGAATTCTAAGTTTTTAATTTTAAACCCAGAATATTTGAGTTTTTTATAAAACTGGTTTATTTATAAAGCACCTACAATTTTGAAATCGGTAATTGCAGTGTTGAATTAAGAATCTTCAGTCTTGAATTGGAAATCTTAATTTTTTTGGTCCGAAATTTACTATTAGAATTGAGGGACTTATAAAATATTCTTAAAGAGATTAATTTAAATCATAATTTCGAATAATTAATGAATCATTGGTCATTTCTTGACGTCATAACGTTTTATTCTTCAATGAAGATTTTTAAATTTTGATCCAGAGCATTTGATTTTTCCATGAAATATTTCATTTTTAACCCACTGCTTCGCGTAACTCTCGAATCCTCTCGGTGTGAGAGGAGTGGGGCGTCCGTCTAAGTATTACTGCGCCATAAGAGACGCACGCGCATCCCTAAAAAACGGCGAAAAGTGGGGTACCGTGAGACGAAGCAACGGGTTAAAACAAAAACTCTCAATTATAAACTCGGTAATTACATTCTTGAAATCCCAATTTCTTTGGCAATCTCAATTTCTCAATTTACAATTAGAGTTGGACTCACAAAATCCCCATAAATTGATTAACTCAAATAATAATTTCGAATAACTACCGAATCATTGAACCAACGAATGACTATTCCATTCCGAAACAACCAAGGTACGCCGGCCGAATGGGTAAGCTCCCAGAGCAGCAGGAGTTGACCCTCCAGGGGCCGATGTACGAGGTCGATAACATGGCTTACATCCCAGAGGACGTGCCAGAACGACCGAATCACTACCAGGACCTGAAGAAAAAGGTCTGGAGCATTCCCAAGAACTTTCTCAATGTCGACTACCAGTTGGTGGTGAAAAGGGGGCGATTTGGGACAATTTACAAGGGAACGGTTCAGGATAAGAACGGGGTCTTGTCGGAGGCGGTTATTCACTGCATATCCGATGTGAACCTCAGGCCTTCTGAGAAGAAGCACATGCTGAGAGATCTTGATGTCTGCATCAAGACTGGGAGCATGAAGTACTTGGCCGGGTTTGTGGGGAATTGCGAGACTCCAGAGACACTTTATATCGTCCTGGAGGCGACTCCTGACACCTTGAAGAATAGATTATTAGCTGCGAGGGTCGGGCAGGTCTTCCCTTATGAGCAGATACTTCCTATTGGATCGGGCATTGCTCAGGGGCTGGCTTATCTCGAGGCTCACAAGGTCATTCACTCGCATCTCTGTGCCAGGAGCATTGGCTTGACTAGTGACTATGTGCCTAAGATAGGGGGTTTTGGGATTGGGAAACATTCAATTGAGGATGTTAAGTTGGCTAGGTGGACAGCGCCTGAACGGTTTGGGCATAAGAAGCATATTGGGGGGGTCGTTTGGGCGTTTGGGGTCGTTGTTTGGGAGATGATGAGCATGGGGGGCACACCGTACAGCGATCTTGAGGATGAGTGCGATGTGGAGGCGGCTGTGGTGGAACAGGATGTCAGGCTGCCGCAGCTCAGGGACATGCCGGATCCTTTGTATGAGGTGCTCGTCTCGTGCTGGATGGTCGATCCTGAGGAGCGACCCATTTTTGATGAGCTCGCAAGACTGGTAAGATGACGGAAATATGACAGTATTATTTTGTTATTCAAAATTCAGTGATTCGTATTGGACATTTTTCTTTTTTTGTGGCTTGTTGTTGTTTAAGGATGTCCAAGTACTTTGGCTATTTTTTCTTTAGTGAAATGCTTTGACTACTCATTTGAACCCACTTTAACCCTAATTTTCCGCATATTTTACAATGATTTTATTATTTAGACTTTGCAGGTCTGAATTTGAGACTTAATATTGAGCTGTTAGAGAACATTTTAAAAATCTGACAAATTAGAAAGTTCAATTTTGGAGGAAGATTGATGAAATAATTAAAAAATTGCAATTTTTGAAAACTACGAGCATTTTCTATAAATAATTTATAAACAATCATTATTCCACCGTAAAAATCATTTTTTTGGAATCGTAATAAATTTAATAATATTCAGAATTTTGCCAGAAATCGATTTTATACTTTAAAAAATTGGGTTTCCGAAAGTTTAAAGAATTTCAATTATTTATTTATAAATAACAATGTGTAAAAAATGATAATTCTGTGCAAAATGTAATTTGAATGACGCTGAAAATTCATGATTTTTTTTTAAATTTTCCTCACGCAATTTAATTCACACATTTGGTGATTCAATATGCAAAAGATATTTGGATATCCTTAAATATTTGAGAAGAAAAAGTCAGGTTTTCTTCAACACATTTCAGTTAGAATCAATCGTTTTTTTAAGCTGACTGAGTTTCATCATTCAAATGAAAAAAAAATACTTAAATAAAAAAAAATGGCGAAAGACAATTTTTGGTGGCTGATAAATTTTCCTGAATCGTTCCCAAGATAAATTGACACTAAACTAAAGTGTCAAAACGTTATAAATAATTTTATTCTCCGATTTGATCCAGTGCTCTTGCATTTATCTATGAAACCAGTGATTTCTAGAGAAAATCTTCAGGTGCTTTTATAAAACAAATGAAAGTTATTCAAAAAATTCCTCTCCATTTTTTCTCCTGAAATCAATTGTCATCAAGTCACCGAATACATCATTTAAAAAAACATCAAATTCGAATGATTGATTCGTTCTCGAATTGAATATTACTGTATTCGTCAGAAAATGTCAGATTTTTGCAGCTGCGGGAATTCCCCAATAAAAATCTTCTGACATTTTCCCCTAAAATCGTTATCAAAATAATCCAATATTACCCGAAATATGGGAAAATATAATTAAGACTGAAAATTAACAAAATTATTCTAATTTAATTTCAGAATACACTGAGCATCTGTCCCATCACAGCCATCACCGAACCATACCTAGCGGAACTGGAATTGAATTAAAACTCGTTTCCCCAGGAGAGGAAGGGGCACAAGCGCAGAAATTGTTTCGTTAAAAAAAATAATGGAGCTCTGACTGCGCTTATTTTGTATCATATTTCCAACTTACTCGGCTTACAAGGTCGTGTACCTTCAGACGTTCAGTTACCAAGCACAAAAATTTCATTAACTAAAGAACGAAGTTTCGAGGAATCACTAGATCTCTGAGCCAATTGTTTTCGGTCCTCTAGGGTTTATTTTATTTTGTATATTTACGAGGCGTTCAGGCTCAAATTGCGATTATTTCCGTCCATTTTACTTAATCAGTCATAATTAGTACATTTTTTGATGTAGTTATGATTTTTTAATTTTTTTCTTGCGAAGAGATAGAGTAGATGTTTTTCTATGGTTTTTTTAATACTGACACAGTGTTTTTAATTCAATCAATTTTATTCATCGAACAATAACGCTCTTTTCATCGAGATTTTCACTTTGTCACGCATCACATGAGTGCTTTCATGTATTGAAAAAAAGTAATCTCATGATCACCAAAGTACAAAACAATTTGGCGACAAATACAATTGAAAAAGCAGAGCTACTTGATATCAGTCGATATCAAACGTTCAAAGCAGCTGATGAATATCGGTATTCATAAGTTGGTCCCGATAATTCTAAAGATTAGAAAATATTGAATACTTTTTTATAATAAAAAAAGATCACTGATGTTGTTTAATATCACTGTGATATTTTCTCATCAATTGTAAGATAATTAAGTCTTAGCATTAATCGCAGGTTTTATTGTATACGAATTCGTCGGATTATAATTAGGACTGCAATTGCTTGACATGCAATTTCAATCCAAAGATCTTATCTCCTCATCAGTATTTTTAGAATACACTTAAAACTACACGAGGGAGTGTATTTTTGAATTGAGAATTTGATACTTTTTCAGTCGAGAATACGAGAATTCTCAATTTAGGAGTAATCGTGCTTGATTCAGGAATTTTTTCTCAGAATTCTTGAGTCATCGACTTTTTAGTATTGAAGGAAGAATATGATTCCTGGAATTCAGCTTTAGGCTCCCCATTTAATCCTTCAAACGAGACGATTAAACCTCAAAGGCAAAAAGTTTTATTCTTGAATTCAGAATCGTCAGTCTTGAATTGAAAACATTCTATCAATCATGAAGAATATTGCCTTTTGAAGCTAGAATATTCAATTTTAGTAGCAATTCTATTCATTTTTTAATCCAGAATATTTTATTCTTCAAAGCAAACTATTGAATACTTCATACGTGAAGTAAGACATCAAGAAAGAAGATATTCATTATGGCATCGATTCGTGAAGGCAAAATATTTTATTCTCCAATCAAAGCCAACAATTCTTGACCTAAGAATATTTTCCTCAAACTCAAAATATTCCTCATCTAACCAGGCAACAAATCTCACATTAACAATCTCAAAATCCTCAATCAAAGCCTACAAAAATTCCTAAATCAACTATAAAATTCTGAATTCAAAATTATTTCTCCCCTTCTGTACATTCACTATTTACACTCTTCCTCGCCCCAATCGCTAGCTCCTTCCCGCTCACTTTGAGTTTACAAAAGTTAATTATTCCCGAAACTACACGAGATTCCGTCGTAAAAAAATAAAAAATTGATCAATAGAAGAATCCACGAATTTAACAAGATCAGCCTTAAGAATTCCTAGACAAAAAATTCTACTTCACTTGATTTGCGGAGCTGAGGCTTTGCTAGAGTGCGAGCAAGTAGGTCTGACCCCAGGGACATTAGTCATACTGGTCATTGGACAGAGTATTTGTCTGTAAGCCTCCCTGTACAATTTATTAGTGCCGGCATAAATGAACGGATTAACGACTGACGAAGCCCAGGCAAGAATCGACCCAATTACATGAACAACTGGTGCCTTGAACTCGATGACGTTGACGAGCATGAGTGGAAAAAAGCAGAGAAGAAAGCACAGGAATATTGTGAGCATTAGTCTCGTGACCCTCGAGTCCTCCCTCTTCTGGAATCCAGTGTTCCTCCTGGATCCCGCATGTGCCTCCAACTTCTTTCGGCTCTCCCTGACCTTCCAGTAGATGCAGAGGTACGAGACGATTATCACGACGCAGGGGACGATGAAGCCGATGATGAAGAGCATCTTCTTTGGGCTTTTGCCTTTCTTCTTCAGAATCGTGCAGGAGAATGTCTTCGGATCGTGCCCCAGTTTGCCCCAGATACCGGTAAGTGGTGGTAATAGTAATGAAAAACTCAGGACCCATATTGCTATTAACATTAATGTTATTCCACGGGTTGTGTAGATCCTTGGGTAGAGCTCAGGCTTTGATATCAGGACGTATCTGGAAATTGGTGGGAATGTTTTCGAATCAGTTGTGAAATGATCAGGTCGTCATGCTAATCGCAATTTTTTTTATGGGAGGGTGGGACAAAATGAACTCTTTATCTTTCTTTCATTTTTGTTAATTAGATAACAATAATTTGCTTGAATAATTATGGAATTATAGTTGAATAATTTTCATTATTGTCATAATTCCATTATTTTTATAATTCTGAAAATGTTTGTACTTTCCTAAGGAAAAACATTAGTCCATTTCATGGAAAATTCAATGAGTTATTGAGATTTAAAACAGAGCGATTAGTGTCCATTTGGTTCGTATAAAATATAAAGTTCCTAATTTGGGAATAAACAACCCTAATTCACTAATTTGTTCTCTAAATTCTCGAATTATGGATATTTCATTCTTGAAGCAAGAATGTTAGTTGATTCATCGAGAATTTTTTTTTAGCGAGAGTATCATTTTTTTTTTAATTCATGATGTGTTGGACTGTTAATTCTTCATTCAAGAAATTTTAATCCAGAATATTTCATTCCTAAAATGAGAATACCAATTGTTGATTTACTTCGGGAGTTAAAAAACTGCTGAAATGGGAATCAGGCTTTAACGCTAATCGTAAAAATTTTTAGGGGAACTTCCCTCCAATGTCAAAAGAAAAAAAATTATTCCATTTCATGAAAAATTCAATGAGTTATTGAGATTTAAAACAGAGCGATAAGTGTCCATTTGCCTCGTATAAAATATAAAATCCCTAATTTGGGAATAAACAACCCTAATTCACTATTTTTTTCTCTAAATTCTCGAAACATGGACATTTCATTCTTGAAGCAAGAACGTTAATTTTTTACTCGAGAACATTTTTTTTGAACGAGCGTATAATTTTTTCAAATTCATCACGTGTTGTTCTCCAGTCAAAACTGTTAATTCTTCATTAGAGAATTTTGAATCCAGAATATTCCGTTCTTGAAATGCGAGTACCAATTGTTGATTTACGTTAATTAAAGAAGACTAGTTTCGAGGCAGAATTTTCATTTTACGAAGCCTTGGCAGTAAAAACACTGCTGAAATGGAATAAAGAATTTAAAGAGTTTGAATCCAGAATATTCCATTCTTGAAATGCGAGTACCAATTGTTGATTTACGTTATTAAAGACGACTAGTTTCGAGGCAGAATTTTCATTTTACGAAGCCTTGGCAGTAAAAAAACTGCTGAAATGGGGGGAAAACTTTGCGGCGTGCATTCTCAGCCAAAAATAAATGGAAATATCTGGAAGATGGCTTGAAGAATTTGTTCTTACTATAGAAACTGGATGAAACGAGTTGAGGGTGATCCAAAGGGAATAAATAATTTTAGGAAACGTTTAAATCGGTCAATCACTTCGTCTTTTCGAATAGTTGGAGAAGTTTCCTCAATTCTTATTCATTCACCTCCGCAAAAGAATCCGAAAAATTCTTCCTTTTTTACTCCCGCGGCCTTTTAATCAAAATAATTATGACGAGGATTATTTCTCCGATTTTTACAATCAATAATATTTATTTTTAAAGCAAGAATACTCATTTTTGAAAAAAACAGAATATTTACTCTTGAATCACAGAGATTAGTTTTAAGAATATTCAATTCTTGTTCATTCACCCCAGCAAAAATCCTAAAAATTCAATTTCTGCTTCTTACTTCGCCGAACTTCTATAGAAATTTTCCTTAACCCTATTAATTACATCAACGTTGACTATCAAAAGCGCCGGCCCTGTGCTATATAAAGAGTCAGCAGAGGCCACAGTGACTCATAAATCATAAATAGTTGATAGAATCGCCGAAGAATATTTTCTCAATTTCATTATTTAAAGACAAGGGGCGGAAATGCATCCATTAATTTAAAGACAGAGGGCAATTTATTCAAAGATAGAGATAGAGAGAGGAAATTGTTGGTCGACTTTTGTTACCTATTAAGTGTTATCGCCACCATACTCAGCAATGAGACCGCCACATTTCCGTAGAAAAATACCGGGAATATCTGGCATAATGTATCCCCCAGTATCCACGCCTCGTGCAAGTATCTGCTCGCTGTCAGAGGCAGATTAACAGCCGCGAAGATCAGGTCTGAGATACTGAGACTTATGACGAATGCTGTCGTTGCGTTACGACGCAGACGAGTGAATTTCAGAAGTGCTATTACAGTCACCAAGTTTCCTGAAAAAGGTAAGAACTTAGCTAGGAAGTCTGGGATATCTCCATGTCAAAGGGATTTGGTCCAGCTATTTTTTATTTTTTAATCTGATTTGCGAATGAACGAATTATTATTGGGACAAATGAGATTCTTTACTAATTCCTGAAATTTCAGCCTGGGAATTTCGGTTGAAAATATTTCAATGGGACAAGTTGAATAGAAAATTCAAATTCTATTGATTTTTTTCTATAAAATATTTTGCTTTGAACATTCAATTTGATAAAAATATTTATAAAAATATTGATAGAAATATCTTGCTTAGAAGATTTAAGTTGATAAATTTCTTCCTTCACGCACTGTCGCAAAATTTGTATTCCCTCCTTTGATTCATGACCTCAGTTCAAAGAACATCCTCCGTTTCGCGCTCTCCAAGCGCAGAATAACTACATTTCTTTCCCTCTCCACCCCACCCCATACAAACCGTCTCTATTTTCCTTTGATCTCCCCTCAAACCTGCAATCTTATCAAAATGCATATCTGAGCGTTCAATTCCCCCTGAAACATAAAAGTCGATCTTTGGACCCTTGGGCACACGACTGCCCGGCTAAATTTGCAGCAAACGCGGTTCCCACCCCCCAGTGAACCTGCGGAATTGCGTCAATTAAGCCCTCGCGTATTATTCGCGAAAACAGAGACATCAGAAGTGGTCAATTAGCCGGTCATTTCACTCAACGAGAGCCAGCTAATCTTCTGAAATTAAATTGACATTGTACTATTTTTCGTCACCCCTTAAGAAGACGTTTATTTCCGGTTCGTGATGAATAAACGACGATTAATCGGTGGGAAATGACAGTCATTCAGATTGAGCACTTTTGCGCTGAGGGAAAAATTTTTTCTGCCGAGAAATTATATGTTCGCCTGGAGAGATCTTTTGTCGTGTTAAATCAATTTCCTTGTGGACAAAAAGGAAGTTTCCACCAAAATGCGATAATTTTCGTAGTGGTAATTTTTCCCGGGAGACATTTATGTCTTTCGGGTAAATACATTCGTTCTACAGAGAATTATATGAGACTCCGGTTTTATCAAGTGAATGTTATTGAGTAGTGTATATCTTTGTCCAATAAACTTATAATTTCCACGGAACAAATGATAATTTCAAGAGGAAACTACAATTTTCTTGCCGATAACTGTGTTATTGGCAAAACTAAATAATTTCGAGGGGACAATTTTTTTTTTGGGAATAAATATTCTTTCCTCGTCAATGTATTCTCTCTGTGGTATAAACCTGTGGAGTTCTCTCAGATCAAATAATTGTCGTACAATAGATTATATTTTTTCCTGTCAACAGTTCGAATTCCTCTAGGGATATTTCTGATGATCACGAGGAAAATTTTTTTTTTTAAAGATATTAAATTTTTTTCTATCTAGTTGGTTAATTTTGCTCCAGTTGGATCAATTTAATTTGGTTCAAACGAAGTTTATTCAATTGAAATGAAAAAATTTTCTGCGCTTAGTGATTCAGGGGAGGGACCACACAGTATATTCAATCATTTTCAATCATCAAATTTGTCAATTAAATTGTGTGAGAAATTTTGAAAAAATCATGAATATTCAGCATCATTCAAATTACACTTTGCACAGAATTATTACTTTTTTAAACATTCGTTATTTATAAATAAATAATTGAAATTGTTTAAACTTTCGGAAACCTTATTTTTTAAAGTATGAAATGGATTGCTGGTAAAATTCTGAACGTGAGGAAATTTCTTACAATTCTGAAGAAATGATTTTTATGGTGGAGAATGGATTGTTTATAGAAAATGCCCGTAATTATAAAAAATTCCTCTTTTTAAATTATTTCATCAATCTTCTTCCAAAAATAAACTTTCCAGTTTTTTTTTCAGATTGTTAAAGTGTTTTCTGATGGTTCAATATCAAGATTCAAATTCAAACCTGCAAAATTTAAATAATAAAATAATTGTAAAATATTCGGACACTTAGGGTCAAATCGGGCTGAAATGAGCTCTAATTTTCAACTATAAAAGTAGAAAACCATTTCACTGGAGAAAAAATAGCCAATCTACTTCGATATCGTTAATTCGAATTAGATGGGAAAAAATGATGAAACTTCAGGAAAATTAGAAATTGACGAAAATGAATCCTGAATGATACTCAAGTCATGATGAGTCCAATTTCACCCGTTTATTTATCTCGTGTTTATCCCAGTATTGAGTAATTTTAGAAGAAAACATCGCTGAAAATCCTTCCTATAAAACGAAATTTCCCATATTATTTTCATTCAAACCGCAATTTACATATTTTTCTAGTTTTACATAATTTTAATAATTTGAAAACACATGATCAAGAACAATTCAGTAACGAGGCGGTAAAACGGTTCAAGTCGACTTAGTTCTCTACTGATTTTTTGAGGAATATCTTTGAATCTAAGGGAGATAGCGAAATTTTCATAGTAAGCTTTTTCATAGATCTCAATTCGCTCTACAAACAAGGTTATAACGAAAATTTTACTATTTGCCTTACATTCCGAGATATTCATTGAAAACTGACCAAAAGCTAAAATCGACTTAAACCGTTTTACCGCTTCGCTACTGAATTCAATTTCATCGTAATAATCCACTACGGTAATAATCCACTAACAAACTAAAATCACTCCAAATCTCCCCTAGCCACATTAAAAAAAAAACTTCCTCCTACCGAGAACCCCAACGACGCTGAAGAGAATCGCACAGGCAGCGGCGATGATGGTGAGAGGTCTCGAAAACTGTCCCTCCAATCCTCCCTCCTGCATAATCGCCACATCCGTGCCATTCATCATCGAACCTTCTCAATACCCCCTCGATGTGCCCCAGCAACCATTCACCCAACACCCTCTATCACTCGGCAATCTCAGCCGTATTCTCCAACATGTGTTGACCGAATGATTCACTCAACATGCAAAAACCGCACGTTTCTTCTCCTCACTATTTCACTCTTCCCTCCTTATTGCGAATCGATAAGGACGTACGTCAGACGCACTTTGAGTTATAAATCCTCATCGAACTAAAAATAGAAATACAATTCTAAAATCGAAAAACGTGCCCCAAAGTCGCAATACCGATTTCCCCTGTCGTAAATATTTGCCAGTGAGTTCCTGTCAACATTCAACTGCCGTTTGTTGACGTTTTCAATTGAAACTTTATAAATTGTATTCCGTTATTATTCACAAGTCGACTGACACATCGGTAATGCCACACTCGGTGAAACTGTTCTGCCTCCAGTGGTTTCTTACGCACGTCTGGCTCCTTCGCTCCTCTCTCCTTTTGCCGATACGCACTGAAGACTTCTTATCTTCTACCACTCGAATTAGCTGTTCGCGTTTCTCACTCGTTGTCGCGCGCTCTCGCTCGTTTCAACCACATGGGAGGGACTTTTTATTTATTTTTTCCAATGGGAACCCTTTTTTAAGGGCCTGCGGCCTCTGGCGAACCAAATTCGACGGGGGAAAACCACTTCCGTTCGCCGAGGTTTTAGGAACGTTTATTTGATCGGTTGAAAGCTTTTCCTGTTTGTTGTTTCACGAGTCGAAATGTCACGGACTAGGTGTGAGTATTTGGTGCGGGTTTCGGCTTGTTTGGGGGTGAAACGGTGATTGAGTCGCTTGTTTTTTTGTCATTGGGGATTTTTTAGTTTTTGTTGGACATGTGCGAAAGAATAGGCGACTGTTTTGGTGAATGTTGGCAGAGAAAAGAAGTTTTTAGTTTTCAGATGCAAAAAGTACTGGAATCCACTGAAATTTCTCTGAGAATCAATGAAAATGTTCTAGTTCTTAATAACTTGAACTAAAATTGAATGAATTTTCATAAAAATTTAGGTAAAAATTGCAATATTTCATGCAAAATTTGAACGAAATATTGGTATTTTTGCTGGAGTTTATGCATTTTTTACTAGAAATGATATGAAAATGTTAAAGAACAGTAATTTATCGGTAATTTTTGGATAATTTTTCTCGCCACGCATATAATGAATTTGTAAACTTATATTTACGCTTTGGTTTTTATTGGAAATGTTCAGAAACATATGACAATTTCAGTGAATGTTCACAGAGAAATGAAATTTCTGGTTTTCAGATGCAAAAAGTAGTGGAATCCACTGGAATTTCTCTGAGAATCAATGAAAAAGTTCTATTTCTCAATAGCCTAAACTAAAGTTGAATGAATTTTCACAAAAATTTCGGGAAAAATTCCAATATTTTAAGCAAAATTTGAGCGAAATCCTGTAATTTTTCCTCAAGTTATTACATTTTTTACTAAAAATGACATTAAAATCTTAAAGATCAATAATTTATCGGTAATTTTTGGACAATTTTTCTCGCTGCGCATATAATTGAATGAACTTTCCCAAAATTTGGGTAAAAATTCCAATATTTTAAGCAAAATTTGAGCGAAATCCTGTAATTTTTCCTCAAGTTATTACATTTTTTACTAAAAATGACATTAAAATCTTAAAGATCAATAATTTATCGGTAATTTTTGGACAATTTTTCTCGCTGCGCATATAATTGAATGAACTTTCCCAAAATTTGGGTAAAAATTCCAATATTTTAAGCAAAATTTGAGCGAAATCCTGTAATTTTTCCTCAAGTTATTACATTTTTTACTAAAAATGACATTAAAATCTTAAAGATCAATAATTTATCGGTAATTTTTGGACAATTTTTCTCGCTGCGCATATAATTGAATGAACTTTCCCAAAATTTGGGTAAAAATTCCAATATTTTAAGCAAAATTTGAGCGAAATCCTGTAATTTTTCCTCAAGTTATTACATTTTTTACTAAAAATGACATTAAAATCTTAAAGATCAATAATTTATCGGTAATTTTTGGACAATTTTTCTCGCTGCGCATATAATTGAATGAACTTTCCCAAAATTTGGGTAAAAATTCCAATATTTTAAGCAAAATTTGAGCGAAATCCTGTAATTTTTCCTCAAGTTATTACATTTTTTGTGAGAAATGATATGAAAATCTTGAAGAACAATAATTTATCAGCGATTTTCGGCCAATTTTTCTATTACATTTTAAACTTATATTTCCACTACTTTTCCGATAACTTTTCCGCGATTTTTCTGTAATTTTGGTTGTCAGGAAGATGTGCAGTCCATCACTGTGATCACACGACTGCTTCCCGGTTTTTCTTCCCCCGTTATTTTAACGCGGTTTGAAAAAGGTGCGCCGAGGTGGTAGTGGCAGACTCAACCGGTGAACAGCTGGCCAACCCCAACGCGAGTCACCTCCCTCCACGGGTCTCGGTCTACGTGAACAATTGGGGAAGCAACACGTCTCAATAGGATATTATAAGCGTTGCAGTGGAGTTTGTGGGGCGTTTGATCCCAAGGGAGGATTACAAATGCTCGGGAGGGTTTTTAGGGTGAATTGCAGCTGTTGTAACTGCAAATTTTTTAGGAATCATATCACGCGATTTGTCGAGTTTTTGAAGTGAAAAGAAAATCAAATCTAATTGTTTGAATTACACGCAACAGGACTGAGTAGGGCAAAATGGATAGAATATTAATTTAAAAAATAAAAATTAAATTAATTTTTAACGAAATTTATTGCAAGAAAAGTCTTTAAAAAAATATTTTTCTTACAATAGGCCATCGCCGGAGGGCCTTCAGCCAATATTAACCAAATTTTCTTGAAACATAAATGATTCATAGAATTGTTGATGAGACGGAATATTTTTTTCCGAAGGAAGCTACATTTCTTCGCCTTATTGATGAGCCTAACATGAATTCAATTGGTGATTTTTTTCCCGAAAATAGAAATTGAAAAGTTGAAATTCGCCCAAATCGCGAAATTTTTGTCTTATTTTTACGTAAAACTATTTAAGTTCACATAAATTTCAGCTGAAACTTGCAATTTCAGGGGACTTTCCCCCTTTAACAGAATTCAAAGTCATTTTCCTGTGAATTTCTCTTCAATTGTCTACAAAGTTCCAATTTTTTATAACGACGCAGTTAACTACCAGAACTTCCATTCAAGTAGAATTAGGTTGTTTTTAAAAACAGATCTAAATCCAGAATACTATTCTAAACTCCAACATTTATTCATTCCACTAGAAGTGAATATTGCATCCGCAGGGAGCACACTAATGAATCAACCGCGCAAGTGCAGAGAAATGACGCATTTGAATCAAATAGAGCTCTTTAATTGATCCAAATGAAGGATTATTACATGATAATAATTTCTCTCTCTCCGCCATCTAAACAATTCCTTCATTCCTAATTAATATAGTTTTTAATTGAATGAAATAAACTTGTTTATATTTAAAACACTATTCATTTCACGTGAATAAAAATGCGAATAAAACTTGAGTTTGATTAAACAAATTCATTGAATTCAAATAAATCACATGGAGAGAAATATTCAATAAAAATTACATATCTCTTCCGTAATTCCGGGGCGAAATGTGATTGTTAAAAATTTTACGGAACTGTCACGTAATTTTTACCTAAAATCACGAAATTTTTCCAGAGCGTTCCGTAATTTTTATCTGAATCTTCTGCGCCACTTAAATTTTCTGAGTCGATTCCGTAATCGGCGAGCGAACATTTCTCTCTGTGCACTTTTCTGGATGCAGTTAATTACCCTGCGTACGATAGGATTAATGAACGTCTCATTTTATCTGCATTCAACAAAAAAAAGAAACTATAACGATCAATTCCTGTTCTTTTTTTCATGAAACCCCCGAAAAAACCATAATTACCCCCTGAAATATCCATTTAAAAATGGCAAAATGACTGGGACTTTTTATTACCCCAAAACGAAATAAACTCCCAAACTATCTGACTCCCTCCAACGATCCATAATTGAATGCACAAAAATCTCTTTATTCGATCTAAATGAAGGATTATACTAACTAACAAAGTCTTTAATTGAATCAAGGAAACGTTTATAAATTTATATATATTTAAAACTATTCATTTCACGTGAATAAAAACGCGAATAAAACTTGAATTTGAATAAACAAATTCATTTAATTCAAATAAATCACTTCCCGGGGGCCAGTTAATTACACCGTCTGCAAGAGAATTAATTAATTAAGCATTTCATCTTATCTGCATTCAACAAAAAGCCTATAACGATCAATTCCCCTTCTTTCTCTAATGAATCTCCCGAAAAACCTCAATTTCCCCTTTAAATATCCATCAAATAAAATGGCAAAATAACTGGAACAACGATATACTCATCATTACACTAAGGAAAAATAAACCCGCAAATCATCTGACTTCCTCCACCGATCCATCCGTCAGTAAGTGCATAAAAATTTCCAGTAGTAGCTTCCCCGCGTCAGAACCCCTCGAACAAGAAAACAAACTCCCCCCCCCAAATAAACAACTAAAACTTCTCATTACAACCGAAAGAAAAACATTCACCGATGTCACCCTGTTTACATTCGCCTCAATTGACTCCAAAATATTTCTGAATAATTCATCGAAAAGTGAAAAGACCCAGAATAATTAAAAATCCACTTCTTTGTTGGTCTCGTTTGAGAACCATCATTGAACGCTGAATGAGCTCATTGTTCGGTTCTCTCTCGCTACTCCATTTGAATTCAACAGTGAATTCCATTCACAGCATCTACACGCTCCTCTTCAGCTAACGAAAAAAAAGCCTCTTCAGTTCTCGAGAGAAATAAAACAATGGAGGGGGAATTGTGAGAATAATCCAGGATCTCATTCGTTTTAACATTCCCCCAGGTGTTTGGTGATAACGACATACGTAAAGATATGAATAAGAGAAATTTACTGACTCCGTTTGATTCAGACCTTATCACTAGTTTATCGCGACTTCCGGCGCACCAGAAACACTATCAACCGTAAACTACAAGTTTTTCCCGGGGAAGTGAAATAGTGAGCCTGCCAGTGAGGATTAATTCAATCCTCTTTTAATCCGATTTTGAAAAATAGTGTAACAATTTTTTAAGCCTCACGCGCGGAAAAATTTAGAGAAAAACCTGGCGAATTCGCTGGAAAATTCTGTTGGACCTTCTATTAGTTTTTAGCCGACGCTATCGAAGCATTTCGCTTTTTTTTAAATGAAAAATGTCCAATAGAATCAACTCTACAGAAAAAAAACAGTAGAATTTTGAGTATTATACAACTTTCTACTGAGACATTTTCTACGAGAATTCCTCAACATGAATTTTTTAAGTTGTCTCACTCTATTTTTCTTCTCTTGAAAAAAATCAAATGAAAAAACTTGAGGAAGAGTTAAGCCAAAGAATTTCTATAGAAAATGTCTCGATAAAATAAGTTGCGCAGAAAAACAAAATTCTATTGATGTTTTCTACAGATTATTTTTCCAACCCAAATATCGGGCAATATAACTGGCCCATTCGACATCGCGTGGTACAAGCTACAGGGTTTTCAACTGATAATTTTTTGATAATTTTCTCTGGTAGTTGCTATATAAAAAACAAAACATCATGCAGTCGAATGAACCCCTCGTCAAACTGACAGATTGAATTCAATTGTGGCGTTGTGTTAATCATACAATTTTCGTTTCTCAATTGTGAGTTTCGTCTCATGGTCCAATTATATTGCCCGACATTTGGATTGGAAAAATAATCCCTCGAATACCACATGAGCTTCAAAATTAATCGGGCATTTTCCTCAAGGTTCCCTGCATACAAACGAAGTCGTCAAGTTTTTCAGGAAAAATCACTCGTGCTTCGCACTCGTGATTTTTTAACCTGCAGAACTTGACTCCTTCGTTTGTTTGGAACGAACCTATCGGAAAATACCCGATAATTTTGAAGCTCTTGTGGTATTACAAGTGAATATTTTCCATTAAAAATTTTTACTGGAAAAGAAACGAATAGATAAGCGCCGGGAGAGAAGATCGTAGATGAAGGTGGTTGAGAGGGAGGAAAAGAACAAATATACAACACTATAGTAACAATATAGTATATCTCTATATTATAAAAATCCAAATCGACTTCTGGTGATGAAAATTGAGTACTCGAAATTAAGACTCCAAAATTAAGAGTCACAAAGGTTAAAATAATGGTCATGAGGGTCAGAATAAGGATCATAATGGTGGATCATAATAATAGTGTACAAGGATTTGTTTTTATCAACTTTTTATTTATTTTCTCTTTCTTATATAAATCGTAACAAATTTCAATCAATTAATTCTTCGGAATAAGAAATATTAAGTAATTATTATGAATTCAGTAGTAGAATTTTAAAATAGGATGGGGTTTTTACGAGAAACTTTTGCAGATAAAAATGAAAGCTACAAGAATGTCCCGAGAAACGACTCATCCTGTTTCACCACTCTACCACCATCTTCACTTTAAGTAAATAAGAATTATGCGTAAATTCCGGTACAATTCAACTTCAAAACGACTGTCATTTGAATCGTAAAAATAATGATTTTTCAATAAATGTAAAAACTCTTACTATAAAATTAATGTATTTACAGAACGCAAAAAACCGCGTTTATGTTTGATGTTTTGATAATGAAATTTGATCGACGAATTTTTGGTGTTTAGTGGCACTTGCTGATTCCTATGGCACAGATATTTCAGTTGTGAAGTTTTCGAAGGGTTCAAATTCATTCGACTTCTAGTCGAGTTTGTCTTATTTTTTCGTCGCCTTTATAGTTTGCCTACGACGAGTGTTCTAAGGAAAATTTTCCACCTCCATTGCATTCCCAGAGCCACTTCTCACCCTCGACTAAGAACCTTTCGAATTTTGGCCACTTGAAAACTGCATTGATTGATCATCTGAAGTGCCTGAAAATTTCTATAAAATTGTTCACGTCGAGCAGTCCCTGTAGGTCTGTGCCTTCTTCTCTATCTCCCCGAGCTGCTTCTCCATCTCTGTAGTGAGAGCATCAACCTGTGCCATAAGATCACTGAGAAGTCTGTCATTATCCCTGTAGACACTCTCCATTCCGTCCAGATCCTTGAACTTTGTGGTAGTGTCAGCCGTGAGTTCAGACGCCCTCTGGAGCAGCTGCTTTGCCCTCTCAATGTCGCCCTTGCTCTTGGTGACTCGATAGTTCAGGGAATCCCCAGCTCTCTTGTACTCTGTCCCCAGTTTCTGGGTCTTCTCGTCAACTGCCTTGGCGTCCTCGGCGAGGGTGAGCAGCTCCTTCCTGATTTCCTGATTCAGGACGAAGTCGTTTCGCACTGATTGGGTCTGGAGCTGCTTGAGACGGGCCTCCAGGGCGTCCACAGCTGCTGTTGTGTTCGCTGCCTTCTTCTGGGCTTCCTTTGTCACCTCTCCTACGTCCTGGAGATCTTTCTCAGATAGGGCTATATCTCGCTCAGCTTTATCAATCGCATCTTCAGCTTCTTCTTGGGCTTTTTGGGTTTCAGACAGTAGATTCACTACCTGTAAGGTGAAGAGAACAATTGTCAACGATAATATAGCTTATGAAGTACTTCAGAGTAAACTCCACTATCATAACATGAAACCGCGTATTTTGTTAATTGTTTTAGAAATGATTGGATGGCATACGACATCATTCCGTTCAATGTAGAAGTTGAAATGTGTTTTAAAATGAACCCTCATAACGATCATAACGTCATAAAACGATCTTCTCACTTTGGTCTACTAAACCAACCCTATAATTCGATTGGTGTTGTGTTCTTCATTGAGATTAATTAACGATTGCACGCCAGAATGACACGTAAATGTTAACACTAACAAATTCAACACACAAAACTATACACGTGTTAAATTTATATATGTTAAATTGTCAAGTGTTGAAATTTACGTGTGTTATTTTGAACGATAACCAAATTAACAATATTTTTCATCTATTTTCACTCAGCCCCTTTCCATACCTTTTTGTAAACCTCAATCAACTCTTACCTTGCCAGCTTGATTCTGCTTGTCAATGGCAGACTGTTTAGCCCAGTTAGCCTTTTGTTCGAGCTCCTGGGCCATCCTCAAATCGCCAGCCGTGTCAGTCAAAATCTTATCAGAATCCGTCAAAGAAACAATGATGCTGTCGATCTTGTCAGCCAACTCCCTGATCTCGTCAGGTCGCAGATGAATATTTTTACTCAAGACCTCTTCAGCAAGATCTCGAACCATCATGGGAGTCGGTTGATCCTCATTCAACACCATGATGATCTTCTCGTTCACCTCAGCCAGGGCCTTGGCCACCCTGTCTGATCTGTTACGGGCGTCGAGAGCGAAGTTGAAGGCGTCTTGGGCGTTGCCACGAGCCGCGCCGGCATCCTGTTTCAGGTCCATCATCTAAAAACGCCAAATAATTGAAAAAGACATGAGCAAAAGCCCTCCAAAAAGTTCTGAACATCTTTCTCCGGAGCAATGAAACGTCTAATTGAACATCCTTACCTTTCGTAGAAGTCCTTCAGCAGTATCCTTATGATTTCTGATCTTCTCAGCCTGTCGTTTCGCCACATCCAGTGCCTGACTAGCCTTGGTAACGGCTCCAGCCTCGCAAGAGATCCCTCCACAAGTCCCACATCCAGCCCCACCACAAACACTGCTACATTCGGTGACGTTGTCCCCGCACATTCCCAGGTTCAACCCAGGAACTTCCTTCTCAAGACCCGAGATCCTCTCGTTCATTTTCTCGATCGACGCCATGCTCTTCTCCTGGGCCTCATTGACATTGGCGCTGTTCTTAGCCAAGAGGTTTTCAGTGTTCTTTCGATACCTCTCGGCGTCAGCCAGAACGTTATTGGTCTCGTTAGCCATCTTCTCCGCCAGTCGTGACTGCTCCGCCATTTGGTGAGTTACGTTGAGGGCCCCCTGGACGTTCGCCTCCTGCAGTCTAGTCGCGTCCTCCCTCAGGAGGGCAGCCCCCTGGTGAAGACTGTTCGTCCTGTTCTTCAGTTTTTTCAAAGCAACATCCCCAAGGTTCACTCGCTGACTGACATTCTCCAGCTGATTCTCCACTTCCTCAAGAGCTTTCGTCGAGGTGGACACGTTCTTAGCCAATTGACTCGCCAAATCGTGTAGTTCGTCGAGATCCTGACTCCTCACAGTCGTGTTATCGATCAATCCTCGGACTTGGTCGAGGGAGTCCAGCATTTTATCGAATTGCTGGCTGTAGACTCCGGTGGTGCCCACTTTCTGAATCCTCGAGGCCTCCTCGATCACCAGATCTGTTTTATTACGAAGCCCGTCGAGGATCAGGTCCCAGTTGTCGAAGCACTCGCCGCAGGGGCTGCAATGAGGGGCTGTACCGATGTAACTACGATCACACTGATCGCATTTCTCGCCTCCAATGCCCTTGTGACAGACGCAGACACCTGTCTCGCGGTTGCATTGAGCCGACGATGAACCGATAACGTCGCAGTCGCAAGGGTAACACTGGACGTTAGGGTTGCCCCAGAAGTTGGATTGACATTCGTTGCAGCGACGACCTCCGAAGCCCGAACGACATTCACAGGTGCCGTCGTAAGGGTTGCACCTGGAGGTAATAAATCATTTTGTTGTGATCCCATTTGAAATACGATGGCATAGTATCTCTTGTAGGAAGGAAGTGCTGCAAATATTTTCAAGGAAAATTGAAAGGCCTGAAGGGCCTGCTTACATTTTCATTTCGTCTCTTTGAGACGAATTCAACCATATCATATTTTATCATGATATCCATTTTCCAGGAAATTCAAACTAGAAAACCAAACTAGATAGAAATACTCTTATTCTAACTCCTCAAGAGGTTCCGTTCAGATATCGTTAAGGATATCCAAGTAACTTTCACAGTTTGGTACAGACCAAACTATAGATTTAAACATTTTCAATCATAAAATTTGTCAATTAAATTGTGTGAAAAACACCACCTAATTTTCGAAAAATGATTCTTCAAACTGCGAAAAGTACACATATAGTCGGAATCAGATCATTTTTGCTCTCATAAGTTCATTTTAAGCTACTCACTTGTCCGAGACACTTCCCACAGCATCACACTCGCAAGGATCACAGCCCTGTCCACTAGCGATCCTCCAGTAGTTCTCCGCGCACCTGTCGCAAAGTTGTCCAATGACATTAGGCAAGCAAGGACACTGTCCAGTCCTGTGGTCGCAAGTCCCCGCTGCAATATCCGTCCCCAGGACATTGCACATGCAGTCCTGGCAGTTCTTCTCGAGCGCATTCCCGTAGAACCCTGGCTTGCACTGCTGACAGTTGGCTCCAGCAGTATCATAGAGACACTGTAGACAGCGTCCGGTGTATGGATCACAATTTCCAGGTCTCGACGGGTCGGTGTTGTTGCTGCAGTCGCAAGCGGTACATTGACCACCGACTTCTTCGGGATTTCCGAAGTAGTTCTCTGCGCAGTTCTCACATCGCGCTCCGGAGTATCCTTTAAAGCACTCGCAGATGACGTCGTGGGTTATCGGGTCCAGGGAACAGCTGTCCGCGTAGGCGTGACCAGAATCGATAGTTCCTGATTGACAAGAATTTTGGAAAATGACAAGAGTAATTATTAATTACTGGAAACGAACGAGAATTTTGATTTGTAAATATCTTTGGAGGAAAGAGCTTTGAGAAGATTTATCAAAAGATTTCTTCATTTCATGAAAGCTGTCTCGTTGGAAAATCGCTCTAGCTACTTGAAGCCACAAAAAAATCGTCGTTACTTGATTTGGTGCCTTGCACATCTCATCATTACAATAAGCTTTACCTGGACAAGGACACGCTCTGCAGGGAATGTCAACCCCAATCCTCGGGTCCCCATAGAAGGTGTCGATGCACCTATCACAGTTATGCCCAGTGGTATAATCTCTGCAATCTTGACAAGCTCCAGTAGACGAATCACAGCTGTCAGCGTGGCCATTGCACTCGCACCTCCTGCAATGTGGGAAGTTCCAGAATCCTGGTTCACACTGGCCACAGGTCCTGCCATAAGTGTTCGGCCTGCATTTGCACCGACCAGTATCAACATCGCAGAAGTTGTCCAAAGCACCGACTGCGTTACAGTCGCAGGGAATGCATCCGTTGGGGCCGAATCCGTAGGTGCCAGGAGCACAACGATCGCAACGACGTCCCACTACGTTGGGTTTGCAGGGACAGACGCCCCCGTAGTGCTCACAGAGGAGACTGTGTGATCCTGTTGGGTTGCATTCACAGGCTGAAGGGGAGAACAAATAATTAATTAAGACGATCCCGATTGCGTCTGAACGAAATTGGCTCACAGGGCCAAAACTGATTTTTACTTACAATGCGCTCCGTCGAACACCCAATAACCGATACTGCTGTGATACGGTGCACAAATGTCGTTCTCATCGCGTGTGTACGGGGTCACACTGTCGAATATCTCGTTACAACGATATCTTTCGTACTCCTTCCTTCTTAACTGGTTGGGGCCTTCGCCGTTGAAGAATGGAATCGAATCTATTCTTGGTCTTAAAACAATCTGACACAGAAACAGATGCGTGAATATCAATGACAAATCAATAAGAATTGAATGACAGAGAATGCAAGTTCTAGGGGTAATTTAGTAGGAATTTTTACCGAATCGATGAGGATGGAAGCAGTGGGTGTCTCTGTGTGAGGATCGAACCTCCTGAACGAGAGCAACAGCTTGTATACTTTCCCAGCTTCAAAGCAAACCGAAGGATTGGCGACAGCACTTCGGGCATTGTCAGGCAGCTGGAGCCACAGTCTGTCGTCTTCGGGTCTCCAACCAGCGCAAGGACCTTGGGGATCGACAGGACCATCTCGTGTGATCAGGATCTCCACCTCCTGCCAGACTCCAGGGTGCACAGGCTCGTAACGCACTATTATGTCGTACCACATGGATCTTCTGATGTCGTCGATTGTGAAGTTCATTGTTGAGGTTTCAACGACTTTCATGAAACCTGTCCCTGTCCACGTGTTGTTCCTCCCGTCTCTGTAGGGCTCTCTGATAACCACTTGGCAGTTCTACAGATATGGGGATGGTTTGATGAGAAAGCAGTTCAAGTAATGAAACTAATCAAAGATAAAATTGACGCGTTTCAAGTGACAAATGCGTTTTTGATTGATAAATATCTTCAAACCTACGTAAGATGTCGCAATTCTCATGAGGGAATCTTTATAAAATCGTTACTATCGCCGAGTTCAAAGTATTCATTAACAACTGCTATTGAACTGGAGTCCTCTAATCACTGAATTGAAGATGTAATGAATACTCACATCACTACCGCCTGCCAACTCTCCCTCATAAATCAGAAAGTCTAGGGACCCAGTGTAATAACTCTGTTCAGGTTGATTACACGTTCTCCCTCCTACATGAGGTCTGCATCGACATTGACCAGTGATAACGTCACAAGTGGACTCGTAGGAGCCACCAGGATCGCAATCGCAGGGCTTGCAGCCATCATGATCATCGGATAAACCCCAGTACTCCGGCAAACATTGATTGCAATCGCGTGCTGTTACGTAACGCTTGCAGGTGCACTCTCCCGTAACTTGATTGCATCCCTGATTGTCGATGGTTCCCAGGGGGTTACAGGTACAGGCTAGATGGATTAAAAAGGGATGGAGGTCAATCGATCAGCTGAAGTCATTGTGACCGATACATTGATATCCTTTAATTTGTTAATATTTTCTTGACGAGAATTACTTCAATCGTCTGGGGCTAATAAGCAGTCCTACGGTGTTACCTAAGTCCAGCTTCTTAGAATGAATTTGACTGCTGTTACCATTCTCAGTAATGACAAATGGCTGTGGTAGTTATGAAAAACCGTGGGAATAAGGAGATGCATTGGTTTGAATTACCTTGACATCCGTCGGGATTATTCACATCGAAATTCCAGAACCCGTTCTTACACAAGTCACATCTGCGACCCTCGACGTTGGATTTGCAGTGACAACGGCCGGATTCTTCGCCACTTAAAATGTCTGTCCTCGAGTCACAGATGCCATCGTCGAGGGATCCGCCAGGATCACAATCGCAAGCTGAGGGAGAACAAAAGGTTCATCTTAACGGCAATCAGAGCTTCATTAGAGGCCGTGACATCTATTCAGAATGAACACTATCGATTCCAATTACTTTCGTCTTTGGCGTCAATCCTTTCTCAAAACCAACGAATAGATGCGAAAGTAATTGGAATCCGTTTCGTTCGTCGTGGATAGGTTTCACAGCATTCTTGAAAAATAGTTATGAAACTCACGTTGACAAGCCTCTGGATGCGAGATATTCTTCGTCAAATCGTGATAGAAGAAAGGTTTGCACTGTTCGCAATTCTGTCCCCTGGTGTTGTGCTGGCAATCATCACAAACACCCCCGGAGACCCTCCCAGATCGTTCGTAGACAGCTTCGTCAAAATGACAGGAATTGGCGTGTTCATTGCAGTTACATTTTCTGCAGGCATTCGTCTGCTTTCCAACAGCAGGTTTCCATGGTCCGTCGTTATAAAGATCCTGACAGATCTCGCAATTGAGACCTTTTGTGTTGTGAGTGCACTCACATCTTCCATGAACCATCTCCTCTTCATTGACAACACCAGGGAGCTCGAGACAAGCTGAGGCGTGCCCGTAGCAAGAGCACGAGCCTCGAATCACCATGTCCTGTACAGCATAATAATACTTTTCTCTGATCTCAGCACGATCGTCCAAAAGGTCATCTCCAAGTGTATGCAATTTCGTAAAGTTGATCCGCAGATTCGTCACCTTCATCAGATTCTGAACTTCCTTTGAGTACGGATTATCGATTACGGATTGGAGGTTCGGTGGAAGAACCCTGAATATGATCTCACCCCCTGACGAGGGAGCGACGTAGGAATATCTTGACTCGCAGATCACGTCTGATAGCTTTTTTGGCACGTGGGTAGGGACTCCTGGGAATGCTTGCTCACAGTTGTGAGCGAAATATCTGTACACCTGCCAGGTCTTCCCGAAGTCGTGGGAACGTTCGATTAACATCGCTGCTGGTCGGAAGGTTTGGAAACGGATTATCATGTGAGTCAAGTGGAACTCTGCTTCTAGAGAGAAGTCTATGGTCACGTTCTCGATTCCATTCTCTGCCTGCCACCACGAGTTCTTCGACAATCTGTTTATTGGAAGTGGAAGAAGAAGTTTAGCAGGCTGTCATACTATTTAGTGCAATGAATAATTCTTTTTGCTTCCCTTCGTTAGCCTTTTCATTTCGATCGATGGTAACAAAACTTAAAAGAGAGTATAAGAGTGATCTGATTATTTTGCTATGAGCGTGAAGGAAAAAGGATAGATGGGGTTGAAAAACTTTAATATAAAGATTTGAATTGAAGAGAAATAGCCAAATTTTTGCAGAATTTGGTTTCTTTTTTGAATTATAAGATATTCATTTTTTAAAACTACAAAAGTCTTCAATAAAGTTGATCAATCTTGTTAGATTCATCAATATATTTTTGGTCAATTCTCCTTGGATAGACTGACGGTTTTTGTTGTCAATCTTTCATGAGTGATTCAACTATTTTTAGTAATTACGGAGTGAAAAGGGAAGATGGGATCCAAAAACCTTTACATAAAGGTTAGAATTGCAGGAAAATGACGGAGTTATTACAGAATTCGGTTCAGTCCCTAGATTCTAAGATATTCACTTGACAAAAAATGCAGGAAGCCCTTAGAAAAGTTGACTAATCTCATTGGATTCATCGAGATCACTTTTTTTTCGTCTCTCAAAGGACAGATTTCCTTTCTTGTATGTCAGACTCACCCTCCAACAATATTCGTAATATTATGTTGTAACTTCGGTGATGATGCATCACAGAAGAAACACTTTTTCCTTTCCTTTAAATGAGAAACTATGCAATATCTCTCCGGGTCCAAAAGCCCACAGGTTGACGATGACTTCAGTCGATCTTTTCTTCCTATTAACAAGTTACCCGTGGCTGGGTAACACGAGCTCTGCTCGCACGGGTGTCTCCTCTTCGCATAAGGACCTGCATCGAACAATCAATTGTTAATTCTCAAGTTGAATACAGTCTTCACCGACAATTTTCCCAATTACTTTTTCCTCCAGTGTTAAATACTCCGAATTAAGCACTTGAATTTGTTTAAAACATTTTAATGTCAATTAGTACTGGTGAACGTGCAATACATCTGGGGAACGTGACTCCAACCACAACCGTGTATTAATGAATTAATACAATTTCTTTCTTGTTCTTTACGACATTGCTACCTCTGACTCGTGAGAATATTCTCATCGGCCCTGGATATGCTATTCCATCCACTGATGGAATGTCACCTCGATGAATTGGCCCTACAACACCCCTTCATTTTTATTCTCATCCTCAATATATACTCCCAACATGTTTTCGATGTTTTTGAATTTTCTAAATTTTTTTTTTCCATCATTTTCTTCACTGGAAATTTTTTTTATTTTAATTCAATGGAAGTGTCTCTTACCTCTGATAGCAGCTCTACTGGAGTCTCTAGACTGGCCATTGATAAAATCTGTGAAAATAAAGGGAATACATAATTTGTCATTAATATTATACTGTTTAATAGGGAAGTGGTGAAACCAGCCGGATTAAAAAATTCAATAGAGAAATCTAACGCTTCCTTTAAGACATTCTATTGAAGTTTTATTGAAATTCTATTAGAAAATTATATTTGTTTTTTGCCCAGATTTTATTGAAGATTATATAATTTTATCCTGTTATTTTGTTGAGAGATATTTCATAGAAGTCCATAGATTTTGATTTTTCTGTAGAAATTTTTAAGCGTAAATTTCTTAAGTTCGTTTTCCGAAAAAAAAAATTTAGAGAATTCTTGTTCAAAAATTCTTAAAGAAATACCCCCAAATAGAAAGTTACATCATTTTTGATAGAATTGACGCAATAAACAAATCAACTTTTCTCACAGAATTCTAATGGAATTCTTATAGACTTCCAATAAAAGTTCAATAAATCATAAAATTCTTGAGCGAAAGCTCGGATTTTATTTGTGATTTACAATTCTCTCCAAGACTTTTCATTATCTCTCTCAAAAATCAGCATATCTTTATAAAAGCGATCTACTCCCGTGAAATTATTTCCATTCAATCTGTCACACGAATTATCCCTCCAGTACTAAAAGTATCGAACAAAATGAAACATAATCATTAGAATTTTCATCACAACCCTAGTGCAGATTTTCTCTCCTCATCATTTCCTCTCTCACTTCTCTTCAACATCTAATCGCCGAGCCAAGCGGATGTTTGTGATGATTTCTGCTCTCCTCGTGTATGAAGATATCGAGACTGTCTAATCTAACCATGTGACGAAAGTATTTCGGTGAAGTCACTGATGAACGCCAATGATATCTCATTATTCATTGAAATTATGGGGCAGATTCTAAATGCCCCATTGAATGCATCTGTATCACTCGTAATTCCTCTTATGCATGCATTCATTCATCCATTGACTAATTAATATTCGTCTCTTCGAAAACGTTGGGAGGGGAATGATTACCTCGATGCAAAAAACCATATGAAATGTTTTAATACGCATCAAAAAATATCGAAAAATATTTCTATTGAACTTCTATTTTAAAATTCTCTTAGGTTTCGGTCTACTCTATTCAACAATTCCTCAGCTTCACTATACATTTTTTTCACGATATTTTTTTCTTTTTTCATTAAAAAATGAAACAAAAAAATTGAAAATTGGGGTCGAGGAATTTTTATAGAAAATATCCGAATGGAAAAATCGAATCCTATTGATTTTTTCCATAGAATATTTTCTGTGGAATATTTATATTGAATAAAACTGCAAATAAGCCACAGAATTTTTCAATAAAATTAACCAAAAACCAATAGAAAGGTCAATCGAAATCCAATACAATTTTCTAGTCAATTTACTAGCTTTTTTATGACTAGAAAAGGGCCGCGCGCATGATTTGCCTAGTGGTTTGTGCATACTATTTACGATCGTTATATATTTATTCATTTATTCATGAAAAAACAAGTCAATATTTTCTATCATTTTGTCTAGGTTTAAGAAAATAACTTGGATCTTTTTCGGTAAACACACGAGTAAAAATTTCTTGTTCACGATTTTTTATTCAAAAGAATACAGAAATATTATTAATTATTATTTTCATTATTATTATTCATTCATTCATTTATGAATAAATATATTTTTTTAAGAATTAAGATAGAGAAAAATCATGAGAAAATTTTTTTTCAAAGTAAAATAAACTTGAATTATTTCTAAAAGAAAGACATTGCTGACAGAATTATTTTTTACCTAATAGAGAAAATTCTTTTGTACGTAAAAAAATCTAGTTTTGAAAATAGAAATTTATGAATGATTATTACTACATGAAATTCGCAATGATTGTTACACAATTAATCGGGGAAGCCCCGAATTAGAGAAATTAATAATAACATTCTCCAGTGATGGTCCCAGGGCCCGAGTGTAATTTTCGGGGCAACGAAATAAAAATCTCAGCGGAAGACGAGGGTCAAGGGGTCGATGTGGTATCTAATCACCACTGGATAAAGACACTTCTTGTTGGGAGGGTAACGAATGGAAAGTAGGCTGCCTTATTCTCGGATATCTCGTGGATACTCAATGGACCTTTTTTACTCATTCCCTTCTTTCGGTCGTAATGACGAAATCTCGGTTTTTGTCGATAAAGTCTCGTATGAGGAATATAACGAGTCACTCAGTGCGGCGGCTCAGAATTAAAATTAATTGGATTGTAATGAAAGTGGGGTGCACTCACCTGTACAGATACCGAGGAGTAGGAGCGCTGTGACGATATTCAGGATTTTAAACTCCATTTTGAAAATATCCATGCTTGTTGATTTGTGGCTCCCATTAACACGACGCCATTTATCTGAAATATTGAAATAGGTCATTGAGACATTGCAGAGTGAACCGGAGGGACATTAGGAGATGAATGGAGTTAAAAATAGTCCCGATACGCGTGACGAAGAGATTTTAATTCGGGGGTTCATTAGGGAGATTATGGTAAAGGGGAAATTTTATGAGAAGCTCTGGTGCAGATGTTAATTTAGTTTATCAATGGTTTTCATAAGGATGTCTTCATGGAAATTAAATTTATCTTCAAATGAGGAGAATTGTTTTAACAAGTTAAATCGGTAGATATAGAAAAATCGATAGTGACATGGGAAAGCTTGAAATTGTGCATTTCTGTTGATCCTTCAGAGCTTTATAGGAAAGCTCCTTGGAATTATTTTTTCATCTTTTTTTGGTTGCAAGGATTAAGTTAATGTAATAGACCTAATCTCTTGGATCGGTGGAAAAACGTGATGTCTTTATAGGTCTCTATTTCTTCTACGAAAAAAATTCAGTTAAATGTCTGAAAGTAAAAAGAAGAAACGTTTTGTTTTTAATAATTAACTTCTTCAGAATAATTTTATCAATTCTCCTAGCCTTTTAGATATTTATCAGAGACTAATCTTCAAATGAAATTGATCTGTCAAGTGACATCCATGAAGATGACTTGACTTCGAAGAAGATTTGAATATTTTCTTGAGGAGGTGTTTGTAGATTTTATTTTAGTTCGGAAAGAAAGTTTTGTTTTTCAGAATCTAACTTCTTTAGAATGACTTCGTCCAAGTATTCTCCGAGGTATCGATCAAAAATTGATCTTCCAGTGAGATCCACCGATCTCGAGCCAAATCGATAAATATCTGCAAACCCAATGAACATATCAAAATATTACCACAACTGTCTGTTCACAAATCTCCTCCTCAACAATAAAGCTCAAATCAAGAACTATTTTCCCACTGAAATAGACTAATCCCATGTCCCACAGCATTTCAAGCCTCAAAAAATCTAAACACTCGCGCATAACACATCAACAATTCCGAAGACCTCATGAAATACATATTCCATCGATTTTCTGTTCAAATGATCTGGAAATCCATAAAGTACATGATTTTTCAGTTCAATTATTCTGTGAAAATTCAGATAAATCCGGAAAATTCAGGGAAAAATTGAAAATTCATGTCAATTTGTTTCTGAATATTCATGTTCCCCTGAAAATTCAATCAAGTTGTAAAATTTCCATCCTCCCCCACTGAAGACTCGTGAATTTCCCTGATTTCTACTTTAAACTTGAAATTTCATAACCATTTTTTCCTATGGGATTTACTACAATATCTTCCGTGCAATTTCAAAAAATTTCTGATAGTGTATCGATTAAAAATTGATCTTCACGTCAATTGATCCCACGTCCCACAGCATTTCAACCTCAAAAAATCTAAACACTCGCGAATAGCCCATTAAAAATTCCAAAAACCTCATGAAATACATATTCCATTGATTTTCTATTCAAATGATCTGGAAATCCATAAAATACTTGATTTGTTAGGAAAATTCAGGGAAAAATTGAAAATTTATGTCAATTTGTCTCTGAATCTTCATGTTCCCCTGAGAATTCAATCAAGTTGTAAAATTTCCATCTCCCTCCCACTGAAAACTCGTGAATTTCCCTGAATTCTACTTTAAACTTGAAATTTCATAACCATTTTCCCCTATGAAATTTACTACAATATCTTCCATGCAATTTCAAAACATTTCTGATGGTGTATCGATCAAAAATTGATCTTCACGTCAATTGATCCCACGTCCCACAGCATTTCAGCCTCAAAAAATCTGAGCACTCGCGAATAACACATCAACAATTCCGAAAACCTCATGAAATGAAAAATGACACTGAGCCACAACTTTGCAACTGCACCCTCCTATCACAATCCTTATCTCCCTAGCACCCAAACCCCTCGCCCCCGCCTTCTGGCCGCACTGAAAAGCCCCAAGAAACCGAGTGAAATAGAAAAAAAGAGAGATTAGACGCTGAGTAGAGAAATGCCTAACAGCGTTCTCGTCGACTCATGACAAAAACACCCGAGACATTTATCCAATCGCACAGCTGAATTGAATGACACGACGTAACGATCGGCAAATGAAAAATTGTAATTAACACACACTTGACGAAAGTCTCGCAGACGAAAAAATCTCCCCTCGTTGCAGTCCAGAACTCGGAAACAAAATAAATCCCACGATTTACCAGAACAGAGGCGCGCCTCTGCAGCCAGCAGCAGCCCAGGGCACTCTCTTCAACCTCCACAATCTCTCTATACACGCGTTTTGTAGTGTGTGGGGCGCTTACTCTCTGCCGGCGACCAAGTGAGTGAATAAAGAAGAAAAAAGGAGGATGGAAAAAATAGAGAGGAGTTGGAGACGTGGGGGGACAACACTGTGGGAGGGATTAAATCTCTGGGTTCACCTCGTGGAGACGAGAGTGTTTTCAAATCCTTTTGAGGATTTTTAATTTTTCCGGGTTTTCCAGGGTTTGGAAATTCAGGGAAGATGTTGGGACATTGAGAGGAGGAAATTTCACCGGAAATTAAGGAATTAGTTATACTGTTAGGAATTTCTTGAAATTTCAGTCATGTGTCATCGGAATTTTCAATTTTGTGAGTTTGAATTCAATTTCAGGTGAAAACGTTCACTAAATTTCTCATTCGTCTTGAAAATTCAAGAAAATCGGGGTTTTCATGTTGAAGAATCATTGATTTTTCAATGAAAGCTTGAATTTTTAATAGATTGAAAATTCGGAGAAGTTATTACCTGAATTTGCAAAATTTCCAAGGTTTTTCTGTACCGTGCGGGCCTGAAAATCGAGAATTACTTGAATATTCAGGAAATTAACTGATTCGTCAATGAATAATTCTACAGAAATTTCGTGTAATTTTGTCGTTGTTCAAAATTTCAAGCTTTTTCACTTAAAGTTTTAAAATCACTGTTGTGCATTCCCATGTTACTAAATTAATCAACTCAGAATTATAGAATAGTTGGGAATTTGTTTTTTTGTTAGGATAGTGGGAAGAGTTAGTAAACAGCACTAATTAATTGTCGAATCGCGACTTTTCACGGAAATTAGTACAATGTTCCATTGAGTTCGCTTGTGCATATTTATGTATTTGATGATATTTTTTACTGATTGGTTGTATTTGATGGGTTTCCAGAGCCTCAGGAAGCTTGAATTACGCGCGAAACGTCGCGATTCGACAATGAATTAGTACGATTTACTGATTTTTTCGACTATTCTATAATCCACATCCTGAGTTAACTTTGAAATTAGTTTGATTTTTATTTTTTTAGCGCCAGGATATATTTGAAAATGAGAAGGGAATGTACGCTGTTGCAAAAAAATTTAAATTTCCAATATCAACTGACTGAATTTTCCTGATTTCTATTGAATTTCACGGATTCATTGAACAACAATTTACGGTTTTCATCGATTTTTCCACAAAATTTTGAACTTTCAATGATGGAATTCCTTGAAATTTAAAATTTAACCAAAATATGAATGAAATCTTTGGAGAATTGTACAGGAAATCACGCAAAAACTTCATCATAAAAAATTTATGCGTTAGAAAACATTTCTTGAAGAATTTTAGAGTTTACTTTTCACTCAAATTCATGAAAGAATCGATAAATTTGTAAATTACACGGGATTACCGATTAATTGAAATTTAAAAATATACTTACCTGAATTTTCCGTTTCTCGTGATGTTCAGAGAATAATTGAACTTGAATTAACTATTTCCATAGTTTTTTCCACAGTATCTTAAATTTTCAATTATGAAATTCCTTGAAATTTCAGAGGAATCCAAATGTGATAAAAATTTCAATAATTGTATCGCTTATTTCAGTAAAAAAATCAATTGTCAGAAACCATTTTTTTAAGAATTTAAGTTTGCTCCTCATTCAAATTTACGAAATAATTGATAAATCTGAATTTTTTTTTCAATTTCGACCGACGATTGAAAATGAATTTTCAAGTTTTAATTCTGCAGTAAATTTTTAATGAGATAATGCACACTACTTGATAATTTCAAGCTTTTGAACTAAAAATTGTCCTGTTTTTGTTTAAAAAATTTTTTAGCTGCGTTTACAATGAAAATGTTCGAAAGCGTGGGAGGGGGCAATTCCGGGCGAGTGACGGTCATTCCAGGGAGGAGATACAACCCGCAGGTATACTTTTCCAGGAAGTTGCGGATACGAGGGCGTGGGCTCCTCTGCAGTGATTTTCTACGCAGCGATGCTATCCCAGTCGAGACCAGATGTTCGGGGGTATTTAGAGAGTACTCAAAGTTCGTGTTATTCCGGCTGAAATCGGAATACAAAAGTCCTCATTCAGCATTTCGCGCGCATTTCGGGGCATTTTCCTTCGACATTTGGAATGTCTTCCCGGTTCTAGTCATTTTTCTTCGCTTGTAAGGGCTGCGGGTCCGTTCATGAATGCATTTATTCTACTTCGAGACGTGGACGTGACTGAAGTGCAGTTCAACTCCAAACAAGGGACGAATTGAAGAGCATAGCTGCAGGAATTAATCAGTAATGACCCCCGCGAGAAGTGCGTGGGTGTGAAGCAGTTGGCTGAGACCGCAGTTCATTTTCTTGAGTTGAGATTCGAAATTACTGCACTAATAAGATTTTTCATTCGTTAAATTTTCGTTATATGTTGTTTCGTCACAAAATGAAAAATAGAATTAAAAATTCATTAGCGAACAATTAAAGAAAAACTGCTACACGTTTGGACGAGGTTTAAAAATAGCATTTTAGGATTTTTTGGATCATATGGGGTCGATGAACCACAAAAAATCCAAAACTTAAATTTGAACGATTACAAAGTTTCCATTCACAAACAAAAAAACAGTCATGTTTCATTTTCCTTTTATGAAGACCCAATCGCATTACGTAAACTACATGATGAAATTTGTGTCAATAAAAAATTCAAAAACAATTCAAAATCCGTTCATACGATCTTGACTATATGAATGAAATTTCGCATATTTATAGTTAGGTTTAATGAAAAAAAAATAATGCAAAACCGTCGCACGTACGATCGTTGGGTCGTTGCCTCTGAACAGAGGCCGACCGCTGACCGAATAAGGAGTTGCTGCAGTTCCACGTTGGCTTTATGCAGCTCTCGATGCAACAATGGGTGGATGTACGAGGTTCAGCAGTTGCAACGAGCAAGTGATCATTCTCAATCCCAGAGACATTTAACAGACGCGAGTAAATATGCAAATCAGTGGTGATGGGATTGAAGTCTAATGGGAGTTGTCAGGGGGGCAATAATCGTCAATTGTCTTGCGGGAGACACCCGTTATATCGGTCCATGTTCACACGTGTGGAACACACTTGCACTCGTTCCTCTCATTCCTCGTCATCTTCCTCTCGTTTCAGAATACTATGTACCAGTTTTCATCGCGATGGGTCTTATCTTCGGCTCGGGGAGCCTCTGTCAGCCATCATTTTTTCAGGGTTTTCATTTCATTTTTAGTCATTTTTCTATTGACAAATCTATTCAATAATTTCATAATTTTTATGATTTATGAGTGAAGTGGACAGAGAAAACTAGTCTCTTTTTATTGGGGGTTGAAGAATAATCTAAACAAAATGGCGGAATTTTCGTGAATACAATTTTTATTAAATTTAATTTTTTTATTTCATCTTTTTCGATTCCAATAAAAAGGATTTCGAAAAACCTCGATAGAAAAACATTACAACTTTTTTTTATTGTTTAAAGTGCTCAATTCTGAATTTGAATTATTTACACTGTCATTGCTGGTATTTAACCTCGCACAATTGAATTACCGGTTAAGATTGTTTCATTTTGATTTTTCGACATACAGTATGTTAACATTTTTATTATTTTTGTTATAATTATTATAACCTTTTTTTTTGTGCTAAACTTTAACATTACATTCTCTTACGACATTACAAATCAGTTCTACATATTTAAAGTCAGTTGCCTCTACAAATTTTTTTGTAGTGTGTGTGTGTGTGTGTGTGTGTGTGTGTGTGCGTGGGGGGGAGGTAATAATTTTTTGCTCCAAGCTTTTTTTTTAAATTTAGTTCTCTGCTGATTGTACTGCGGGCAATGCCATAGAATGTGATCAATGTCTTGTGATTCTGCACCGCATGGGCAGCTTGGGTCATTAACAATACCTATTCTGTACAAGGAGGCTCCAAGGTGATAATGATTTGAACATTACAACTTATAGATGCTTTTAGCCTCCTCTGGACTAAGTATTTAAGACTCAAGTAAATTATCTAAAAGCGAAGAATGTACTATATGATACTGTATTAACTTGAATACGATGTAATTTTTTTTTAAGCAGAATAAATCAACAGGTTTGCATGCTAAAATAAAAAACATTGAAGTTGTACAGAAAAATTGAATTCTATCGAAAATTCCAGTAGAATCGTCCAAAAACTAACAGAAATGCAATAGAATTGTCTAGCGAATTCGCAAGCATTTCAGTAAAAGTCATCGAGAACTAGAACTTTTCCTCTCATTTCCCTGAAATCCATAAACTGTTACTAAAAACCAGAAATTTTTTTCTGTGTGATTGAAAGAGGAAACGTGGATACGCGTTTGGATTCTGTAGAAGGAAGGAAGAGTCGTGGGCCGTTACGTTATCTGTAACCCCGGTTAGATAGTAGTGCCATTGCCTCCTACTACAATTCTCGTCCCTCATTTTTATTTCCATTTTTGTCACGCTCGACTGGACAGTCTTATATTCTGCATGGCTAACCACGTGCACCTCGACACGAATACCCAATCCCCAGAGGGATATTCAAAATAACAACACATGATTTTTCGTAACGCTTTCAACATTCATTTTATTCTCTTATCTTATTTTTATAATTACATAATGGATAACGTTAAATGACGTTAATTTATATCTCATCGATTTTCCAGTTTTGACGTATTATTAGTATGTCACTATGGCTTTAACATTTTGATTATTCATTGAGATTTAACTTTAGTATTAAATTGAAAAATATTAACATTTTGAATAATTCAAACAAGCAACGGAATTATTTTTATCTTTCGTTTATCCAGACTCGCTCGACTGCTGGTAATGCAGTGGCCTAAATTTCTACTTCGTACCATCTTTTGAAAAGCAAAAATTTGGGTGCGCAGCCGGGGAGTAGGACAAGTCCAGTCAACTCCAGAATTAGCTTTTATGAGTAAATCTGAATGGAAGGGAAATTTAATTTTCATTTGAAATAAATCTTTGGTTATAGAAAAAAGGCTACAGATGTTGATTTTTCTGCATACAGTCAAGACTTTGTGTCAGATCACACACGAAAACATTTAATAGAAAAACCTTGCGAAGTCGATTTTTCTATATAACTTATTTTCTTCAGATATTTTCTGTGAAATTTCCTTGGCTCAAATTTTCTCAAGGCTCAAGTTTTTTCATTCTATTTTTCTTTTCTTCTTATGTAGAAAATCAAACAAAAAAACTTGGAAAATTTGAGCCGAGAAGATTCTGTAGAAAATATCTCAGAGAATAAGTTGTGTAGAAAAATCGAATTCTTTTGACTTTTTCTATAGAATATTTACTATTGAACATTTCGATACAATCGGCTGAAAACTAATAGAAAGTTCAATAGAAATCCAATAGAATTGTCTAGCGAATTCGCTAGGTTTTTCTATTAAGCTTTTTTATCGGTTATACCTTAGGAACAGTAGGAGAGAGCAATTCCGGGAATCCGTATACCCTCAGTACACGCGTTTATAGAGAGGAGAAAAATAGGGATCAGCGGTTTGAAATACGATACCTCGCTCGTTGCGCCCGAATTCAATGGAATTTTCATTTTTACGAATGGATATTGATAACTATTCAATTTGTACGAGTTTAATGTTTTGAATTCGCATAGCCCGCGTTCCTTTTTGTCTCTAAACATAATCCCGCGCGATAGCATGGATGTTGGGGGATTGTTGGGGGACTGGAGAATAATCACTTCTGGACAGCTGAAAGACAAGTTATTTAACGCAAGTAAATTAATTGGATTTTAGTTAGGCTTTATTCAATTAAGATAATTCTGCGTCTTCATTTTAATAGGGGAGGGTGGGGCAAAACGGCCCCCCTTCAATTGTCAATAACTTGTGAATGACATTGTGAAAATTCCCAGTTTCAACTTCATTTTGAAGATAATTTTTCATTCTTCAAAACGAGCTCTAACTCATCCCAATCGGATTATTGAATCGGAAAATATTGACGATTGAACGGGGGCCGTTTTGCCCCATCCTCCCTTAATTATAGCGTCGAAGAAAACAGGTGACTCGGAAAATTTACGTTGAAACATTTCATGATAAAGTTGCATAATTTGCAGTAGAATCCACGTAAAAAAATTGAATATTCAAATAGAATTTGAATTGAAATTCAACAGAATTTCAGAGAGAAAACGTTAGGTTTTTCTATCAAATTTTTTCATGCCTAAGAAGAGAAAAAAATGTCCAATTTGATCAGGTGAAAATTAATTTCTCCAACATTTCACGATCTTCAATCCAACTTATCGTCATGGAGATGACTTGAAGTGTAATCGACTCGTCCTAATCCACAACTTCACTTTTTAATCAACTCCCTCGAATAAATAGGAATTTCAAAGATTAGCGATTTTCGAGAAGTTCCTTAGTTATGGAGAAATGAATCAGTAAAATTCGAATGACTTTGGAGGTAAAGCTAGAGAAGAAGGGACATCGGACGGCGACGACACGTTCGTTTCCCAAATTCGTACGATTTCTCCGCACTTTTTTTGTAATTATCTCTTTAAATGTACTCGGCGAAGCATATCCAGTAGGTGACGTTGAGTGCGGTAAAGAGGAAGGGGAAGAATACACGGGAGAAACGATCGATGTTGAGTGCTCGGAGTCTTGCACGCTGCGCTGGGGTTGGACCTGTTGGTGGTAATGTCGCTGGCTTCTGGGAGCGTCCGGATAACAGCATTGCATTTTCCTGCGTGAGAATAATCACAATTTGCTCCGGGGCATTGCGAAGAGTTACTTCTGTTCCTCTGAATAAATTGTCACTATAATTTTTGTTTCTTCGGGAAATTGCATTTTGGAAAAATTCGTCTTTAGGACACGCACGAAAAAAATTCATAGAAAAAGCTAGCGAATTCGATTTTTCTGTAGAATTTCCTCGGCTAAAATTTTCTTAGTTTTTTTAAATTCTATTTTTCTTTTTTTTCATCAAAAAAATCAAATAAAAAAATTGGAAAATTCGAGCCGAGGAAAATCGAATTCTATTTACTTTTTCTATAGAATATTTTTTATGGAATATTTCAATAGAATCGGTCGAAAATTAATGGAAAATTCAATAGAATTGTCCAGCGAATTCGCTAAATTTTTCTAAGAAAGTTGTTCCTACGTGAATTTTTATTCTCTTTCCTATTTTTATTTTCCTTTCTTTCAAACAAAACTATTAGTTTTTCGTTAATTCCGTAGAAAAATTCCGCAGCTTTATATCGCGTTTTTACCAATAGAAAACGTCAAATGGAAATTAATTTATGTATTGACTTGTTTTCTATAGAGATTTCTCGATATAAATTTTCTAGGTTTTTTTCACTCCATTTGTTTTCTCCTCTTATTAAAAAATTGAACTAAAAAAACTTGGAAAATGCAAGTCGAAGAATTTCTGTATAGGAAAATTCAATTCTATCGATTTTTTTCTGAGAAATATTTTCTGTAGTACATTTCTATTGAAAAAAAATATTAGAATCTTCAATAGAAATCCAATAGCATTTTTTAGGGAATTTGTGTCTATTCATTACAAAAATAAAGCAAAAAAATGGGAAAAATTGAGACGAGGAATTTCTGGAAGACAAATCTCAACAGAATAAGTCGTATAGAAAGATCGAATTCCATTGATTTTTCATCTGAAACATTTTCCATGGAACATTTCATTAAAAATAAAAAAAAACGCACTAATAGAAAATTCAATATAAATCCACTATAATTTTCTAGCGAATTCGCTTGGTTTTTCTGTGGGATTCTCTCGTCCGCAGACCCATTGTTCACGCGATTGCTTGATTTAGTCGATTTATTCAGAGGCTCAGAAGTGAATTCCCTCACCCGAAGAATCTTCATTCAAGCGTTTTACCTTAGTCGCGATATCGAAAATTTTATCGAGCTTAGTGTCCCCAGTGCCAGTGGAGGTTGTCGCCTTGGGCGGAGTCTGTTTCGATGGTTTTTTGAAGGCCGCTGGAGCATCTGAGTCCCCCAGGACAATGTTCACTAGACAGTACTCCATCAGTGCCATGAACACGAAGATCGTGCAGACTGACATGAATGCGTCCACAGCTTTCAGGTAGGAGACCGGGGGCAGCGAGGCCTGGCTCTTCGCGTGTTGGGTCGAGAGGGTGAGGAGGGACGTCACGCCGAGGGTCACTCGGGCTGGGGCTGCCTCTGGCTTTATCCAGAATGATACCCACTGAATTGCGAAAATTGGAGAATAAAAAGCGGTTGAAGTTATTCCGAGAATTAATGGATTAAATTTTCATTTTTAATTGCTAGGAATAGGCGCATTACAAGGCGCTTAATATTATTCTTCATTAGTTCTTTCTTGTTCTGCATATTATTTTTGATCGTTATGTATTCATTTATTCGTTAACCCCCGATCACTCGCGCTCAGCCGCCAGTCTTCATCCGTCGCACGGTCAGCGCAGCGCCGCGCTGTTGCCACCTTGGCGCTTACCGCTATGCGCGCCTTTCAAGTGTGGCAGTGAATGTAGCAACACTGTCGCTCGCGCGGGCGACAGAGACTCACTCACACCGGACGGCGCGACGCCGCTTCTCTGTCCGTTCGACGTTTCTCTTCTTTTTTTTAGCTAAACAAATTTCCAGAGCAAAAACGGACAACGCCAAAGCTTCATAAACGGATTGCACTAGGAACCCCAATTTTTTCAAAATTTTTACGCGCCGAGGAACACGCTAAAATATAAAAAAACGAAAACGAGCGACGCCGCGCTCATTGGGCGAGTGAGCGAGGGTTAAAAAGGAATTAATGTCCGCTGTTATTATGCTCGTGTTTTATTATGTTTATTTGAGAAAAAATTTTGAGACAAGATCTTTAAAAAATTTTACGACGAAAAATTCACGTTGTTTATGAAATTGGGTGCAACTATTTTTCACGCGTGAACACGTAAGCTTTTGCGAAGAACTGTCCACCAACTTTCATGTCAATCCGCTATCAAAAAATGGGTGAAATAATTTTGGTCAGTAAACTATTTCGCCAAGACTGTGGTAGACTTGGCAATATTTCAAGTTTATCTTAGTTTATGAATAAAAATACATTATATATATAATACATTATGAAAATACATAAATTTTATTACTATTGTTAATAATATTATTATTATTTTATATATTTTATATTATATTACATATAAATAAGTGTTTTGTATTCATTATTGCTGATCGCTGACCAAAAATATTTCACCTATTTTTTAATAAAGGATTTGGTTTCATTTTTAAGAATTTTAGATGTAATACTCACTGACATTATTACAATTAGACATGTGGGCACGTATGTGTGAAAAAGATAGTATCCAAGTCGTCGTTTTAACACGAAAATCACCTCGAGACATGTAAAATTGCCTGGAATGAGTCGATTTTTCGATTTTAGTTCATTCTTTATTTATAGTTATGATTAAATCTTGTGCTAAAATCATTCATCATCGAGATAATTCGCAAATTAAGAATATCCAAGTATTTTTGGCCACTTTTTTTAGTATTGAAATTTTAATTTAATTCTCATTTTTTAACGGTTAAGAAATAATTCAAAAATGGGAAAAAAAGACTAAAAACTTACTTATTACGGAAGGTTTATGGAATAATTATAAAATGGCAGGTTTTGAAAATTGAAAATTAAACTTTTTCATACATAATTCATCGAATGAATTTTGCAATAAATCGATAATTCAAGACAATTCATTAATTCATAACTGATTAGTCATTAATTTATCAATTTGTCGACCAAACAATAAATTTTTTCCTTAGAAATCATTTATTCGAAATCGGAATACTTCAGAAACTCATTCCATGAAACAAAAAAAAGTAATTTGTTACAAACTGTTAACAAAAATAAAAAAAATAGAAAAAAAATGATGAAAAAATAAAAAATAAACCGTATATATTACCACAAACTAATAAATAATGGAAAAATAGACAAAATTCATCAACAAATTTATCCATTTGTTAGTGAAAAATAGAACAATGTGGTCAGTGCCTGGATTGCCTCGAGAATTATGAAACTGTCATCAAATTCAAAAAATGATTTGATTCACCTGTGGAGTAAACCTGAGTACAGTCAGCCGTGTAGTTTTTAACAAGCGCCAATTGCGGTAACTCGATATTTTCATCAACAACAAGGGGCACATCGGGATCCCACTGGAAGATCATTTCGTCCGTCGTGTGCGACACTAGTAAACACCATTCTCATTTATTTTATAAATATAATACATCAGTCCGCGTTAAATCTTCAATACATTCACCCAGAAACTCTATTGATTTTCACTTCAAGCAAAACTGCTGTTGAAAGTCAGCAGAAATGACGAATTATTTTTAGCTGCATTTCTAAATAATTCAATTATGGAGTAATTATTGTCGTTTGGGTACTCACGACTCTCCATTTGTAATTTACATTCCTGAGTATCGTGGGGGTATATCAGGAAGTTCATGGCGCAGGACAATCTCAATGTGAGTCTGCGAAAGAATTTTTTTTCAGTCATTCGATATTTTTTCAGTGGTTTTGAGGACTCACTTGACCATGTACAGGATCGTTTTGTCTTTGTACAGCCAGAGATAGTGATTTGGTATCGTCATTGTCTGAAATGTCACGGATTTGGCATTTTTGAAGAAGGAATCCGGCCTCCACATCTGCTTTAACCAATCGACTTCTAATAATCTGATTAAATTCACCAAAATACTTAATTAGATCGGTTAATAAAAAAATTAACGATTTTATTCAGTTGTTTTCGTTACTTGTATTAATATTCACGGAGTAATTAAAGTGATTTTCCATAATATTTTGAATTGTCAATGAAGAAATCCCTAACAAAATTATCAGAAAAAAATTTTCAACAGTTAATTCGTTTCATCTGAACCAAGGATCGGCATCAATCATTAATTTTAGTAAGATTTGAGTTAAAATTTGAAAATTATAAAGTAATTGATAATTTAAATTTTTCCATTGATTATTGGGCAAATAATTGAAATTATGGGATTGCCAATTGACTATTGGCCAAATATTTTTTAATTTCTTAGAAAGGATTTTCGATTAGCCAAATAATCGTTAATCCTCTGAATTTGATTATTGATTGATAAAATAATTCGAAATTTGGATATTTAATTGGTGATTAATTTAATAATTTAATAATTAATTTAATATTAATATTTTATTATTAATTATTGACTTATTATTAAATAACAATAATAATTAATAATTATTAATACATAATAATAATAACGTATTATTAATAATAATAATTCGAATAATTTTTTTTATTTTTAAATTATTTAAAATTCATGATTCTGCCAATGTCTGACCTGAAGTTGGAAAATTTCAAACATAAATAATAGGATAATTTAAAAACTAGTGGGTTTTTTTTCATTTTTAAATTCTGAATTCTGCATCAATTGACAAATGAAATCAACAAATTGAAGGATATCAGAGAACTTTTTTCCACACATTACCTATATTCAGAAGTCATATTCTCTGGAAGTCTGAGTCTATTGTCCTTCCACGTTTGAGCGAAGAAGATATCCGCGGCGTAGGTCTGCGCGGGGTTAAAGTAAAAAATCACAATTTTCAATTTTACTGAGGAATTGAGGATGATTACGTTACCATTGAGGTTTCGTCGATGGAGTCGAGCCCCATAACGGTGACGTGGAAGTACACGACAGTGGCCTGGCCGTCCTTCTTCGGCGGTCTCATCTTGTCGTAGAGCTTCGGATCCTCCGGCAGGAGCTCGTGGAACTCCAAACTCTGCCTGAAAACTCAAATCCGGTTGAACTCCCCCGTCTCATCGGCGCAATAATGCAGGGGAATGCACGCGGAAGGAACTTATTCGCTTGAGTGAATCATTATTGTTTGATATTCGAACATAATTCAGATGTGAAATAGGGGAAAACTGGGTTGAATCATTTTTCAAAGTCAGATTTGGATTATTATCACTGAATTTAAAGATATGATTCGAGATATTTTGCCGAAAATTTTAAGGAGGATTTTTTCCCGCAGATCTCACTCAATTTCTTGAATTTTAAGACATTTTCTGTAATCTTGGAAAATCCGCAAATAGAATGGTGGAACCATGATTCGTTTTCGAATTTTTAATAAAAATTTGTGAATCTTACGAAGACATCTCATCATTAGGCTTGCATCATTGCATTTTTCATTTTCGATCATGAGATTTCTCATCAATTTCACTTTTCACTTGAAAAAAGGGTAAAATGGTCCCTCGGATTCCTCTCTCTCTTGAATTCCGTGATATTCTTCAAACACTCGTCTGTTCAAAAATAAGATTCACTCATTTATTTATTGATTCTGTTACTAAATTGTCCTAAAAAGTTGAAATTTATCCCGAATTTCATCATAAATTACTCGAGAAGGGGCAAATGGGTCTTCCATTTCTAGAAATTTCCACTGGGGGACATATTTTTTACCTCGCGAGTCGTAAAATTTCCACACGAGTCGATATTTGTTCCTCAATATCCCGAAATGAAAATTCAGAATAAAAACATAATTTTCATTTTTGAGGAATTGAGAAAAAATGAATAAAATCATGTGGGAAATTTTAATGTACGGAAAAAGCATCTTTCCGCCCTCAAAAATAATTCTTTCATTTGCCGACAAAAATTCCCTCCACGCAAATCAAATACATCTCAACAACACAGAGAAATAGTTGAGAAAAAATTACTGAAAAATTCATGAAATCACGGCGGGAAATTTTACTCTAGGTCTTTTCTCCTTAACATCACCGAAAAAAATCCGAGAAGAGGAATTTTCTCTATTGTCATGTAATCGTCCTGAAGTGAAATCTACCAAAAATTTATTTAAAAACTCCGCGGGAAAACGTAAATAAGTCCTTCATTTCCACAAATTCTCGTTCTTTGCGTTTCAAAAACTGCCCCTAGGAGACATACATTCCACTTTGCAAGTCTTGAAATATTTCCCTGAGTAAATATTCATTCCTTAACACCCGGAAATGAAAATTCCCAATAAAAATTTAATTCCGTACTGAAGTCGACTTGGCCATTAGCTGATTCTTCGCGAAATACCTCCGAATCGAAGAGAGATAGCAAAATTTTTATAATGACCTTTTTTGTGGCCCTTAATTCGCTCTCCAAACAAGGTCATAAGAAACATTTCGCTATCTCCCTTAGATTCCAAGATATTCATTAAAAACCCATGTGGTGAATTTCACTATATGAAGAGAGACAATTTCTCCTCCCACAGGACAAATTTTTTCCCTTGACGAAGCGTAAAATTTCCTTCACGCAAATTATTGTTTATTAAACCACATTTCGCTCCACGTTTAATCGAAACATTCAATTGAAATGTGATTTTTCTTCTAATTTTTCCTCAACTCATCTCGCGACAAAAAACCTACACATAATTGATGACATAAATCAGTATGATCAGGAGAATAAGAAACTTGGAATTGGCAAAAACGCCGTGTTCCGAGGTCCTCGCCATCACCCAGTCTCTCGCATAAACTCGTCAACGCATTTTCACACCGACTCTAGCCACAATAAACTAAACGACAACAACAAATGCCCTCGGTACGTCCAATAGAATATTCGCGAATAGGTGACGTTGAACAACTGATGTTCTCCACGAAAAATTTGCAGAAGTTGCAGAAAATCGGTGTCGGCGGTGGGGGGCGATCCGCGGAGAAGGGGGTTGAAAGGGTGGGACACAAGTTGGTGGATATTTTCATCCTCCTCGGTCTCATCGAAACGCCAATGGTGACAGTTGGAGATAAGCAGGGGTTGGTTGTCTTGCAGACGTGGAGAACTGATAGATGTGACAAAAGGATGATGGGGAGGGGTTGGGCTTTTGAAAGAGTAGTGGTGAAATCCCTCTGGAGTCTGACGGCTGCCCTCGACCCCCTACCAATTTACTCCAATGCAGTATCGTGCTACATTTGTTTCAATTCTTCTTTACACGAGTGCCGTCATTACAGCCAACTACGCGGCGATTTATTCATGGATTGAGGAAAATAGAAATTAATTTTAATGGGGGGGGGGCATTTTTGGACTGTTAGGGGATGAGTTGGAAGAAAGTATTTTTGAAAAATAGTGGAAGTTAACTGGAATAATTTTTAATCATTAAAAATGTAAGGTCATTGAAAATATAAGACATTTAATTGAAGTAGAAAATGGAGAAGCTAATGAATAGGAGGGATCGTTGAACAATTATGGAACAAGTAGGTGAATTAATTATTTATTGGGAATGGAAAAAGTTGGGTGGAATGGTTTTTAATGTGTGAGATAATTAAATATTGAAGTGAATGTAGATTAATTTGAATGAATAGAGGGAATCGTCTGTTGGTTGGATCATCGCAATCAACGTTCACTCGGCGAAAAAATTCGATTTTGCCGAAAGTCGACTTTTTTCCCCCTGAAAAAATCCAAGGTCTGATACTTTGGCCTCGGGTGAAAAAAAAATTGTATTTTTTACTTTTTCCAAATAATTTTGAGAGTTCTGAATAGCCCGTCGATTGAATCATCGGAATCAACGTTCACTCGGTGAAAAAATTCGATTTTCTCATACAAATAGTGAGAGTTAATTAGAATTATTTTTAATAATTGAAAAATTGGGATGCTGAATGAATACGGGGAGTTATTAAATAATTATGATGCAAGTAATTAGAAAAATAATTTTTTTGTTGGAAACGTCAATTGGAATTATTTTTGATGATTGAGAATGTGAGATAACGAAAGATCTTCGAAATTGTTAGTGTTTGTATTAATCTATTGAGATTTATCGTGAATGACAGAGTCCATGCAAAATCAATGAACTCCAATATTCTAATAATTTCGAATTTCAATCTCCTTGGAATAAATTTTTGAGTGAATCTCTGGGAATATCAATGCTCGATGGAGATACGTGGTCGCGTTGCCGCACTCCAACGAAAACATGATGAATACAATTGCCATATCCTGAACCCGCTCTTCAAAAAACTATAAAAATATTTAAAATGTCTCAAACGTCCCCCTGAATCCGTCCCCAACTGTAATTACTCCCAAAAAATTATTTAAAAAATCACAAAATGTGGAAATATGAAAAACACTAGCCACATTCCATCGTCTTCAATTTTAATACGAATAACATATTGAAAAACTGCAGTCATTAATTTTTTCAATCGCTCTTAATTAATCTCATATTCACTATTCTTTATAATACAAAAATGCATATCCAGTGTTTTTAGTTCTTTTTTTATGTCTTCATCATTTCAGTAACATATCATGATTCAATTATGTAATTATCATTCTACTATTATTATTTTTGAATAATGAAAAAGCATAATAATAATAATATTATTATTATTATATTAAAATAATTAAAATATTAATAATATTATTATTATTATTTTATTTTGGAAGAGGAAAGAGAGAAGGAGTTTTCTCTTTTGAAATTTAGCAAACCTCCCTCAACTATAATTTTTCCCAAAAAAAAACTTAAAAAAATCACGAAATGTGGAAATATGAAAAATACCAGCCACATTCTTTTATCTTCAATTTTAATATTGAGAACACATTGAAAAACTGCATTTGTAAAAAAACGGCACTGTCGTCCGGAATCGTTTGCGGATTTTCGTCCTGACGCGACCTCACAATGCAAATATTTTCAATCGCCGGTACTAATCTCATATTCACTATTCTTTAAACCAAAAAAAGCATAACCAGCGTTTTTCATTCTTTTTTAAAATGAAAAAGTCATTGTATTATTCTTTCTCCAACTTTTTATTCACATCGCATCATTTAATTACATAATTACCCTTCTATTATTGTTATTTTTTTTATTTTGGACGAGAGGAAAACGAAGGGGGAGCTCCTCCCCTGAAATCTATCAAACAGGGTAGTAACTCGTTTTTTTCGCGCTGCAGAGGCATCGATCCTCGAAATTGTGCCGTGAATAGAAAAGAGAGAAAGAGGAATGGAGGAGAGGGTGGAGTGGCCACTCTTGAAAAGCCGAGGTGGCGCGAAAGGAAGAAGGGTTTGCCAGGGGGTGGGAGTAGGCGAGGCGGAGGGAAGGCTCTACGGTGTAATCCCACGTGTACATGAGTGTATCTCGTCACCGATATTCTGGGAGATAAGTATCGCTGATGATGAGGGGTAAGTGGAAGGGGCGAGAGGGAAGGAAGGGGAATTCATGTGTTCGTACTGATCGCACACATCCCTCTGTCTTTGACAATGTCCGCAATTATAATCGTTAGGAGCGGGAGTTGAGAGGCCTCCACTGGATGATTTTTCATGGTTTGGTTACTCCTGAATCACTTGAGTGTAAATTTTCGTCTTATTTGATTTTTTTCAGCGCAGATTTCTAGGTTTTGGTGAATGAATTGGATAGAATCCATTTTGCGAAAAGTGAATTTCTTCTTGTTCGAGGAAAATTCTGCAATTTTGAGTTGCTTCGACGTCATTAAATAAACAAATTTTTTCTTGTACACGAGCTCTTATGGGATTTATTTTTAAATTGATGATTCACCTACTGGATGACTTCAATATAAAAATAAAAATACAGGACAATGGGAAAAAATACTGGATCAAATAAAGGAAATTTAAATTTATATTCACATTTAACTCTAAATTTTCGTCTTTTATTTAATTTTTTCAGGGGGAGATTTTTACGTTTTGTTGAATGAATTGGACGGAAGGGATTCCAAAATATATATTTTTCTGCACTGCTTCTCACGATTTCTCGTCTGTGAATTGGTATTGCATACTTCCCAAACTCGAAAGCTTGAAAATCACTACAAAAAAATCTTGTCCCGGGCTGCTGCGATGGGGTTTTTTACTCGTGTGGCGTTGGCGTCCGAGCCGAAGGCGAGGATCTCGATATTTGTCGAAATACTATTTACAAGAGAATTCCACAACGGGTTTTTTTAAAGGATGTTTATCCATTTCCCGAAAATTTAATTTTTCAATGTGCAAGGAAAATGTTTTCAATTTTCTGACAGCGTAGGATTCATTCCTAAAATTCTTCTTCTAAATATTTAGAAATTTTTTAATTTTCATTCCAAATACGTTATGGATATTCATCGGGACACGTCTATATATTTTTTCCTCCCATTCCCATCTTATCATGAATCATATGGACTTCCAGATTTCGGCAACCAATTAAAAAGAGATGAATAAATAGAATGTGCTTCAGCCATTTCTCCCTGATTGATTGACTTCTCCATTCTTTAATGTTTGAAGAATCCGCACTCCATCAGTTGAACTTTATTATCGAGGTCGTAAAAATCTTTGATGATGAATTCAATAGCTGATTGACGATGAGGGGTCATGCATATTCATCCTGAATGTAAGTTTATTTTCTTGTATGTGAAGAATCAGGGCCGGTTCTATTGGGAATTGGAGCGATGATGAGCTCCTCGAGATTTCTCTCTTTACGGGGTAACCCACTAGAGGTACCTACGTCAGTCCCTCCTGGATGATGACGTCATTCAACGGCATCCGGAGACGTGATAGGATCGGGTGCGCCCCTGGCGCAGCATCTAAGGGGTGGGATTTGGGATTCTTTATTCTCTTGGAACTCTCCATCACAATTTAGTTATTATCACGTCATTATTCGCCTCGGTTCAGTGAATTATTGAATTATCAGTTCATTTAATTTAAATTTAAAATAGTTAGAATTGAACAATTTTTTTTACATGATTGAGGTATATTCCAAGACAATACCACCCGAATGTTATTGAGTTTTTCCATCTTCATGTGTTGTTGATGTAGGCAACAATAACTGTTTTAATCAAATAAGAAATTATTTATTATTAGGGGGCGACGCCCCCTGCTCGCCAACCACGGGGGGCTTAGCCCGCTTCGCTCACCCCCCAATCTTCTTATTAAATAAGAAATTGTTTTTTAACGAAGCGGCTGCGCCTCCTGTTCGCTTTGCTCGCCAACCACGGGGGGCTTAGCCCCCCCCCCCGCTCGCCTCGCTCACTCCACCAATCTTCTTATCAAATGAGAAATTATTTGTTAACGAGGGGGCTTCGCCTCCCACGCGCTTTGCTCACTGACCCCCAAACGTCCCATCAAATAAGGAATTATTTGTTAACGAGGGGACTTAGCCCCCCTGCTCGCTTTGCTCGACAATCCGGGGGTCTTAGCCCCCGCCCAAGTCGTTCACTCTCCCAATTTTTTTATCAGGAAAGAAATTACTTGTTAACGAGAGGGCTTCGCCCGTTGCTCACTTCGCTCACCAACGGGGGGGGGGCTTAGCCCCCCGCTGATCTCGTTAGGTTTTCGTATTACATAGAAAAAAAATTGATAGAATGATTTCCTTCCTTTGAAAAATTGAGATTTTTATCATTTACAAAAGGCTCCAACCAACACCTTTTGTCGTAAGAGCCAAACATTCATTTTTCCATTTGACGTTGATTGTTGCGGATGAAAACCATTGCCAACTACTCCCCTCTGCACCATTCCATTCGAATTCAATCTGTTATTTGAACGGAGATACGCAACATTTGGCGATTTTCACATAATAATTTATAAAAACAAAATCAATAATTAAATGCTGAAAAAAAACAATTCTCCATCTCATTGAATTTTCGGATAATTGTTGGTGGTTTTTAAGAATTGTTTATTTGAAAATAAACTTTCTAAGGATAGAGCTTCTTTAATAAAATCATTTACTCCTGCGGATTTTAATCATCGGATGTCCATTAGGGGACGTAATAATAATTTTAGGTCTTTTTGTGTTCTGCTCTTTGTTGATAAAAGAGAGAATCGATTATTACGAAACAAGTGGGGGATTGAAATTCCGCTGGCCTTCCATCGCTGCAGTCTTTTGGCACTCGAGAATTTCTCCCCAGAAATGACTTGACGATGCAACTATACACCCTTGAGAGGGTAGTGGTGGCGTCCAACTTTATTTCCAGCGGTGGCTCGAGTATTTCCAGTCAACCACTCGACTATTCCCGTTACTCCACAACGAGAACATTCGATGGCCCAGTGACGTCAGGCACCACTTTGAAGTTTACTACTTTGTCGTATTATTGTTTATTGATCTTTATAGAATTGAGTTCATTTGAATGGGTAAATTTTTTGATTGTGGGAAAGGTCGAATGGTCAATTTAGGCTGGGGAGCGAGATAAAAAGGTCATGAACATTTTTTCATTCGTTGATTTTTTATGGTTCTCAAAGAATGATTGATTTTTCGAAAAATTAATTTTTTATTAAAAATTGTCAATCTCCAAAAAATGGAATTGTTCAATTATGTATGAATCTCCTCCAATTTATGCAATTTCTTTCCCATATTTTGGAAACGTTCAGAAAAAAACAAAAAAAGTGGAAAAATCTGGGAGACGGCTTGAAAAATTTATTCATTTTATAACAAATAGCCAAAACGAGTTGAAGGTGATCGGAAAAGGATAAATAATTTTAAGAGATGTTTGAAAATACGAGGTGGAGACGCCGCCATCTTTGAAGCCCCTCGCGGCAGGATGAGGAGGTATCCAAGCAAAATGGCGGCGTTCACCCCTCTCAACCACCTCGAATTTTTGAACATTTCTTAAAATTATTTGTTCTCTCCATATCACCTGCAACTCGTTTTATCCAGTTTCTAGAACATAAATCTATTTTTCAAACCATCTTTCTGATTTTCAATCTTCCTTTTGGCCGGGAATTTATGGTGCAACGTTTCTTCCGCATTTCAGGAGTTTTAATTTATTCTTGAAGCGTCTTAAATGTATTCTCAGAGAAATTTCACTGGAATACTTTTTTTTAGTACTTTTTTCTCTGTGCATCATGAATTGTTCACTCTGAAAGGACCAGACACGTCGGGAAAATGACAGGACCGGAAAGTCGAAGAATTGAATTTGGAGAATATCTTATCCGACGTGATCGTGGCCTCGGTGGAATTAGATTGTCCCAAGTCTCTCCTTCTCGACGTGCTTTTTTCGCGTACGTCAGCCGACAATGGAGGGACCCAGATACAACTAGGAAACAAGTACGGTAGGTCACAACATGGTATGAAGAGTGTCGAGAAAACTAGAGGGGGGAAGAAAAAAGAATCGAGGAGATTTCGGGGGTAGTTTGGAGTGACGATGCACGATAAGCACGCTCGTTCCTCTTTCATGACCTGATGGGTAGACAAATCAGGGAGCAAAGGCATTACACTTGTGCCATTTTGTTAATTGCTAACTATATTTTTTTAGTTGTTAAGAAATTTTGATTTGTTAAAAATTTAACAAATTAATGAAAAGGTTTCATGTCTCTTCAAAGCATAAAAATTATTTGAAACTCAATTTTGATTCAGTTATTCCATGAAAATTAATAAAAATAGCGAAATTTCTGGTAATTATGTTCGGGAATTTTCAATGCATTGAAAATTCGGCCCAATTTGGCAGCGGATATTCATGTTTTGATGAAAAATTCTAGTAAGTTTGGCAATTCTGGTCTTCCTGCCGCTCAAAAATGAAGAATTTCATTGAATTTTTAGTGAAATTTGAAATTTCATGTTTTTTTCTCCCCAAATCGATTTGATAGGATGAAAATTACCAGTCAATTTTCACTCTTAAAAATTTACGCTGAAATTTCCGGCAAACTCAGAAATTTTTATCACATTGTGGTTCCACTGGAATTCCAAGGAATTTTGTTTTTGAAAAATAAAAATTTTACGGAAAAATCAATTGATACTGTCAATTGTAGTTCAATTATTCCATGAAAATTGATTGAAATCAGGAAAATTCAATTCATTTTCAATGAATTGACAAAATTATGTCAAAATTAAAAAAAATTGTGGCTGAAATTTTCGGTACACCTCTTGCACATTCTTATCACATTATAGTTCCACTGAAATATCAGTTTTCTCCAACACAGTTCAATCCAAAACGCAAAACAACTCATTTCTATAGATAAAACTCACACGAAGAAAGTAAACAAAAAGCGCCATTTTTTTGAACGTTTCCTTTGGATATTTTATTAAAATATACATTTCATCCAAAATACAAAAGAAAAGAAATTAAAGAAAAAATATATGTACAATATTTAATGCTCAAACAGATATGTTTTTTCGTTCTCCAGTATTTCCTTTTTTTCGTTGTGAAAGTTAATTACAATTATAACAACGGTAGTAAGTTTGGATACAAATTATATCGTTAGATGATGCCGATGATATGGGAGGAAATATCACTACAATTAACAATAAATGTTATTGATAATAACAATGAAGAACTTTTCATAATCGTTCATAGATTGGTGGCATTTGTTTTTTGTTTATAACGGTGCGTCGAAAATAATAATAATAGGAAATTGTTGTCAGGCAAGCTGTTTCACAGTGTGCGTTTACCTAATTAAACTGAGCGTCAATTAATTTTGTGACTCACTGGCTTTCTCAATGATAATTGTGTCTCGCGAGAAAGAAATTTCCTAATTTTATACAATTTATCAGCTAATGTAAATAGCTTCGCCGATGTTACCTGCCACTGAAAGACGACAAAATATATTAAATATTAAAGCAAATAATTTAGCAGTCAAATGTTAAACAGAGAGTCAAATAAATTTTCGTTAGATCTTCTCTCACGTACTAATTTCAATAGTTTATCAATTTTTATTGTTCAACAACTCGTGATGTGACGTGAAATATTTCCAACAGTCAGATCAATTTTTATAATAATTTTTCAAACATGAATTGTTCCACTTTTTTTTTCTAACAGTTATCGCCAGAGTTTTGCACTTGATTTTCCATTAGTTTCTCTGATATGATTCAACAATTATCTGTCAAAGGCACTCTCGACAATTGGACACTTGTTCCATCTCCTCTGAATTTAAAAACGTTTGTTTATTCAATCAACGAAATGATATGTCTGTTCATAGCTTCAACACTGAAAAAACTTCCTGTGAATTAAATTGAATAGAGAGAATTGAAAGAATTAACTAACGAAAGACTCGGTCTACTGATGATACGAGTGAAAATAGTTGGATCGAGGTGTTCAAATGATTCATTACCTCACAATTAAAATGGACAAATTCATTAAATAATTTCACGTGTACGTGCACACGAGGCCAACGACACGATGTCTCTCCCCCATTGTTTCATAATTTATCAATTAAATACAATCCCTCAAATACTCATGATTTTGTTTTAAATAAAATCTACAGTTTCTTTAAATATTCTCTACGAGAAGAATCAATTTTCAAAAAATTCAAATTTCCATACATCACTCAACAACGTTTGTCCTTCATTTATCTCCATCGAGCTTCGTTTCAACTATTTACACAATTTTTCGCCCTCTTCCTAACTGCCTATTGCACTCAGTTGTTAATAATTTGATATGCAAGTGGGCGCGAAACGATCAATCGCCAGAATCCAATTGATCTCTAAAAATATTTATAATATACGAATTTCCGGAAATGACGCATTTCCAAATGAAACTACCAATAAATTAATCACCGAACTTGAATTGTCATTTCAAATTCACGAAACAGAAAATACGTATTGATATGAACTGTCAGTCAATCGAAAATTTAGTCTCCAGGCCATTAAAATGAACATCTCAGTTGATCGAGCTGAACGAGCCAGCTGGACTTGAGCATCACCAGCCCCACGAAATCACTCGCACTCTCTCGTTTATAATTTTTTAAAAAATTCATGATATGGTATTAATTGACTGTGACTACTTAACGATGTCGCGTGCCAAGTGTAATCGCCTTCAGCGTGAGAGAGGAAGCGAAGGACGACAACTAGGCCGAGCTCAATTCATCTCCTTCTTCTTCAGCATCGTTGATTTATTTAGTCAATGCAAAACGCATGCACTGAATTTGTGCCAGTTTTTTTGTTGCACTTGACGCGTGTCGATGAGCGCTTGCTATTGCGTGAACAATGATCCGTGAGATTATTCACTTTGTGTAACGAATTTTACTCTGGAACAGGATAAACATGGCACGGAATTAGATGAGAAAGTATTAATGGGGGATAGAAAATTTCAACAGTTCTTTGAGCACTCATTAAATTCTTCGGCTCCACTAGTTGCGGGAACCTTTTACTTTCCTGCAGTTACTAGACCAGAAATGGAAGGGGTGGGGGAGACTGACCAACTTGGTTTGCTCGCGAATTTTGTAATTGAGGTTTTTTCGGGGGATAGCTTCTGCTGTGATATGCATTGTTTTTTCGATCATAAGATAGTATTTATGTTTAGGAATCTTTTGTTGTTTAAAATGTATCACCTGAGACTTTGATTCAATTAATGTTGAGGAAATGATAAATTTTTTTAGAGTTTCATCCCTTTTGAATGCTCGCGGTTTGAGGAAGTACACTGAGAGAAAAACGAACAAGTTTAGCTCAAACAAATCTTGTTTGGGCTAACAAAATCGTTATTTGAAAATTGCCAAAAAAATAATTGTTTGGTTCGAATTTGGCAGTCTCAGACATCAATAATTGCATTGCTTTCAACAACAACGAAAAGTTTGGCTCAAGGGGCAGATCATTTATACCAGACGGTGCCTTTTCAGGACAAAAATATCTGTCACAAAGGGAAGTTTATCAAGAACTATTTAGCCCCTAAGTTACAAGATTGTCATATCATTATTTCATATAAGAATTCGTTTTTTGTCTGTGATTATTGAATAGCCGAAACGACAAACTACTATCCCTCGTTTCAAAAAAATTAGCATTTGCCGCAAATGATGCATTCTGATGATATCACTTGTGTTTTATTTCTATATTTATGCGTTGAACTATCGTTCTATATTTATCATACTACGAATACTGTTAATGTTAGGGACAGGGGGCCTTCTAGATAATGTTGTCACAAATCTAGGGCTTATTCAATGAACATTAATTTCTTGTTGTCAGTACAATGCCTTCTAGAACCCCAAGTTCTTTCAAGTCAGTAACTTGATTCAGGAAGTTACACACCAAAAAAAAATAAAGCTTTATTTTGAAACTTATGATCTGAAATTGGGACTTTTAAAAGTCTCAAATTGAGATTTTGAAATGTCTTAAATTGAGATTTTTAGAACTCAAAGAACAATTTCAAGTCGAGCTCCGAAAGTCTTAACTTAAGACATTCAAAAGTCTCAAATTGAAACCTTAACATGTTGCCGACCCATGCGATTGTGAGCGCTTGATTTCAAAATTGATTGCTTCCAAATCTATGAAGAATAACTTGATCAGTCAAACAAAATTGTAAACCGGAATAGCTTCAATTAGATACCGATTCTACAACTTTCCACTCCCTAGAAATAATCGAATTCGAGTCGTACTGAGCGCACTACGCTCGATAACAGAAGGGCCCCTCCGTGAGGGGTTAAAATTCTCAAATTGACTTTCGAACCTGTCAACTCAAGATTCTTTAACTTCAACCCGCGCCTTTTGAAAATCCTACTTTGAAACCTTTGAAATCTTAAAGCAAGGAATTATTATTTTTTATATAAACTTTTCATCTCAATGCAAAATAAATGACTCACCCCTTCACTCCACCGCGAACCCACAAGTCTCCTCAACAGCCTGCGTGAGTTTATCCAGCATCTTCTGATAGCAAGGATAGCTCTGTGGTATATCAATCCTATTAAAACAAGTATGCGCCTTGGGTAGGTTCTCACTGGGTGCATCCACCGCATGAATGGTGAACAACCTAGGTCCAGCAGCACCCGTGGACCCTTGGAGGGCCTTGAAGCCCTGCAGAGGAACCCTCGAGCTCCCCGTGACGAACTGCAAAAGTCTCGCCCGCATCTCCTCCCCGTAGGACTCCACAATCTGCCAGAACCACTTGACCACCGGTGTATCCGGGGTGCAGTGCTTCAGCCTCGTGTGCGTCTTCCAGTCGTTAATGTCAATGGTCCCCAGACCCCCGATCACCAGCTCGAGCTCCCTCTCGTCGAAGGGCCTCAGCAGTTGCGGGGGTATCAGCTCGTGAAAGCCCTTCTGCAGGGCCAGGAACTGCTGCTCAATTCCCCTCATAAACCGGTAGTTAACGTAAAGCCTGACATACTCCCTCTTATTCTCCTCAGTCACAGTTATGTCCTTGCCCCCAGGCTTTAACTCGTGATTTCTGAGAACGCCGAAGCTACTGTGCTCCACCGAGAAAGCAGCATCCAATACCTATAATGATTTTAAGCATCCTTTGTAAAAATAAAGCATCGAACGAATGGAGAATGTAAGAAAGTAAAAATGGAGAAAGTAAGGCGGTTTTCATGAGTACAATCGTCTTGCGCCGGATTTTTATGGAGCCCAAAAGAGGATTGTATATCATTCTATGAAACACGAATAAACGGATCATAATTGTCCAAATCACTTAGGTCAGAGGAAAATAGAATAATTCAACTTTCTTAATATTGCATTTACTAAGGTTTTCTTGGAACAAAGTTGATTAGAATTAATAGCTACATGGAAAGAAATTTTCTAGTACGAGTACTGGAAAAAATCACAATCCACCAGCTGTGAAAAATTCTAGTGCTGTTAAGGCAAAATTTCTTGGTATTTCTGGTAAAATTTCTGGGGATTTCTGTGAAATTTTCACAGAAATACGGGGGAAAATTCGCGTTTTCCCCAATAAAATTTCTCTCCGTGTAGAATTATCAGATTATCTCACATTTTTGACGTTAAGAATAGGAGATTCTGAATGGAATATAGTGAAAATGATGATCGATTTTTTCACTTTGAACAAATAATATTAATATCCAAATACAAAATTTATGATATGAATGAAAAGAAGCTGTGACTCAATATTTCAAATGAAGTTTTAATTTTTAATTTGGTTGAAAACACGAGTTGGCAGTATTCTAAGCACGGCATTATATTGATGAGATGAACAACAGATTAATTGAATTACCGTGTGATCTAAATAAAAATTGATACCAGTGTGGGCACGCACTTCTACCAGAGTACCAACAAACATTGAATTCCAGAAATTTACACTCTGAAGTGTGTTCTAGAAGGAGTTGAATTGTAATTATGATTAAAATCTTATTCAGTGAGCGTAGGAACTAGAACATGAGCAAATCATTTACTGTGATATGAAAATTTAACAGTTGGTAAATTGGGACATGATTCTCATGGGTCGTAGTGCTTTTTGCAATGAGAATGATTATAAACAATTAATTGAAAAAAGGGATATCGAATCTAACAGGAAAAAGGGCATCAACGCCGGTAGTTCTGTCATAATCCTGCCCAATGATCCTCCATAAAAAAATTGGTGAAATAATATATTAAAAAATACTCTATCATTCTACAGTGTAATAATATACAATATATATATACCACCCGTGGGACGTTTACGAATGATTATTCATACTAATCTTTATATTGAATTTCATTAACTTCTGATTCTGAAGGTTTCACATTTCGATATCCAATACAAAAAACCCCATCATCACTGAAGATGTGGACATGACCGTCATGCGACGTCATATTTATTTTGGTCATGATTGAAGTAATTTGCCACTGTCACTACTATTTAGACAGATTATGACGGTCACATAGAGTCTATGTCACCACCAAAAAAGTAAAATTAAGGAGTCATTATGAAATTTCGAAAACGCGACGTTTCTATTGCTATTAGTGGTGGAATGTGAAGGTCACATGAGATTTGTGTCACAAAAGAGTCATAAAATAGAGCAGCTATCATGAAATTTTGAATACTCTGACATTGTTACTTCTATTTAGATGGAATGATAGTCACACAGAATTTGTGTCAGAAAATTGACGAGTGACCGTGATCTATTCACTTGGAACATGACCGTTGTATGTTAATGCCTTCATAAATTGGTCCTGTGATGAGGGCAGAAAATCTCAATAACATGAAAATGCGAGCCAAAGTAATTTAGAATTTTTTCCGGAAATCCATAGAGACTAATTTAGATGCTATTCTCTTAGGATACACGTTAGCCAACCTAAAACTAGGGATGGGCGATGTTTGTCGATTAATCGAAAACATAGATTTTTCATGGCCAAACATCGATGTTTCTGACCAAGCTAACAAAATTTTTCGTTTTTATTGTCGAAGAATAATGCTGTTGATTGAGAATAAACAAAATAATAATTCATCCGCAATCAGAAGTAATTATTTTCTACAGTATGTATGTTATAAATGATAAGTGAACGTCCAGTTGTCCATTGGTTTTATAAATTAGAACAAAAATTTCAATTTTCAACAATTATTGCAGCTAACGGAAAATATTCAATATATTTTCTTCAATTAATCAAAAACCCTGTTTCGAGATTCAAAATTTAATTCTCCAGCAGTACTTATCATTGAACGTAAGTTCCTCGAGAAAAAAAAAATATAAAAAAAAATTTTTTTCTCCTGTATAATAAGAAAGTCATCGATTTTTTTATGAATCGATGTTTTCTCCTGAAAAATGGATTCGCAACATCGATGTTTTTTAACACATCGCCCATCGCTACCTAAAACTACTTCAAGTACTACCCACCCCATCAATACTGTTCTCCAGCATCCACGTGAGACTCCTGTGCAGCTCGGGATCGACCCCCTCAATATCACTCAGCGTGATCCCCTTATTCAGCAGCATCTTGTAGAAGGGAGTGGTGAACCCCCCGTCGACATGATGCCCGTGAAAAACCGCGATGCCAATGATCCTCCCCGCAAAATGGAAATACGACAGATGCTCAGGATTGATCCCCGAGTCGGGATTGATCTGCAGCGTGTAGTTGTCGTCCCGCGAGTACTGAAACAGCCCGTACTGTGGGTTCAGCATCTCGTGCGACAGCAGGTACAGCCACTCCCTGGCAACCCCGCCGTAGTCGAGGCCCTCCTCCCCCCTGAACTTCACCATCAGACGCTTCCGCATGTCCTTCGGCCGCATCTTCATGATGATGCGGTACGACTCCTCGAAGATCTCGTTGCGAGACACCTCGAGACGACAGTGACCACTCTGGGGTTGAAGGGCATTCAGCTCGGCTCTGAGGCACTTCAGCTTCGCTACTAGATCGCGCTTGTACTTCGGCAGGAGTTCGCTCTCCATGAGCTCCTTAGGAAGGTCGGAAATCGTCTGGGGCGGCGTCTCCGTCGGCGAGTTGTTGTTGGTTATCGTCCGGTTCGTTTGGTTCGCGTTCGGCGTCACGGCTATCGGCTCTGTGTTGTCCGCTCTTGGGGTCGAGGTGTTACCGGGTTGGTTACCACCGCTGCTCTGTCGCTTCAGGATGTTGTTTATTATTTGCGTTGAGAGACGGGGGTCTGTGAACTGGGTTGTCCGGTTGTTGTGGTCCACGAAGTAGACTCGACCACTCGGGGTTTGACGCATCTCCCAGCCGCTGGGGAGCGGGCCGAGCTCGTTAGCCAGCTCGTTGGCTGGAAGGTCTCGCGGAATTCGCGGGTCGTGCCAGGTCGAGGCACCACTGGGCACGTGGTAGAAGTAGACCTGACCCTGTTGGGTCTGGCGCATCTCGTAGCCTCGGGGGAGATCCGTTGGCTGCGGCTCTGGCCTTCGCTCCCCCGAATTTCGGTTCCTGTTCGGCCGGCTCGGACGTCGCGGTTGGCTGTTCGGACGATTTCCGCTTTGATTCGCGTTTTGGTCTTCGGGGTTTCGCGGACGTCGCTCGCGCGCGGAGGGAGGTGTTGTGTTGCGCGTGTTCTGGGTCTGGGTGGGGGTGTTGCGGGGGGTGTTTTGCGCGGAGTTTTCGCGGCTGGGGGTTCGCGTTGGGGTACCGTCGTTCCAGGTGTCGGGGGGACGCGGCTGGGGGGGACTGTCCGTTTGACCAGCTGGCGAACCGCTGCTGCTGGGGGACGTTGGCGCGCTGTTTGCGAGCGCTGGGGGCTCCGGGGTGGTCGGGATTATTGCCGTGGTCGGACTGCAACACGGAAGTGAAGGGGGTTAACGGTTCAGTGGGAATGACGGGGTGGGGGCGTAATTTTGGGAAGCGTTCCGATGGTTGGGACCAAGTAATATCACAAACATGCGTTCTTGAGCTGAGGATATTGATTGGTAGGGAGGAGTGGGGAAAAATGGACAGTTTTGACTTTTTTGCTTTCGAATGGATGTTACTGACTCGTTTTTACTGAAAATGTAAGTTAGTTGAGGAATTCTCGTCTTCTTGCGGCTCAAAACTTTCGAATTTCATTGAATTTTCCGTGAAATTGACATTGGCTAGAAAATTTCGTTATCTCCCTTAGATTCGGAGATATTTCTCGAAGACTCGACTCGACTACATCGACTTGAACCGTTACCGATTTGCTAATGAAATGTCAATGGGTCACTGAATCGTTAATAAAATGGAATAGATTTTTTTTTCTCTATGGAAATGATAGTTTTCCCTTTTCTGATCAGGCTAGACTGACCAGAATTGATAAACTTTCTTCTGAATCATGAACATGGAAAAAGTCAAAAGTGTAGGTTCACGGAAGTGAAGGGGGTTAACGGTTGAGTGGGAATGATGAATTGGGGATGGTAATTTTGGGAATCGTTCCGATGGATGGAACAAAGTAATACAAAAAACATAAGTTGCGACGATGAGGAAAGTCGGAAATAAGGAGATGAGGTTATTCCTTTTATTTTGTATTTCAGAAATGCCTGGAGGTTTTCCTTTGCATGAATTCTGTATTCATTCAATACGAAAGTCCCGGATTCATGATTCACTGGGTCGAAACCTTTAGTATTTTCAGTCATTTCCTCATCTCCTGACGCACAGAATTGATTTCAGGAGCCAAGAAATTCGTATTTTATCGCAGTCTTCATGTTCAAGTCATGAATACTTGACAAAATTCTGGCCCCAAACGATCTGTCCTTAAAAGATTACTTGGCTCAAGAAATTAGATTTGTGATATTAGGTCGTCTTTTCAGTCCTTGTGATTGAAAGGGTTTTCGGAAAATAATAGAATAGAACACTTCAGTTAATTTGTACGTACTTTACAATTTTACATCTACACAAGCTATACAAAAGATTCGAAATATCTGAAAATTCGAACAGAATTGTGAATTTTTCAATTCGATTCCAATGAACTCCGGCTTAATGTCTTTCTTGCGACATTTTCCATCAAATTACAAATACTAACAACTCTTACTACCGAAAACTTCATTCTCTTTGTAAAAAATAAAATTGTAAAATCTTGAGAAAGACTTCCGGTGACTCAATAGAGAACGTTTGAAGGACCAAAATAATCCCAATCACATTCAAATACAATAAACTACGACTCATATTTCATTTATTTCGTTAAAGTTGAAGCCCGTTCTATTAAATTACTATAATATCACTGAATATTCATCAAGTCCATGAATTCCACCCAGAGGTACATCCGGAGGAATAATCTATTCGAATTCAGTAAACTTCATTTGAGCCGAATAAATGGGTTTATTTGCACCTCGTGAAAAAATCGTTTACTCAAACTCAAACGTGATTTTTACCTGTTTCATTCTCGTCAACTAAATCGTTCATTAGTTAGGAATGAAATCATGTTTCAAACTGAAAACTATAAAGTTATTATTAATGTAATAATCCTTCATTTGGATCAACCAAATTGTTTATTCCAGTCTAATGCAAAATTGATTTGGAATTGATTAATTATTTACTTCACCTAATGTTTTAATTATCCCAAATGAACAAAAAAAATTCAAATGAGTTTCATTAGCTTCTCAGGATGTCAAAATGAACTCAATTTTTGTATTAAAAATATTCCAAAAACCCTTTCTCCTTTCATGGACTGTCCAACATACGACAGATATTGCCAATAGATGATGTTATCTCCTACATACCGAGTGTTGGGACGAATCCACTGGGTCGTCCTCGTGTAATGGTTGACGTAATAGAGCCTACCACTCTCAGTTCTTCTCTCTTCCCAACCATCAGGCAGATCGGTAGGACAGCTCAAGTCACCGAGCACATCAACAACAGCATTGTGACCTACCGTGTTGCTAACAGCCCCATTGTGACCGTCTCTAGACAGCAATGAGACGACAATTTGACCTTTGATCACCTCTGTGTCATCAGTGTTTGCTTTACAGAGATCTAGACGCTGATCTGGAGGATAAATGGTTATTAGAGATTTCTCTTTCTATTTATGGAGGGAGATAAGTTGAGATAATTCTTTGAATAAACTTATGAGATTAGATAGATTGGTATTTACATCCAGTATCCTTAAGCCTCTGTATCGTATTTGATAGTATTCTGACACATCCCAGGAAACCACCGCCCTGTTTTTTGTGGATTTTACGGTGATTCCAGACGGATATTGTGATACCTTCGTTTTTGCCGATGTATCTGGAAGAATTTGAGATGTTTGGATAAAGGAACAGTGATTTTTTACTTGAACTCATCCGGAGGAGAAATGCAAAAGACGTTTTTCTAGAAAATTGTACATTCTTAAATTTTTTGAAAATATGAGATTCTTTTAACAATTAAAGTTTTTGGAAGGAAATGTCAGGAAATAGACGAAAATTTCCTCATGTAAAAGGTGGACTTCTCAATTTTTCTTCTAAATCCATTCATATTCAGAATAATTCAACAATTCTCTAGTGAATTACACTAAAATCCACCCCAAAATGCATGAAATGGCGCTCATTATGAGAAAAATCATCAAAATCGAGAAAACTGATATTTATAATGCTCACAAGTCATAATGCTGATTCCACTTTGGATCTAAAGTAGCTTTACAGGTGTCAGTACTGTGACACTGTCCAGACCCATCAACAGTGACTTTAGCAAAAGGATCTGGCAAGCCTGCAACAATCAATACTAATAAATTCGACTGGATCTCTCCAACCACCTCTCAACATCAAAGATTCAATACTCACGGAATAAATCCTTTCTGGCTAGATTCCTGGCGCAGAGAACTGTCGGAAAAAATCCAATACAATTAGGGGAAAACCATGAAGCTGAAACCAGTGAAGTATTCCCCAGCGGAAAATTCAAATCAAGATAATATGCAAGACCCCATAAAACAGATTTATAATCCCCCGAAAATGGGTTTAACCTTTTCCCCTCAATACCCTCATTATCAAGATAACCCTAGATGGAAAGAATTGATTTAGTGGCAGTCTCCGTCATAATCTCATCTCTGCGGAACATAAAATTCTTTCGGTAATGAAAGCATTTCGAAGGAAATTTCAAAAGACATTTTGACCCAAGAGTCAAGCAATTGCATTAAAAATATTATGTACACCGCTAGATTCCCCTGAATCTAATATTCATGTTAAATCTTTCTCTAATTTAAGCTTCACAACAAAACCCACTGTACCCATCATCATATTGACTCAAACACGCGGAAAAAATATGCAAAGCCCCATCAAACAGAACCATAATCCCCCGACAGCAATTTTAACGTTCTCCCCCCCCCCCCATTTCCTTCCCCTCAATTTCCTCATTATAAAGATAACCCGAAAGAATTGCTTTAGTAACAGCCTTCGTCATAATTACATTTCTGCAGAATATAAAATCCTGTCGGCAATGAAAGCATTTAGGAGGAAATTTCAAAATACATTTTCCGGAGGGAGCTTCCTAAGAAATTTAAAAAAATCAATCGAATAAAATCCAATATAATTGGAGCAAAAACATGAAGCTGAAACTAGCGGATATTCAATGCACGCTATTTTGAAAAGCCCAAGGGTCAGATAATTACATTAAAAATATTTGAACATGAGTAATATTTAAAAAAATATATGCTAAACACTATCAAACAGATTCATGATCCCTCGAAAGCAATTTTAACATAAAATCCTGTCGATAACAAAAGGACTTACTAGCAAATTTCAAAAGACATTTTTCTTAGAGAGGTGTTCCTCAGAAATTGACATAATCCTTCCATGTCCTACTGAATCTCATCATTGAGATAATACATCAATGAATAAATGAAAAAATGAGTCAATCAAAGAAAACCCAATGCAATTGGAGCAAAAAAGTGAACTAAATTAGCGGAATAGTCAGTATATGGTGTTTTTAAAATCCCAAGGGCGAAAAAATGACATTAAAAATATTTGAAACCCCCTAGATTCCCCTGAATCTACTCTTCCACCGGCGAGTCTGCCTCTAGCCGCAGCTTCCCCCCAAAACCCGCTATTTACCCATCATCATACTGACTCAAGCACCCGGAAAAAATACGCAAATCCCGATCAAACAGCCTCCTAATCCCCCGAAAACTGCATGAAACACAGCTGATTCCCTTATCAGCTGGAATTTATGGTGCCCCCCGTCGCGTAAACCGAGGGATTAAAAACTCCAAAATTGAGCAACTGTCTTAATTGGCCGAAATGAGTCTAGATTGAATTGTTCTGGTGAAATAAAAACGGCCTCGCCCTCCCAGCGAGCTAGCCCGTGGGGTCCCCCATGCCCACCATAAACCCCCTAATCACTAATCAAACCCATCGAACATCATCGAATAAATCGCGAAAGCCGATGCGCAACGCAGAATTATAATTCATCAAATTCATGGACGTTTAAGGTCACTCTCTACTTGTTTGGCTGTGGGCATGGATTCAATGACGAGGGGGATGACGTCTCTATCAATTGCGGGAGAATTATCGTACTCTCATGAGCCATATTGAAGTTAATGATGGTTAATTTATCAGTTTGATGCACGGCGACTGCGTTTAGAGGGAAAAAATGAGGAATTATTTTAGTTTACTTTCCAAGTGAGAACTTTCACGAGGGGGGGACGAGGTGGAAGTGCATTTGCGGGTGGGGGAGGGAGAGGAGTGTTAACGTCCGCGACGAGTTAATCCTCACGATGATTTCCCAGGGAATGACGAGGATTGAACGATTACTCGGTTTTGGTCGGGGTTAATTGTCTTTGGAGCGCATTGTTGAGTGAAAAAAAGGGAAAAACGCACTTGTTAGGCGTATCTTTGTCGCCCCGTTCCTCCTGCTACCGCCGGGATTCGACATTATTAACACACATTTAATGCACCGTACCGATAATTCGGTACTTCACTGACACTTGTTCACTAATTTGGGCGAAGTTCACTAATTTATTTGGGCGTGAGGAAATGATAAGTGAAGAAAATAAATTGGCAAGCACCCGACGGCGACGACTTGTGAGCGCCGAGGCCCCACACGCAACAACCGAAAACTGGGGGGGATTGGGGAGACAATTGTTTCGGTGGATTCTCATTGAGCGGGTTTGTTTCGGGGGAGGAATCCGATTGGTTGGAGTCTTGCACGCGTGACGTCGGCGGGGACTCCCCGGATGGCGGGAGTTTCAAACGAATGAGAGGATTAGGGCCAGGGTAGTTGTCGTTGGAGTTGCTCAATCGGAAATTTAGATTTTTTTGGGTCAGGATGAGGAATTTTGGCCTCAGGAGTTCGAATACGCTATTTTTTGGCCATTTTTTTGACGATAACTGAAAAAATTGTTTAAATGAATGCAATTGCATCCAGAAACAACTCTTGTTTTGAGATTTCAAAGATTATGAATTGAGACTCTCGGAAGTGGCAGCTTGACGCTTTCGAAAGGATGAAATAGAGATTCAAGTCTCAATTTGAGGCCTTCTGAAAGTCTGAACTTGAGACTTTCCAATCTCAATTTGAGACTTTCAGGGAGTTTAAATTAAGATTTTCAAGTCTTAAACCACAATTGAACGAGGCATTTTCAAGTACCGGCGATCTTCGTGAGAAACCGCGAAGTTCATATTTAAAATCGCGATGTTAATTTATTGTGACAAATGCTACATAAGTTGAAATTTATGTTTTTTTTGTCTATACAAATAGACTTTCGAATGTTTCAAGTTGAGAATGTCGAAAGTCTTGAGACATTCGAATGTCTTAAGTTGAGACTTTCAGAAATCTCAAGTTGAGAGCTTCAAAACACAATTTAAGATGTTCAAAAGTCTCAATTTAAGACTTCCATAAATTTCCATAAATTCTAGACTTTCATAAAATATATATTCAATATTTCTTAATAATTGGAGCTGCAGAATCCGAATATTTCGTATTTAAATAATGAAAAACAAAGTGAAATGAATGATATAAATATCATGATTCTTTTGGTCAAATGGTTTTTACTTTCGTCCGTAACAAAATAATCGCCTCTAGATTCTACAAATCAATGCGAAATTACATTCAATAAAGGTGGACGATAAACGACTAGCAGAATGTGGACAGATAATTCGAGATATTTGATTTGTGGTACATAAAATACAGAAATTATAACAGTTGTACATTCTTTCTTATCTTGCGGTAAAGCTTGTGCTTGGTTTTGAGGAGAGAAGCAAGATGGATCTCATTCGATCTTTTAATTGATACTGTTATTATCCACTCTGAATAATTAGTATTCTTTCAAATGAACACATGATGACTATCAAAATTTCGTGGAAAAATCTAGCGAATGCGATCGAAAATTGTATTGAATTTTTACTGAGAGTTCTGTAAGTTTTTGGCTGATTTCATTGCGGAATTCTCAAGCTTCACTGCGCATTTTTTAAAGAAAATGTGTGATAAAAACAATTTCATGGAAAAAATTAAGTAAAAAATCTTAGAAAATTTGAGCGGAGGAATTTCTACAGAATTTCTATGCTGCGGAGAAGATTTCGACCGAATTTTTTAATTGTTTTGTAGTTTTTGGCCTCTGTGGCCATCAGCTGATTCGAAGTGAAAGAATTTATTATGTCCGAATGATAAAAATCGATCAACTCATTTGGATTAAGCCAAAAACTACAAAACAATAGAATTTCTATAGAAATATAAAATTTTGTTGATTTTTTTTTACAGAACATTTCCCATTGAACATTTCTATTCAAAGAAAGCGCAGATAAGCTGCCAATTTTTCCATAGAATCTGCCAAAAACTAATAGAAAGTTTAATGAAAATCCAACAGAATTTTCTGGCGAATTTCCTACGTTTTTCTATGAATTTTTTTCGTACGTATAATTGATTCTTCAGCTTCCCAATCATCACTATTATTAATCACGTCATTATTCACAATATTATTCGATTAAAAATGATCCAATGTGCCTCTCTCTCTTCCTCATCATCAGTGACTCCGTAGAAAACGAAATTAGACTATAAAATGCCGAAATCAGGACAATCTCGTACTAATAGACTACCTCCCTCTGAAAATACAGCTTTGCATCGTCAATGGGTAATTACAAAAATACATATTTCGTCTGTTATTTAAAAATCTCGTAATGCCCTTAAGAGTAATCAGTGCAGTTTTGGTACATTCTCAACAATCTCAGGTCAACTATCAAATTAATTTTTCTCCCTGGAACGTGAAGAAAGCGTCTACGAGCAGCACAACCCCTTCGATGAGCGACAGTGATCCTCGGGAGAGGGCCATGTCGCGGTATTTGTCGCTGTGCACAATTTTGTGCCAGTGGTTGATGACAACTACACCGGAAGCGATGAAGAGACCACATCCGATCAGGATGAAGAAGAGATCCTGGATAATAATCAAAATTAATATTAGAAATTGAGAAATTAATCGAGGCTAATTGACGCTCTTTTTTATTTTTTTTGTTTTTAATTTTGATGAAAATTTTGAATGACAAATTATGGAATGATCCGTGTGGCATTGCCACGGCGCTGATACATTTTAATACTGTTTTAATAGTTAGAAAAACGTCCAATGAAAATAATTAGACACTCGTAAGTAATGGGAAAAATCACTCAATTTGACTAGCAAAATAAAATTGTAGAAATGTTTAAGTGCACAATGAAATAATTACTCGAAAATGGAAGCACTCAAATTTGTCAATTAAAAGGCGTGAGAAAAATTTGAAAAAACAGATTTCTTTTCGTTGTTTAACATTTGTTGTTTATAAATAAATCAATAATTGAATCGTTTAAACTTTCGGAAACCTAATTTTTTAAGGTATGAAGTAGATTTCTAGTAAAATTATGAACATGAATATATTTGTTACGATTCCGAACAAATGACTTTTACGTCGGAAACTTGATTGTTTATAAATTATTTATAGAAAATCCTCGTAATCGTTAGAAATTTCAATTTTTAAATTATTTCATGAATCTTCCTCCAGAAATACGCTTTCTAATTTTTTTCAGATTTTTAGGATGTTTTCTAACGGTTCGATATCGAGATTCAAATTCAGACCTGCAATTTTAAATAGTAAAATCATTGGCAAGTGTCCGGAAACTCAGGATCAAATGAGGCTCAAATGAGAGCATTTCACGGAGGAAAAATAGCCAAAGTATTTGGATATCCTTAAGGAATTTATACATCGCTCGACTCATTCTACACGGAGAGAAATATTCAGCAAAAATTACGAAACAAGTCACGTAATCCGCAACGGGGAATCGTTTTCCGGCAATTTTTATAGGAATGGAAGAGAGGAAGTCTGAAACGTTCAGTAAATTCTCAGGTTCATCACCGAACAAAGTACGAAATTGTCACGTAATTTTTCCCAAAGAAGTAAAATCTTACAGAAACTTGCCGACTTATTACGCCTCCAAAATAAAAAATTCTTGAACGTTCAAAAATTTTTATGAAGCTGGTGAGTTATTTCTACGCTCCGTTCCGTAAAATTTCTCAATCCTTGGGGAAAAATTACGGAACGACTTGTTGTCCCCACAGCGGTGAGTCATCAGACGGGTGGTTAATTTTACAGAACAAATCGTAGCATTTACGTGGCGATTCGTACAATTTCAGTTCCGACTCACACTTTTTATTGAATTTTCCTTCCCTCGCGGATTACGTTTTGAAACGTAATTTTTTCGTTTTTTTCTGGAAATTTTTATTGAATTTTTCCCTCCGTGTACATAATTCTTGTCCCAAGCGATTAGTCCTCAAAACCTGATACATTTCTCTCAGAAGATTACTTTTGCAATATTAATCGTTCCATCTCTCAATCAAAAATTTCATGTCCTCAATGAAATTCTCATCAATTCAAGAAAGCCTCTATTTCCATGTCACCCATGTTAATTCTGTGGCTTTACCACACGGCGATGGACAGGTGTCCCCGTCAAAGCCCCAGCAAAAAGCCCAATCATAATGATCAGAAAAGCGACTTCAGTCCCCGCCGCCAGGAATTTGTCCTCTGGGTTGCAGAAAGGCTCATTAATGTGAATAGCTAAGATTATCACCGCTAGAACCTGGAAATCAATCAACAAAACATCAGAGACAATGAACACTCTTGTCAGCATTGAGCATGAATGACTTCACGAGTATTCTCACTCAATTAATGCATTTTTACTCGACTATTTCCAATCACACCCGATGCTAACAACTATAATAAGACGTGATTGATTGCGTAATGCTGAAATGCCCGGGAGGAAACGTCATCGCGGCGTCGCGGCCTTGCCACTGGAGCAGTTGCTGGAGGAGCATAATCTCGATGTGTTGAATTTCATTCCCATGAGGAAATTAGTCGTGAATGCTGATGTTAGTCTGATTTGCAAAACAATGAGATATTTTATTAAAATCTCTTTACTAGAGGACCGCTGCCCTCAGACTAAAAGCAATAGCCAAGTAAAAACTTTCACTGGAAAATGAAAAGCAAAAATAATAAAGTTTTACGACTCAAGAGGATTCAGTCCTTCAAATTTCAGCATGTGCTTTCAGCAAAATAAACTAGTATTATTTTATTATTACTATTATTATTATTCGTATTATTGTTATTACAGGTAAATGGAAAAACTATTATTATATTTTACTGAAAAGAATTATTATTATTTCAAATATGTTTTTTATTATATTTCAAATAATTGATTTTTCAGTTTTATAATGATGTTTTCCCAGTTTACGTCATAAATCTTTGTCGAGTAGTTTTTGTATTATAATAAGAGAGCTGTCCTCGAATATTCCAACAGTGTTGTCGCGGAATTGATGTTTCAACAAACGATGTTTCGATCAATCGTAAAAATTGTTGAGTGGGGTTTCGTAAATATCGAGTACTCACCAATTCGCTGATCTTGATAATCAGGAGCTGTGTACAGGTAAACATGATTATCTGGAAGCATCAGTCATTTCAATGTATGAGGCAATATTTATTTTTAGATTCCAAGATTAATCGAGGCGGAAAGATAATCACGCGTGAAAAATTGGATGCTAATTGTGGCATTGAACAATTTTTTTGTGAAGCAGACGGGGGTAATTGCGGTGTTTATAACTGAATGTGGGTGGTATTGGGTATTAATTAGCGGTGGAGTTGCGAATGGATTGAAGTCCGATTGGTATCCGATAGGTAGGAGGGTTACCGGAGAGCGACGTTGAATTCGATCTACGAGGAAAAATTGGGAAGTTTTCTATTTGAATGAGAATTGAATGGAATTTCGTATTTTTGAGCTGCAGAAAGACGAGAATTTCCTGACTTATTGGAATTTTTATGGCATAACTGAACTGAAATTTAAAGTTTACATTAATGTTTCCATTACATTGTGAATTTTCAGTGGAGAAATTCATTGAAATTTCAGGGGAACAGGCAATACCTTTATAAAAGATTAGAGGATTTTTTGGAAATTTGAATAGAAAAAATTTAATTTGATTCTTGGGGGGAGAAAAAACATGTAATTTCAAATTTTTGAGCAGCAAAAAGATGAAAATTCCAGAAATTATTAAAATTTTTAGGGAAATAATTGAACTACAATTTGGTTTCCATTAATTTCTTAATGAAATTTTGAATTTTCAATGAGGAAATTCGTTGAAATTTCAGAGAAATAGTCACAAATTTCGTAACAGTGTAGAGATTTTTTTTCGAAAGTAAAACTAAAATGAATTCAATTTAAAATTAAAACTAAATTGAACTGAATTCAATTCAGGTGACAAAAACATATAATTTCATATTTCAGTAGAAATTCAATGAAATTTCAAATTTCTGAGTTGCAGAAAGACGAAAATTCTCGACAGACTTGCATTTTCAATCAAAACGTAAATATTTTGTATTATATTCCGCTGAACTTACAAATCACTGAATTTACCGGAATTTCCATCATTGTCATGGAATAATTGACCTAAAATTTGCAGTTTCTATTGATTTTAAATCAAACACGGAGTTTTGAACACAGAAATTCGCTGGAATTTCAGTGGAACAGCCAAAAATTTCCAGAACCGAACAGAGTTGTTTTAAATTGAATAAAAAAATCTAAAATGGAAGAAAAATGGAAAAATGGAAATTTGAGGAACATTTTCCTGCAGAAGCATTTCCACACCCGATTGTTAACACTTAATTAAATATCCTTCGTCTAATTCAATTGTCACTCGCTAATTCATCGCTTCCGTTTGAAGCAATCTGTTCTCCTTATCACCTCAATTAACAAAAAAAGGGAAACTCACTTGTTAGGCGTATCTCTGTTGGTCTCGTGTTGCAGCCGCCAGAATTCGATATTATTGACACACATCTAACTTACAGCTAGACTATTTCGATACTCCACTACCTTTCGTTGATAACGAACCATAAGACTCTGGTTAAATTCGGCTTGTCGGGGCTGTTCATTGAAATTCGAATGAGCAATTTTAGGATGAATTAGAAGAACACGAGGTGATGTCTCTTGAGCGCGAGCTCTGCACGCACACTAACGTAAATTCGAAAATGCAGCAGCTGGATGGGGAAAAGTTAATGGGATTCTTAAGGTCGGTTCGCAATCGATTCGATTGTTAACCGGGAATTTTCCACTAGTGGCATCTGCTGGGAAGTCCGTAAATTTATTGAACAAATTCAAATTTATTTAGAGGATTGTGAAAGAAATATTTAAGATTATGAATGAACAGGCAATTTGGTGATGATTTTAGTCGAATGCCTTTATTAGGACGTCATGGCACAATCATTGCTGTGGAGAAATCGATTGTTACAATTTATGATTAACGATGAACGAATAGCAAAATTTAGAGATATATATTTTATCGAGACGCAAATCTGGAGGGATTTGCGAGTTAGATATACAGAATACAATTATTATAACAATTTTACACCTTTATTTTTCTTCCTTTTCTTTATTTTTCACTGCCAGAAAATCAATTGGAATCAGCACGATAAAATCATTCATGAATTTCTTGGTGATGTTGATTATTTGAGAAACTTTACTTTTTTCATATTTGATGAATAAAAAGTTTCGATGAATACTTGAATTTTAAAGTTTTGGCGAAAATTAAACGCTGAGAGGAAAAATTAGTTCTGCCGAAAAATTATGTTCCCGGAAGAGATCTTTTGTTGTGTTGAATCAAGTAACTTGTGGGGAAAAAGAAAGTTTCCACCAAAACATGATAATTTTAGGAGTAGTAATTGTTCTCGTGAGACATTTATACAGAGACAATTTTTTTTGAGAAAAAAATATTCCTGCCTCGTCAATGTATTCTTTTTATGGTATAAACCTGTGGAGTTCTCTCAGATGAAATGATTGTCGTACAATAGATTATATTTTTTCCTGCCAACAGTTTGAATCTTCTAGGAATATTTCTGATGATCAGGACAAAAATTTAATTTTCGTGAAAGATATGAAATTTTCTTCTATCAAGTTAATTTCCCTCAACTAAGTCTGTTCCACTCCATCAAATATTCTCGGCAAAGCTAATTTTTTCTCTCAGCACAGAGGAATTGGGTTGTGGTATAAATTTCTTTAAATTAATCGAATGCGTATTTTTGTATAAATCACACATTTTTAATCGTATTATATAATTTAGTATTTTGATTACTTTGAAAATGATAAAATTCGTGTATTTATTATTCAATTTTCATTTTCCTTAATAGAAAAATATGGAAAATTTCATTTAAATTTCTATTGAATTGAATTTATTTTTAGTAACAAAACTATTGAAATTCCACGTGCACTTTTCTATCAGTGCATGCCACGAAAAAATGTGGTCATTATATAGATTCACAATACAGAAATATCATCTTTTGGATTCTCTCAGAACTAAAATATTTCGAGCCCAGCCCTTCTGTTCATCAGGTACTCAATATAAATAGCCATTTAGCTTTAATTCGCGACAATTATAGAGATGATTGGTTAGATCATGAGGATAACGCCTTGATTATGAAGCACACAGTGCGTGAGAATTCCTAAAACCCACGGCTTTCAGAGGAGACAGTTCTTGATTATTAACAATAAAAATGAAAAAAAAATCGTAGGGAAACGGTGGAGGAGTGTCTCATACAAAATATGAATTCCATGATATGAATGTCAATCAATTAAAAATTAGTAGTGTTCCTGAATACCGGAATACGAGTGAAACCTTCTCTCCGAAGGAAGGAGAACCGTACAATCTCACGATAAATCTTCATCTTTTGACATTTCGTAATTTGAGAATTAATGCCTTTTATGAACACACTAATATTATTCCCGGAAAAAAACGCGAAAATTTCTCAGACGCAAATTATCCATCAAAAAATTTTCCCCGAACAAGAAATTCATCTCCATGAAGCTAATCTAATGAATTATTCATTCGGAATAATTCGTATGTGACACGTATGCAACAATTTAATAAAGAAAACCTAGCGCTTTCTCTCAAATAATCGATCGAATTTCTACTGGAACTCTGTAAGAATTCCCTTGAAGTTCTATTAGAATTCTATTTTCAAATAGAATTAAGATTAAGCAAATTGACCGCGTGCATTCTTTTCAAGAGAGATGTAATAGAAAAAAGTAAATAGGTTTCAATTTTTTTATATAAAATTTTTTAGTGTAAATTTTTCATTTTTTTAGCGCAGTTTCATTATTTGTTTCTCATAACAAAACTGAAGAGCAAAAAATTTGGAAAATTCATGTCCAAAAATTCTTATACAAAAAATTATAATTTTTTATAGACAAATATCTGTCAAAAAACCGCAGGGGGAATTACATAAATTTTAATAGAATTGACACAAGAAATAAATAGAATTCTACTAGTACTCGATTAAAAGTTGTTAGTGAAGCCACGAGAATTTCCTATTAAATTATTTTATACCTGAACATCCGAAAAACAAAATCTACAAAAATTGACATAGAAAATGCAGTATTTATTCGTCTTTCTTGTACTTCAAGGAAAAATTAGGTTGCGAAGGTAAAAATTTATCTTTTGCCTCACATTTTCCAATGTTCTTAATTTGAAAACAAATTGACCATTTGACTTCATTCTAGGCTGATCACAAAAAAAGAATTGAACTTTTAATGAAAAAAATTGTTCCCCTTACAAACTCAATGTCTCATTGAGATTTTTAAAAAAATCATAAGTCATAAGTCCATTTTGCCCCACTCACTCCTATAATTGCGCTCTCTGATTCCCTAGATTGCACACAAATATTTTTTTTTCGTTAATTTCGTGAGAAAATATTTTCCGAGAAAATTTTCCGAGACGTGCAGAATGGTTTTGAGACATTCAATGCCCCAACTTCAACCAAAATAATTTATTCCTCTCGTTTGAACATGAGGTACCCGTCCACAAGCAGGAGAATCCCCTCGATTATCGATATAGATCCCCTGGCTGCGACCATGTTGAGCTGGTGCTGGGTGCCGATGGCTCGTTGCCACTTTTCCAGGACAACTGCACCGGAAGCGATGAACAGGGCGCATCCCACCACGAGAAAGCCTAGTTCCTGTTATAACGATCGCGTTTAAAGAAGTATAAGTATAACTCAAATTTTGAAGATTACAATCTGAAATAAATTCTAAAGACAATTTCGTGAATTCTGATTTTGATCAATTGATCAATCTGATTGATCAGAGTGCAGTATTCGGGGTCACGTGACGCGTTTCACACTGATTATTGTTCCAACCCAAATATTGGACAATATAATTGGCCCATTCGACATCACGTGGTACAAGCTACAGGATTTTCAACTGATAATTTTTTGATAATTTTCTCTGGTAGTTGCTATATAAAAAACAAAACATCATGCAGTCGAATTAACCCCTCGTCAAACTGACAGATTGAATTCAATTGTGGTAATCCGAGGATTTTTATTCGAAATGAGTGTTAATTATACAATTTTCGTTTCTCAATTGTGAGTTTCGTCTCATGGTCCAATTATATTGCCCAACATTTGGATTAGAAAAATAATCCCCCGAATACCACACGAGCTTCAAAATTAATCGGGCATTTTCCTCAAGGTTCCCTGCATACAAACGAAGTCGTCAAGTTTTTCAGGGAAAATCACTCGTGCTTCGCACTAAACCTTTCTTGTCAATTCATATTGAGAATAATCCCAGATCCCCTCCTACCTCATCCAAATCCTATCCAGCTAATTTCCTCTGACGTCACGAAGATGTGGAACGCTATATAAATTCCCTTCTTTAATGGAAAATAAAGAATATAAAGAATAAAGAATATATTTGTTTGCAACGAACCTATCGGAAAATACCCGATAATTTTGAAGCTCTTGTGGTATTACAGGTGACAATTTCGTCAATTCTGATTTTGACCAATCAGAGTGCAGTATTCAGGGTCACGTGACGCGTTTCACACTGATAATTTCCCCGACTGCAGGGAAATTATCAGACTGATAATTTCTCTGTAGCCCTTCAATTGTTTTCTACGAATTTGACGGATATTCCTCACATTTCGGTGGAATGTGTCCCGTAACCCCGAACATTGCACCCTGATCGGCCAAAATCAGAACTGAAGGAATTGTCCTCCGAATACTCCTCAACCTTCAAAATTCATCGGATATTTCCCTCAAGTTTTCCTGCATATCAACGATCGGGATCAGTTTTGCGGTCAAACGAGAGACTATTGTTTGAAAAGTAATTGAAGTATGAATTTGATGGATCAATTCATCAATGCATCTCATATTCATCAAGTTTAGAATTTATATTAAAAATTTTTGATGATGGAGAATTTTTTTTTTGGGAATTTCAAATTTATTTTTCCCCGCTACAGTCAACGCCTCAACTGGAGTCTATTCATACTACCGTAAATAGAGGGAAGAAATTGAATTGACGGTTTAGACATGTCTTCAGGGCTGCAGGAAGAAAAATTTTCTAGAAAAATTCATGTGTTAACCAGCATAAACGTGACGCAATTTGCACATTCGGAAACATTTTGGTTTTACAGCAGAAAAATTCGCGTGCAGCACCAGAAAAACTATTATGTCCTTATAGTATATTTCGTTGGGAGTGGGTAAAAGTGTTTTTTGATTCGTGAAAATGGTTTTTTCGGTGCAGCGCAATTGCACACGTTTCGAAAAAATAATCTAGAAAATTGTTCTCCATGTGATTTCGAGAACTTACTATGCGATGGTTGACGGGCGTGCCCATCACCGCTGCTGCGAAGAGGCCCGTCAGGATTATCAAGAAGCCAACCTCAGTTCCTGCTGAGAGGAACGAGTCTTCCAGGCTGAACATCGGCGAATTCGCGTGGAGACCGATGATTATGCATATTAAAGCCTAGAACAGGAAAATTTTTCCCCTAATAGCGATTCTAAGCGGAGATCAGTTGATAATTCCTCGTTTAAGGATAATCGGGCGAGCCTGGAGGGTTAGAAAAAAAGCAGCCATTTTTCTCTTTTATTTTTTAAGTATTATTTAAATGATGGAAAAGGAGTGTGCAAAGTTTCAGACTGCTGGGGAACATGGTTAATTTATTATGAATTTTTGAAAAAGTGGTCATTTAACCCGTGATCTTATGGAAATCACAAAAAAAACTGCAAAACCCAAGGAAAAAATGCAGCCAAAGTCATGAAACTTTAGACACATTTAGAACATGTGATCAATGATTTTTTGAGTGAAAAAGATTGTCGCCTAGGAGCATTGTTTATTAATAATAGCGAAAAAAGTACTGAAAAATGAAATTTCTGCGCACGCAGCCCAAACGAGCAGCAACGTCTCAAGTACCGATCGGGTGGGGGTAGCGCGATCAATTCAAACGTCTCTTGAGAGAGAGCGATTAAGCCTTGTGATTGGAGCTCCCTCAAGCCAGTGGTACCAGCTCCTGGTGAAAAAAAAAACTACCGACGATGTTGCCACTTTTTCGCATGGATTAATATTTTTTCATTTATTAAAAAAAAAAAAATCTGAAAACCATTCAATGCGTGGAACAGATACAAATAAATTTGATTAGCTCCAAAAATAATTTTTAACCGGAGATACTCCCTAATATTGCCTGAATTTTGAATCCGAATGGGAAAAATTTTTTTGTTCAGCGATTGGTTTTCTGCAGGAAAACAATAGAAACCCCTCCGCCTCACCTCCTACATTTCCTCCTCGCCCGATTATCCTTAAATGTAATCTAAGGAATACATTTTTTGGAAATGTCTATTAAGTGATAATTGCATTGGAATTTCACGGAATTTCACAATTAAAGATTCACAACTTTGAATTTTCAATTTCTTTCAATTTTCATTTTTTTAGAAGAATTGTATTTCATTCTCCTCTTACTGAAAAATTCAGAATTCCTTCGCATTTTCAGTGAAATTTGAAATCATGGGATTTCGTGTGAAAAAGGCAAATAATGACAGTCACCTGGAACTCATAGAGAATGTTTATAATCACAATTGAATTGTCTATGAATGTTCATAGAATTTTTCCAGATTTCCTTTTCAAGTTATTAACGATTAAAGTCGCTGCTTATACATGGGCTCTTACAGAGGATTTTTCTGTTTAGCATGAAACTATATTACCAGCTCAGATGGTAACGCAGTTTCTTGTTAAACGGAAAAATCTGCATAAGAGCCTATGTATAAGAAGCAACTTCAATCGTTAATAACTTGAGCAAGAAATCTGAAAAAATTCTAAGAAAATTCATAGTGAAATTCAATTGTGATTATAAATATTCTATATGAATTGCAGCTGAATGTCATTATTTACTTTTTCTCACGAAACACCTTAACTCGAATATGAGCATGAATGCAAAGGAATCGATTTCAACTGCTATATTCTATCGATCCTCATCCGAATATTCCGTATCTGATCAATACTCCGTACAAATTCAATCCAATATCCCGATTGCGTCATTCTGATCAAGAAAAAATAAACAAATAACGGCCGAATATAGCACTACAGTGTTTTTAAACATGGGAGTAAAGTCCCAAGGAGTAAGGGTAGTGTGTTCTCGATGAGTTAGTGCTTTATCGATCGCGAGACCTCGTTCTTTTATAGCGGCGCAATTACAGTTCCATATGTTTAATAGATACTAAATGACAAGACGGTTCACAAAATTACACATTTATATTTGGAACGAGGAAAATAAAAGCTCAAATTTCACGGCCGTTGGGACATTATCGGCGCGCGGTCTTTCTCTCCTGGCGCTTTTTTCCGCGTACCGAATATAAAAACAGTAGACTTTGCAGAAAAAGTGGCAAAAACCGTAGGAAATGGCTCGATCCATGAGTGGTTTTTCTTTCTCCTTGGGTAATCAAGTAGAAACGCATCCTCATAACGTCATATTGAACATTGACGAGTGAGGCGCAGTAGTTACATCATATTAAGATGATTGCAAGGGTACGTCATCTTGAAACTGCATGAAAATACTTAACAAACAATAATGATCATTTTATTGAGAATTCGATCTGTGGAATTGAGTTTAAAAACACTGTTTGTTCAGAAAAAAATCAGTATTTCCAGGAAAAAGTTTAGCAAAAATGAAAAAGCATTAGTTGAATCTAATCGAAGTTGTTATGAATAAATAAATAGATAAATATATTGTTTAAAACTTCAAAAAGTAGTTTTAAACATTTTTTAAATTTATTTAAAGTGAAAATTTCACGAAAATTTTGCATTTCAACAAAAAATGATGCGTTTTCTACTGGATTCCAGGTGAAATATCGAAAGTACTAAAGGAAATTATCTTTTCGTTTGTAAAAAATCGCAATTCAGATTAACCCGCGACTGCTCTACAAATAATGACGAATAATTATCAACGATCTCACAATTCAAAGTATTTATGATCGATAAGAATTCAGTGTTTTCAATGACAATTTTGAGAAAAATATTTGACAAATGAAAACATTACTTGGAGCCAAATAAAGTGATTCCGAATAGATGAATAAATAAATAAATACATTGCTTTAAGGCCCAAAAAGTCGTAGTGAACATTTTTTATTCTATTTCAAGTAAAAATTTCACAAAAATATTGCAATTTCAGCTCAAATCAATGCATTTTCTGCTGAACGTCGGGTGAAGTATCAGAAGAAATTTAAAAAAGAATTCTTTTTTTGTTTGTAAAAAAACGCAATTCAAATTAATCCGCAACTTTTCAAGAAACAATGACGAATAATTATGAATGATCTGACAAGGGAAACGATTGATAACAGCTTGATGACGTTATCATCTTCAGGTGTTATCAGCCTGGAGTGACACAAATTCGTAGATAAACTAGTGGCATTGACTTTTGGTATGACAAGAGAAATGTTGAACCGATAGCGCTGGAGTTCCCCAGATTATCAACAACTAATACTCACTAATTCGACGACTTTAATCAGCGAGAGCTTCGTAACGTTGGCCATGACAATCTGCAAGCACAGGGGTGTTTGATATGAAATGGAACTGAAGTTATGGATCTATTCTTGAATGTTTCCGCTGTACGTCAAGAACAGCATAAAATTACCCAAGTTTATTTTTATTGTTTTCATATTCGTGAAAATGTAATTCAATCGAGCAAAATAGTATGAGACGAGTAATTATATACTGTAGAAAAAAATGATGTGCGAAATGACCATTCGGACGCGCATTTCGAATTTATTAAAAAAAATAACCATTTTGTATAACGAGAAAAGCAATTTTTCACTTGTTTTCTACTTCAACTAAAGATATGCAAGTATTTTTTACAGTTGGGTTCAACTATTTTTTACGTTTTGCACTGAATTATTATTTTTTAAACATTCGTTGCTTATAAATAACTAATTGAAATTGTTTAAACTTTCGGAAAACTCATTTTTTGGGCATGAAATCGATGTCTGGTAAAATACTGGATATGAATAAATTTTTTACGATTCCAAACAAATTATTTTTACGGTGGAAAATTCATTGTTTATAAATTATTTATATAAAACACTCGTAATTGCAAAAAATTGTTCAAACTTCTTTTCCTTATCAGCTAAAATTCGTGGAATGAAATAGCACTTACCTATTACTATTTTTTTTCCCTGTAATGGAATATTTCACTTTTTCTCAGCGAACGGCAATAAAATACAAGCGCAATTTAGTCCTTGACGGTGAACTTTGAATATTCAAATGATGGATAACGCTAAAATAGACTGCGAATGTTTGCGGAGGGTTTTGCGCGCGGAGTCCAACGCTGTTCAACACGTACTAGTGGAAATTCAAAAACGTGAGTTCATGGGAGGGCTGGATTTCGACGATAAGTTTGGAATCGAGTTGCTTATTGTAGTTGAGAAGTTCCTACTAGTGGCATCTGTGTTGAATTACAAATTATGATGGAAAATGAGGAAATGTGCGGAATAGAGACTTATTTTATTATTTTTATTTTGAAGGGACGGGATTCGAAGAGTTTTGTTCACCGAATTATCCTGATTATTCTATTTTCGATAGAATAAAGTCAATAGTTTTTTATTCTTCTAGATGATCTATTCTCTTGAGAATTTTTGTTTAGAAAATTCTAGGGAAAAAATGGTTCCGTTGTAATTTGTTTTGTCTCTTATTACTAAGAGCTAAGAAAACAATAGGCAAATTTATGCCCGAGTTCTTATAGAAAAAATGTCAATAGAGAGAATTGTATTAAAAAATCAGCATCCGTTGAGTATTTTCTACAGAATATTTACGAAAAAATCGGTAAAAAGGTAGATTTGTATCTCGCAATAGATATGGGCAAAAAATATAAGATTTGCAATAAAATTCTGATAGAATTCCATTGAATTTTGCAACATTGTAACCTCGTTCGGCATATGAGAATATATGTAGTATTGAAAAGGGCTTTGTCTCGTTGTTAGACAGTCGCCAATAAAAAGTATTAAAAAACGTTACATAATTGTACTCAAATGCACTTTATTATGATGTCATCGCCAAAACAATGATCATCCGCATATTTTATAAATAAATGCAATGTTACATTCCATAAACATGAATGATGAATGGATGGAAAAATGTGGAGAGCCAGAAATTCTGGTACCAGAAATTTCATCGACATGAAAATTTCGAAAATTTCAAATCAATGGAATGACTCGGAGAGCATGAATGGCACTTACAAATACAGGAATTACAGCAGTTGTACATTTTCATTTTTCGTATTATAAAATAAAGATTGTATTTCGAATACATATTTACTTATCATATAAGATTTTCCGTAGCAAAAGAAGTGGATTTTAATTTTAGTTTCAAGAAATACGAAGTGTTTCCTTGTAAAAAAATAAAGAGCCGCACTGTTTCGAAATAAATTTACCCTTGCATTGAAAATTTGAGTTGAAAAAAATGATCCTTTCTTCAATAATGCCCTGAACATTAAACAGTGCGGTTTCAAGATTTGAGTGATTTATGCCTCTCCTCGGAATGTCAGGAAACCGTCCAAGAGGAGCAGAGCACCTTGAACGATTGACAATGATCCTCGGGCTACGACCCTGTCGCCTCTGTACCTATCGAGGGTGATGGCGCCAGAAGCGATGAACATGGCGCATCCCACGAGGAGGAAGAAGAGTTCCTGAAGGAGAAAAATTCGTTAAATAGTGTCCCTTACTCATGAGAAAATAATCTGGTGATAATTATGAGACAAAACGGAATTTCAAGGGGAAATTCCACTCGAAAAAAAATCATTTTATGAATTACATATTCTCTTTTTGAAATTGGCCTAGTTTACATGTAAAAACTATATAAAATCCACTTTGAAAAAATCCAGTGTAACGATTTTTGAAGCCTCCATTCCGCTTATCAAGTAATGTAATATGATGGATAAATTTTTTTATGTACTGTAATTTTTTGTGTACAGTAATTGTAAAAAAAGAAAAATTTATTTATTACTGTAATTAAAAAATACATACATAAGATAGTATATATGTATATATTATATAATGTATATGTATATATATGTATATATTATATAATATATACATATATACGATACATGTATTTTACACTATATTTTTGACTATAAAAAATTAATATTGATCTCTAAAAAAAAGCATATAAAATATACATTTTATACATATTTCACATAGGCCCGGTTGCACCAGCTCCGTAACGCAACCGTCAGATAAGAAGAAAAGTAAATTTGGATGTTCGAAGTTGATTAACTTTGGGTAATTAATTGACCCGAGAGAGTATCTCAAATTTATCCAGGGAACAAAAAATAAAATGTAATCCCAAGGTTGAATAAGTGTTAATTCAAATGGGGCCAGGATAAATAAAAAAATATTCTTCGGGTCAAATATTAAAAAGTTATGACCCCGAGGATAAATTTTACTCTGGGGTTTATTTGGATATCAGGGCTTGGTGCAACCGGGCCATATATCGAAACCTTAATAACAGACAAGCGTAAGTTCTATGAGTTCCCTATGAATTATTATTGTTTCAAATAATTGATTTTCCAGTTTTATAATTATTACATTTTATTATTATTATTATCATTATTATTATTCTTATTATTATTATTCTTATTATTATTATTATTAATATTATTACAGGTATATATATATATATATATATATATATATATACTACTGTATATCGCCACCGTCCTTCTAACGGCAAATATTATTAAAAACTATCATTATATTTTGCCCGGGGTTTATTTGGATATCAGAGCTTGATGCAACCGGGCCATATATCGAGACCTTAATAACAGACAAGCGTAAGTTCTATGAGTTTCCTATGAAGACACGTTTGTCTTATTAAGGTGTCGATATGTATTTTGAGAGATATATGAAATTAGCCCATGTCATACATATTTTTATATTTTGTTACATACTTTCCTATGGGACAGACTTTTTTTGGAATCCTATTCTAAAAAGAACATACACTTAAAGGCGATAACTATCGATATCTCGCAAATCTGTCACGCTTATTGGTTCCAGTCGTCTGAGGCGGCAGATTTAATTCATGATTAATTTAATTTTAAGATTTTCAATTATGATTGTTACAATTCAGTAGCGAAGTGGTAAAACAGTTTAGGTCGACTCATCTCCCAGTTGAGTTTTAGGAATATTTCCGAATCTAAGGGAGATAGCGAACTTTTCATAATTACATTTGTTGTTGCTCTCAATCGGCTCTACAAAAAAGGTTGTAATAAAAATTTTGCTATCTCCCTTAGATTCCGAGATATTCATTGAAAACTGGTCAACAGTCAAAATTGACTTGTACCGTATTACCACTTCGTTGCTGAATTACAGCGCGCTGTAGCGCGCGTTCGGTCTCGTGAAACAAAAAGCCAGAGAGGTTCATTTGATGTTTTATGAGAACTTACCACACGTCGGTTGACGGGTGTTCCCGTTACAGCTCCGGCAAACAGACCGGTAAGAATTACCAGGAATCCGACTTCAGTTCCTGCTGAGAGAAATACGTCTTCCGCACTGACACCATGGTAATTAACGTGCAGAATGAGGATTACGCATACAATAACCTAGGAAATAATCGAAACATTTGAGAATGTTTTTGTATTCATTTTGTGGATAAAGAAGAGGATAATGATAATACACTCAGAGAAATGGGTTATTCGAGTCAAGTGAATCGGTTCATTTGAGGATGTTCTACACCCTTTCTGCCAAAATTCACGTTTTTTTAATTTTTCTGGCAAACTTATGATGGAATTGACGTGAAAAAATATAACGTTTTTGCGTTTTATCATTATTTAATGACTGACGAAATTTTAAGGTGGTGCGAACATTTTCCTGCGTTTTCTCTAAACTTTTAAAAAGAATCACAAAACTGTAGAAAAAACGCATGAAAATTATCGCACCACTACGCAACTTCGTGAGCCATTAAAGAATGACAAACCACAAAATCGTTATATTTTTTCACGTCACTCCCATCGATAATTTGCCAGAAAAATGAAAACAACGTCAATTTTGGCTAAAAGGGTGTCGAACATCCTTAAATTACGCGTGTTGACCTATTGCGTGTCAGCCTATTTATCAAATAAATAGTTCTCCGAATGGGTCACACCCACTCCAATCCTAACAATCACGCCCTAAACGCGTATGAAAAAATCGTATAGAAATTTTCCACACGGATTGCGTGCAAAATTTCTGTAGGATTTTCGTATATGATATTCGGATATGTCTATACGGATATTTACTATACAAATTATTTCTATACAATTTTTATAAGTTTGATCCTATACAACCCACTACCGCATGTATAGAAACATTTCGTATGGAGTTGCGACATTTCTCTACGTTTTCTCTGAAGCGTTTAGACATCTTTCGTACAAAAACAAAAATTCATGTAAAAATTTATGTATAGAAATAATTCGGACAGACAATTTCTATAGGATTTTTTCACACGTGAAGAGGCTTCTGATTTCTTTGTTTGGCCAAAATGTCAATTGTATTTTGATGTTTGTTTCATTCTTCATTATGTTTTGTTTAAGATAATTTTCCAAGTAACTTTGAAGATACTTAGGGCGAATAATTTTGGAATATTTTCGGGGTGTTATTAAAGCATGTCCTAGTACCCTATGAAAATTGCAACAAAAATCCTTGTGCCAGTTCGGACAATTCACGTCTACATTCTTGCTGAATTGAGGCCTCAATTGGCCTCTCGGTCAGCGCGAAAGACGACAATGCAATGGCTCGATTACCGGAATTGGTGTCATTTATTGAATCAGAATAATTAGTGCACTGAGAGAAAGAACGATCTAATATCGCGCTTGGGACAAGAATTCCGTAGAATGCGTCAGGCTGTGTATGAATTCTGTGAAGTGTTCATGACTCGAATACTTCAGAGAATTCCTCGGCTCAAGAAATAGTTTTTTTTGTGTCGGGAGATGAGAGAATGACTAAAAATATTGACTAAAATAATAATGACATGGAATAACATGAAAATTTACAGTGGAAAATGTAAAAAAGTGATCAATCTGAAAAAAATAAACAGTTGTCCTCAATCCAGAATAAGCCGTCGATGACTTCACCATCGATCGCACGGAATTATCAAATGTGTGATAGGTGATAACGAGGAATGACGAAGGTCTAAATGGCAATTCGCAGAAGTCATCGTCATTTTTTGCGCCAGGGGGATCAATTACGACGATGTGAACATGCAGATAAATTTTTCAGAATTGTTCGTTATCTCGGAATTGTCGATAAAAAATTATGACAATCGATCTAGAATTCGGGGAGAATATTTATTCCATTTCATTCAAATGAGAAGAATGAACGACTTTTTGTTGAAAATTATTCCTCAATTTTGATGTTTTTTACTGAAATTCAAGTAAAAAGTGGGAGAAGTCTCGCCGAAATTTCAACATTTCAAGTAAAAAAGTCACAAAAAAATGTAATTTTCATTGCATCAACTACATTGAGAGGAAAAAATAACTCAGCTAATAAACTATATGTTCCACGTGATAATATTTGATGGAGAGCAACAGATTTACTTGAGGGAAATTAACCAACTTGATAGAAAAAAATTTAATATCTTTCACAAAAATTAAATTTTTGTCGTGATCATCAGAAATATCCCTAGAAGAATTCGAACTGTTGGCAGGAGAAAATGTAATTTATTGTACGACAATCATTTGATCTGAGAGAACTCGACAGGTTTATACCACAGAAAGAATACATTGACGAGGAAA